CAAAACCATGACTAAAGTACTTTAGTCACGGGGTGAAAATAGAAAAAATACTCTGGATTACATCGCTAAACGTTATTAAAGTGCCACTTAGCGCACTAGATACTTAATGTAGTATAAAATGCCAAAAATTAACATTTTTATATTTTAAACCGCCCAAAACGTCTAAAATTCTAAAATTATAATTTTCATCCGCCTGAATCCGAGTTTTTTGACCGCTTGGCCGCGTCTTCCGTCGCTTCATCTCTCCTGAAGACGCGCATAAATCTCCCGGTCGACGATGCGCGCCGAATCTGAATAATCGCCAGCGTCCCCTCGCCCGCCGCGCACAAAAATTGGATTTAGTCCAAATGGAAAATGGAAAAAGTTTACGCTCCACTATATGCCAACCGAGCGATGTTTGCATTCGGCGCGCGCGCCGGCCGACCGAACTCAAAACAACTCCGATCGACTATGAACGAAGATTTTTATGTCTGCATGCGCACTGAATGCTAAATGCAAATTTTAAAACTTCATTTTGTATTACTTGCAAAATCTCTATATAATATTAAATTATAAAATACATTAAATCATTAAATATTAAATTTCACCATAGCCTAAATTCGGGATATAATCGATTGAATTCATTTCTAAAGACTGTGTGCGTGTGAAATAATAAGAAAAACGCGCATCGGACATTATAGTAGTATCATCATCAATGGATTGAACTCTTTCGAAGTGATTTTGGTGTGATGTTGTGTTTTGTGATGTTTTTGGTGATTTTAGTGATATTTCACCGGTGAATGACCATGATTTTTGTGCGAGATACACGACAATCATCCACCAGATAGCAACAACTAAAAATTTAATTTTTTTGTGATTTTTTGTTTGTTTTTGGTTGTTTTAGTTAATTTTGTGTACATACCAACGTATAAAATTGACCCAACGTAGAATAACGTTGTGAAATGTTTATGCTTATACAACCAGTGGTGTAACATAGCGATTATCTTCGAAAGACAACTGAAAAGTTCATTACCAATCCATGGGAATGCACACCAGCGATTTTCCTACAAAATTACCTCTAATAATACGAAAAAAATTGTAAATATTATTATATGTACCGTGATTGTAGCAAAAATTAAAACCATATTGTTTAGGAGATACACAACTGAATAGAAAACCATAATAACACTTATTAATTTACCTAAAATGTCAAAAATATAAAAAAATATTTTTTTCATTTGAAATTTTTTTAAATGATTTTTACAAACCATCATAATCGGCAGCTCGTGTGGCATTCGCAGTGCTATGAAAATGCTGCCAATCGAGCCCGAGAGCCGTCGCGATCGTCCGACTGTGATCGAAATTGTTCGCCCGCTTGTCGCTAATTAGAATGGTCGTTAATGCGGTGGATAATGCCTTGAAATGAAATTATCGACATGTAAGATTGCGCACGACGCGCGCCAAGGTGCAATTATGCATGGGCGCGCACGATTATCGGTTAGTGATTAATAAAATCATAAGTGTATTAAATTTTAGAATTCTAATTTTAATATAACAACGCTACCACTCCGAAGAAACCGATCCAGCGCGTCGCCAGCGTTAGATCACAACAGCCGCAGCACGCCAGCGTTGAATGTTTATACATTTTTTTTACTGCACTTTGTTTCACATGTAGTTGAGTATGAGTTTGTTGTTTGCGATTCTAGGCGCGACTAAAACCGCAAATTTAAATAAAATGCATGGAGCTAAGTTGGAATATTATCAGATTGGGTTACTATCGATTCAATAACATTCAGAATGTCAGATTTTTGAATGTTTATTTATTCTTTCTTATAGAAACTGAAGAAATTATGTAATTGAATTTTATTTGGTGGAATTTGTCGAATATTAAGGCAGTTTAGTGGCCCTTATTTGGAAAATATCAAGATTTTTACTTTTATTCTATTTTTCGTATAAAAAAGAATTTTTTGTAAAGTTTATAAATATTTAGCCGACTAGTCGGCAACTATCCGGTACATTCCTAATTGTTTCACCAAAATTTTCAGATAATAAAGAAATAACTGTTTTTCCTAGCAAGTGTCATTTTGCCACTAGTCAGTCACTATTCGGTGCAAATCTAAATCTTTTTTTGACGTTTTTCGCATAAAAACCGATGAAAAACTGTTTTCTTAAATATGCGCCCCGCGTCCGGCCCGTATGTCTGCCAACTTTATCTAGTTTATACAGTTTCTCGTTATAAACTCGAAGCTCCCACTGCAAAACTACAAAACTGTCCAAGTTTGCGTTTGAATGTGTCACACGCGCGTGCACACCCCGCATGCATCATGTGTGTGCACGCCGTGCTTGCTGAACGTCGAATGTTTTATTAATGGCGCTCAATTCGGCCAATTCGCCCGATTCCCTCAACTTTAAACATTAACTCTGGCGTACCTTTCAACATTTTAGCCCCGTGGACCATCGATCAACACAACAACAACGCCGCGGCGACTAAAAGCAGCTTCTTGATTGTACAAAATTTATCGAATTTCGCACAAAACGCTATATATTTATATGCAATTTTAAAAGTGCAGCATCATGACGCAATAATTTATCAATTTAGATTTAGGTTTTAGTAAGTATTTGATATTTTTGAGATTTAAAATTACTTGTTATTGAAAGTCGGTGGAAAATTATAATATCAGTGAGCATGTGCAACACACGCAATGAGTATTATTGGTGCAAATTATAAAAATGCGCACACAGAGCACGGGAATTCAGCGGAAATCATTTGTTTAGCTATTATGCGCGTTTACAGTCTGTGCGACACGACATAAGCAATATTATTAATTTTTGCAGTCATGCGCGTCATAACTGAGCACAAAGTATTTATCTATGCAAAGTATCCGTTAATGACTAATCATTTCATGGAAATATTGGCAATTTATTAAAATAATAGAACTTAAATTGAATTTTTACAAGTTTTACTACTCTAGAGCTGTAAAAAATAATATTTTTCATATTTTCTTTTATTTTTTGTTTTTTTGCCTTTTTTTTTCTATTTTCACCTTTAAAACACCACTTTTCCCACGGTTTCAAGACACGAAAAGTAGCACTTTAGTCACAGGCATGACTAAAGTACTTTAATCACGGTAGTGACTAAAATATCACCGAAAATATTCTCAATTTAATAAAATAACACAACTTAAATTGTGTTTTTACTACTTTTACAACCCTGGAGCTGTAAAAAATAATATTTATCATGTTTTCCTTTCTTTTTTTTCCACTTTTTTTCAATTTTCACCTTTAAAGCATCACTTTTCCTACGGTTTCAAGACCCGAAAAGTAGCACTTTAGTCACGTCCGTGACTAAAATACTTTAATCACGGTAATGACTAAAATATCACCGAAAATATTCTCAATTTATTAAAATAATCTAACATAAATTGTGTTTTTACTACTTTTACAACCCTAGAGCTGTAAAAATAATATTTATCATGTTTTCTTTTCTTTTTTTTCCACTTTTTTTCTATTTTCACCTTTAAAGCATCACTTTTCCTACGGTTTCGAGACACAAAAAGTAGCACTTTACTCACGGGCGTGACTAAAGTACTTTAATCACGGTCATGACTAAAATATCACCGAAAATATTCTTAATTTATTAAAATAACACAACTTAAATTGTGTTTTCACTACTTTTACAACCCTAGATCTATAAAAAATAATATCTCCCATGTTCACCGATTACAATGCTAATATAATGTACGTAATGTGTTCGTAAAAATTCGAGCGTAATTTCCCAACCAGGCAATCGTGGGTGAATTGCATTCAATTGTTGTGCATAATCACGCCGTCAGCGCACGAACAATAAACACGCGCGCTTTTGTCAGGCAGCGCGCCATGGCTATCATCGCCGCTTCCTAAGAAACAACCAAATTAAATGAGATTGAAACAGAACAACAAGACTCTTGGCTGTCACCGCCGCCATTACGACTGTCAAAAATGTCCGAAATGTCAACGATAAACGCAGAAAATGAAATAGTTACGCGGCACGGAAATTACTACGCAGAAATTATTACTGAAAATTACCGAGAATTATTTATTTGATATTAACCATGCGACAAATGCGAAAAAAACGGTTTCGATTTGGTTATTTGAAGATCTAGTTCATAATCTTCAACAAAACAACACAAAAAGAGAGAAAATCATGTGTGTTATTTGATTTAAAAGATTAAAAGACTAAAAAAATAGGAAACAAGCAACTCGGCCATTATTCATCCCGCCATATTAATAGCATACCCAACATCAAACAAACTCACATCATAATCCAACGACATAATGCGGCTATTACTCTATCACACTGCCGCTCAAACGTAGGGTTTAACGGTTTGGTCAACGCACACCAAGTGTGGCAAATACAATTCACCTACAGGTTAATATTTACGAGCGTGGTGACCCGCTGACACTCGGTATGTGTAATAATAATATACATGGGACATGGGGTTACTTAGAGATATCAATCACTTCGACACCCTCGCTCGGCACCATGTACATGTCCGCGCGGGGTTGAAGAGTTCTTGCGGCGTGGAAGTCGAACGAAAGCGATTCGTCGCGGTTCCATTCGATCTGGCTTCGCTGCGGCTAATAGCGCGCGCCAAATCCACCCCTAATCTGCGGTGCGATCTGAGCTACTTAGCCGACGTTCGGACGCGAGTCTCAATGTTAATGGACTACTAATGTGTTCGTAATTCGCACAGCCGCACTGCTTTATTCATTGTGGTATGTGGGTAACATTGTGTAAACAATGCGTCGAAGATTTGTGGTTGTATTAAGTTAATGTGATGCATGTAGGCAACCAACAATAAAAATTGATTTTTACATGTTTTATACATATTTATCAACTTTTTTTTATTAAATTATTTATTGTTAGCATTTTTAAACCAAATAAATGATTATTGTAGTTGATAAATGTTGTTTTTTAATGTGTTTTGTTAAATTTTAATTTTAACATCCTGTATATGAGTTGTGTTGTAAACATGCATTGTAACCTCAAAAACCCATGTGCTTTCAAGTTTCTAAGTTGTTTGCAACTTTAAAAACCGTGATTATTAAGTGAATAATCAATAAATATAGTGAAAATGTCGATTAAAACAAAGAAAAAAGTAAGTTTTAACTCTTTCTATACTTTAAAACCCAAATCCTAACTGATTTCACTCATATTTTAGGTAAAATCTGCCCAACCTGAATTTACGATGGACTGGAACTCAAAAACTCAGCCCAAAGCAAAAGCTATGGTGTTTGCAAGACGCAAACAGAAACCAACAGATGCACCTACACCATCTACACCAACTCCAGCATCAAAACCACAAATTATAAAGAAAAATACCACAATAACTAAAGTTTCCGAAGTGGAAAGTGTTCCAGAAGTACACACTTCACCTGAGTTAAACAAAAGTGGACCAATTGGTCATATAAAACGCAAACAGAAGAAAGATAAGTTGTTAGCCAAGCAATTAATGCAAGAAGGCAAGAAAAGTGATGTGAAAAGCCATAACGATGGACCAAATTATAACTTATTCAGTGTAAAGCATAAAAACATTTACGTTAACCAATCTGCTGGTAAATCAGTGTCTGAGAAAGTGTTTTCTACTTGTGACTTTAAAAATATGGGACTGCATCCACACTTGGTGTCAAATTTAGAAAAGCATGGATTTTTAAAGTCAACAAATGTGCAGAGTAAAGCTATTCCTGTTATCGTCACTGGGAAAAATACTTTGGTAAGTTTCACAAGTAAATAATTAGGAAATTTTCACACCTGTAACATCTGTGAGAGATGCACCTTGTAAAAGATTACAGATTGTTTGTGGGTGGATCATAATCAACGTATTTCTACCTGTGTTAATGATCTTTTATATAAATTAGAACTTTTTGATGAACTAGGTGCGTTCCCAAACCGGATCCGGTAAAACTTTGGCATATGCCGTGCCAATAATCGACGCATTGCAAGGTATACAACCGAAATTGAAACGCACGGATGGTATTCAAGCTATAATTGTTGTACCAACACGAGAATTGGCGTTACAAGTGAACGAATTATTTAGTAAAATAAATGTAAGTCATTTACTTTTTATACTATTCATAGGCAACCCGTTATACACCTATTTTTTGTACTGCCGCCAAGACCAAGCGCAGTTTTTTTGTAGGTTAACTTTTTGTTCGAAAATCAATTTACGGTTTATTTTTGAATCCGACCAACGCGCGTTGAAATTTATATCACAAAGTATCAAAAAGCAATTGATCTAACTATTTATATACTTTAAAATATGTATTACTCACTTTTAATCAGTTAAAACTTAAATTAAAGATGCACAAGCACACGGGTTACAACACTTGAAACTTTTCTGAGTATGCAACCAACAATACACGAAATATGTTCTAGACATTTCAATGGTTGGTCGTAAATCATCTGTGCGGTGGCGAGAATCGCAAAACCGAAAAAGACCGCATAAAAAAAGGCATGAGTGTGGTAATTGGCACACCAGGACGACTCTTAGATCATGTCCTGCACACAACCGCGATGAAAATTGACCAGGTGCGTTGTTTAGTACTCGACGAAGCCGATAGACTGCTAGATATGGGTTTCCGCAAAGATATTGTTAGGTAATTATCATTTTCCTCACAAACAAAACACAATTTAATCTTAAATTTTAATAATAGTTTAGTGGAAGCATTGGATAAAGCTAAATCCGACTCTGAGACAAAACCTAACCTCGAAGATGATTCCACACCACCTTTGAAGAACATCCACTCGAAACAACGTCAAAATCTCATGCTTTCAGCGACTTTAACACAAGCAGTGAGTGAATTAGCAAGTTTCACCATGAAAGATCACACCTACATTGATGCACTCGACCTAACCTCAAACGCAGTCGCCGATAGTTATGTAATCCCCGACACAGTCCAACAGGAATTCATCATGACCCACGCCAAACACCGTTTGTTCACTTTATCAGCTCTACTATTAGCTAAATCTAAGCTGCCATCTTGTAAACTGTTTGTATTCATGGCAAGCACGCAAATGGTGGACTACCACTTCGAGTTATTCAGCAAACACTTAGCGAAAATGCCCGTAAATCGTGGCAAATCAACGCAAAACACCGATAACATCAACGACAGTGATGATGACGATGTGGACGAAGTCGTAATGGACACGCAGATCTTCAAACTGCACGGTTCGATGGATCAGAAGGAGCGGAAGGCGGTCTTCAAAGGATTCAGGGCTGCCGGCAAGGGCATTCTGATCTGCACGGTACGTAAATTAGACTTTTGCGCGCACAATGCACGCCGCATCCTGTCCGCATGCATATAAATCAAAATCAAAACGATGCGTAATGATGCCGGGCATTGTGAGCTAAACATTCATACACCGGCTGGAATTTCGGTGGCGGCTTGTAAATTGAAAATTTAATCAAGTGCACGGCGGGCGGTTTTCATTTTCAACGCTTTGCAGGACGTAGTCGCGCGTGGCATTGATGTCCCCGCAGCCGACTGCATCATTCAATACACCGGCCCGCAAATGGACGAGGATTATCTGCATCGTGTTGGGCGTACGGGACGCGCAGGACAATCCGGTTCGGCGATTATTTTCCTCACGCATGAGGAGCAAGCGTATGTGGATCATTTACGGACGCATCGTGTATTGTAAGTTGAAATTTATACAAAATTTTTTGTTTTTTATGCAAAATTTGTGTTTTTTTACGTAAAAATTTGTGTTTTTAGTTTGAAAAAACGTGATCAACAAGAATACATGAAAGAATTATCGATTGTGATGGAAGAACCGAATGTGGAGCAAGCAGCAACGTTGTTACAAAGACATTTTGAGACGGCAATCGAGAAAGATGAAAGTCTTTATAAATCCGCGTGTTTCGGTGAGGAAATTGATCGATAACACTCAACAAAACTCAGTTTAGACGTTGAATGGCCACGTGCGGTCAACCGTAACGAATGCCTGTCGTTCAAAGTGCTTTTCTATGTACACAGTATCAACAACATCAATTTTTGCTAATTTTCACACAAAAAATTAATTTTTTTGCTTTAAATATTATTTTCTAGCGTATAGTACATGGTCGCGATTCTACAACAGTTACCCGGCGAAGATGCGTGAGTTTTTCAACTTTAAACAAGCGAATCTGGGCCACTACGTGACCAGTTTCGGTCTGCGATTGACGCCCACGCAAGTGGCGCGCGTCGTGCGCGGCCAAGTCGTCGACGTTCCAACGCCGAAATTGAACAAGAAGCTCGCCAACCACAGGTTAGTGTTGCTTTTTTTTCTGTGTCTTGTTCTTTAGTTTGTTAATAAATAATCGTGATATGCTTCGCGGTAAATTGTCTTGGTGGCTTTTAACAATAAAAGCAGTCGGCGATAGCGTTTCGCAATTACCACGCGCAATCATTTCTCATTATTTAAAGTTTTATGGTGCTTTGATACCAAATCGGTAATGAAGCGGCGCGAATGCGGACCGTTTTTCTTTTAATTCTCTCGCCCTGTTCTCGCGAGAACACAAAAAACAATGAATTTACAACAATAAAGTTGAAAAAATCCCCAAAAAAAAGAAATACAAGTACAAGTGTCGGTATTAAATTATATTATTTAGCAAGCTCTAGTTATTCCCGGCGTCGACACACTCAAATCTAATCAAACGCTTCCCTTTATTGCGATTATTTTCATGTGTTGTCTTTTTATTTATTTTCGTCGACGAAACGCGCGCGCGGTAATTGCATATACATTCATATTATATTTCTCTCTCTGTGTAGATATATATATATATATATATATGTATGGATATACGAATGCGTTAGTAATTAATTTGAAAAATGAAATTAAAGTCTGATGGCCGGCTGATGGTCGTCGAGGCAGCCAGTCTGGCGGAGCCGCAATTTTTTGATTAATGTAACAGTCATTATCGCGTTAAAGCGGGTCGGGCGCGCATCGGATCGGTGAATGCGCGTAGCGCGGCCGCATCACAATCACAATCGCACAAAAGGGCTCTAAAACACATAAATAACGCTCCTCTTTTACACGCAAACCAATTCTCGGCCGGAGAATGGCGGCCATTACGCAGACAACGCCATCTGTACAGATACAGATCAAATTAAACATTTTACACGGAAATAATTGCAAAAAACTTTTTTTTTTTGGTTGCTATTAATAAAATTTTGAACATTTTTTAATGAATGAAATGTTGAGAATTAAATTCTCTTTAATTTGATATATTTGTCAATATTCTACGTTTAAAATTCTTTGAGATATTGCAATTTTTTTGAAAACCGATAACACTAAATGCTGAAATTATTGCAGAAAAACGTTTTTTCTGCTTTTTACCAACAAAATATTACAGATTTTTTACAGCCATTCTTTTGACAATTAAATTCTCTTTAATTTGATATATTTTTTAATATTGTACATTTTATACTTTTTGAGATATTTTAATTTTTTTGAAAACATTCCAGTAAATGCTGTAATTATTGCAGAAAAACCTGTTTTTCTGTTTTTCATCAACAAAATATTGCAGATTTTTTACAGCCATAATTTTTCCAATTAAATTCTCTTCAATTTGATATATTTCCTAATATTCTACGTTTAATACTTTTTGAGATATTTCAATTTTTTTTAAAAGACATTTCTGCAAATGTGATAATTATCGCAGAAAAATGTTTTTTCTACTTTATATCAACAAAATATTGCAAATTTTTTACAGCCACAATTTTGACAATTAAATTCTCTTCAATTTGATATATTTATCAATATTCTACGTTTAATACTCTTCGAGATATTGCACTTTTTTCAAAAACTAACATTTTCGTGTTTTACTCAAAAACTATTGAAATAAACCGCGTTAAAAACCGTAACAACCCAAAATAAACTCATATTTAATATGATATTGATCAGTTTTTCTAAAAAACTGCGAAATTTCATAAAATATAAGCCAAAATAAACGCTCTTTGTTTATTATTATTAATACAATTCCTCTTAATGCACTCTTGTGAGTAGCCATATATAATTATGACATCATCAGCGAAGCGCACACCGGATGCATCAGTTATCTGCAAACATTAATGTCATTTTTATGGTATGTTCGCAGCGACAATCCGGAATTGCAAGCGCGCCGCAGCAGAAATCAGCCGCCCGGCCAACAACAACAACACAAGAGTAAAACGACGGTGAGTCTCGGGACCTCGGAGTTTTCAAGCGGATTAGAGCCGCTGCGCAAGCGAAGGAAGCAAGACGAGTAACGCCGTAATTGTAAAAGTATAATAAAAATCCTCTAGCAGCAGCAGATGAGAAAATATCAAATGAATGTTTTCACCTTTATATCTACACACAACAGTGGCGTGCGCGCGCGCGCTTTGATTTTTTCCTGCTCCCGTTGCCATTATTTCTCTTCGTCGCTGTCTTTTCGATTTTAAGGCGGCGGCAGCATCTATAAAGCCACGCGGGGGAAAAAATCCAACGCCGGAGCAGCGCGCGGTGATTAATCACAGAAACCATTAATTACATTTATACGTGATTACGGCGTCTACCAGTGTACGCATTGTGAAAAATTCCCCGCCGCCCACTTTGCTATTTAACAAGATGGCTACTTGCGCCGCGCGCGAAGCCAACAAAAGAGGCGGCGGCGGCGCCCCCGCCACACACAAACACACACTCATACAAAAAACATCACCACCCCCACCACTGTTAATTACTCACACACAACACACAAAGATACAATATAATATGAATAACAAAAAAAAAAGATTCGGAAATTATTGGCGCGCGCCTGCGCCTTAATTTCGCTGTCATGTTTGATAAATAAAATATGATCGGTGGCGCGGGCATTCAAGAAGCTTCCTACCATATTAGGCGCGTAATTTGTATCGCAGGAGCGCATTTCGATACAGAGCCGCGCGCGCTCCCCTCGGCGTCGTCGGATGTGTTCCAATTAAATTTCAAGACGTTTTAATGTCATATATTACCGCCGCCTGAATAACGCGTAATGTGCTCAAAAGAACACGTGGTGCCGACGACGAGGAGGCAATCAACGTGTCAAATCGGTATTCGGAGGCTTCGATTCACCAAAGCATCCGAGGACTGCTTCTGGTACTGACCAGGCGCGTATTTATTCGGAGCATAAATTTTAATCCTAACCTCAAAATAATATTATTTTAGGTTATGTTAGGGTATTTAAAATGTAAGAAGTGAATATTTGTTGCTAATTATCATTTATTTCATTGGAAAATCACGTTTTTTGTAATTTTGAACTTAAAAGTTATGAAAAAAGTTGATTGACGGCTTTTTCTTTGATATAAATCGAGAAAAACTTTAAAAAAAGACTAAAAACCGATGTTTTGGTAACAAATTTTCTAGTTTAGAGACTTTTTCGCTTAATTTTTTAGTTTTTTTTTCAAATTTCCTTATTTTTTGAAGAATTTGACAATTTCTAGCACAAAAATGTTAGAATTTTGCATATTTTATCAAAGAAAACTACAAATTTAGCTAATAATCACTTTTTTAACCGCCAAAATAACTTTTTTGTAATTTTTTACTCAAAACTGACAAAAAATCAACGATTTATTGCATTTTTCTTCATAAAAATCGCGAAAAACGAATCAAAATTCATAAAAACACTAAAAACTGCCCAGGTCCGTATTTATTCTTTACTAATTTTAATTCTAACCTCAAATCGCAACTATTTAAGGTTATGTTCGTATTAAAATTGTGAAATTTAAATTTTTGTGATACAAACTGTAACTAAATGTATTCCAATCTCATTTTGTAATTTAAGAAACACTCGTTTTTAATATGCAATTAAGAGCGCACAAAAGCCGAGAATCTCATTGTGTGCCAAGACCGGATTGCTGTCTGCATGCATTGAATAACACTGGTAGTTGGCGTCTTCGCGTATTGGACCCTAATGAAAGCTATTACACTAATTGGTATGTGTGCTTGTTGCACACGTGCTTAGCGTCCCTATACAAGCGCTGCGGATGAAATTCCAATCAAATTGTCCATGTTTAAATTAAACACTTAAATAATTCCTAACGAGATTTGGATTTCGATATGAAATTCTTGCGCATATTCAAAATATGCGATAATCAAGTTATACGCGACGTAATTTGGTGGAGTGTGTGCTTAGGGATACACGCCCACGCATTTGTACGCTTCAAATATATCCCTACCTAGAGATGCGAGGCGCGATGGTAATAGCCGATGTGGTTGCCGCCTGCCCATTTATCCTTAAAAATGAATAATCCTCGGCGATTACGGCGCAGTTGCGAGAGCGATTTGTATTTGTATATCTTTAATATATCTTTATGTGTGTGGAACAACGCCCGCCGCACATCCATCCACGGCGGACGTGGTGGTTATTAATGTCTTCATCACGGATCAACGTGGTGGTAATTAGCGGAAAGTTGAAAGGCGAGAGGTTTCGGACCTTTTTTGGGAATTGGAAGCGGCAAATTTAAATTAAAAATATTAAAATGTGGTTAATTTAATTTAAAAACTTAGATTTTTTCGATAATTTGATATTTTTTAATTGTAAAAATTAATATTTGTTGATTTTTTTACTTAAAAATGAAAAAAAAATATTGATTTATTGCTTTTTTCTTGAGATAAATTAAGAAAAATTTAATTTTTATTTGCAAAAAAGACAAAAAATCAATGTTTTTGCTAACAAATGCACTGTTTATAGACTTTTTTGCTTCATTTTAACAATTTTTCTTAATTTTACCTAAATTTTAGAGAATTTTGCAATTTGTGGCACAAAAATATTAAAATTTTGTATATTTTATCCAAGAAAACTACAACTTTTCCTAATAATCACTTTTTTAATCGCCAAAATTACATTTTTTTGTAAATTTCTACTTAAAAGTTGTTAAAAATATCAATTTATAGCTTTTTTCTTAAAATATCTCAGAAAAACCAAACTAAAATGTTTAAAAACATGAAAAATTAAATTTTCATTTAAAAAAATGAAAAATGATTTTGCTACAATTTTAAGATTTAACGACGTTTTTTACTTGCTTTCTTAATTTTTTACAACTTTTACCTCTTTTTACACCAATTTTCACTCAAAAAACTTATAAAAATTAAGCAATTTATAACAATTAATATCCTATAAATTGCTCCTCAAACATCTGCGACTTTCCTCCTCAAAATAAAAAAAAAACCTCTAAAGTTGTTTTGCTGCAAATCGCATTAAAAGTGTCATTAATTCAGTGTCAAGTTGCACCTGCGAGACAGCCAGGTATATAGATCAACCTATATGACGTTCAAAACCTCGAGACGCCTACCGAATAAGTTGTGGGTGTGCAACGCGAAAATAAAAACAAAAACAAAAAAATTCTCGCCTCTCTGATCGAGATTAATGATTTAATTGAAAAATGACCAACACTTACACACGAATTACACCTTCTCCAGTGCAATGCGCAATATTTACTAATGACAATATTCGAAATTCGCAGCAAGTGGTAAATATAACAATCGTTAAATCACGAACGAAATGAAATCGCCTCGCGAGGGTGAAAAGAAAAAGTTTCTGTGTGCTTTAACACACACGCGAGTCGCTCGTTAGAGATAATTCGTGTAAGCAACCTGCGACCTCGACAAATCGAAGTAACAATAGTCGCACGACGCAAAGAAAAGCTTAAACAATACGAAATCGTACAAATGCCCCAGGGTAATGATCAAGTTTATAATTTGATTCGATATGTGGACACTGAACAATAAACAAACTGTAAAAATCATGTGTGAATACAAAGCGTAATTGGTATGTAATGAAATCATAGAAAGAAGAAGAAAAAAAATTGTGTTCTGTGCTCAATTGTGCTGTATTATAAGTTGTATAAATCTCTTCCGGATATAATGGCGTCGTGGTGGTAGAAACGACACAAATAACCTTTTAATAGCTAATATATTCCGAGCGTCACTGTAAACACTATAAACTTGGCGTTTATTCGGCGTAATCAGTGCGCTAATGATGATGAAAATGACTTTAATTCAACTCTGGGTATTCGAATGCGAGGAAAAAGTCTAATCGACACTTAACCTCAACCAAAGGGTGAATAGCGCGGCCGCCATCTTGTTTATTATGTGTGGTGTTGGGGTTTTGGTTTTGGTTTTGATTTTACTTTTCAATATATTATGTGTGGATGTGAGTGTGTGTGTGTGTGGAATAATTCGAGAGCGACTTTCGTTCCAGCGCGCGTTTTGAGCCCGTCGACGTTAATTAATTATCCGCGGCCATTGTGCCCTCTTGATGGGGGCCTAATAGTCGGCGGCTCCCGCACGGCGAGCATGAAAGCAGCCGACGCGCGGAGAGTAGCCCCGCACGGCCCAGCGCAGCCACTCCAAACATCATTAGTTTCCTATTGTCTAAACTAATCTCTCGTCCTTTATACACTTCACTCCGGGCGGACAATTAACACGGTACGCCACTTTAATTCGGCCCCGGAGAGCTTTTATTTAGAAAATGCGCTTTTCAAAACTTGATAAATATTAAAAATATGGTTTAACGACGAAATTTGAACAACTTGGTTGGTTTTTTTCAAAAACTAATAAAAATTACATTAGATGACCTATGTTCGGTGTGTATACCGCAAGTCCAACACTGGAATACTAGACTTTATACATAGTAGTCTCAATTTAACGATAAACTTTGTATAATCGCGAAATTTGTACAATTTACTTGATTTTTTTCAAAAACTAGGTTAAAATTACATTCTTAGTCCTATGTTCGGTCTGTATACCACAAGTCCAACATTGGACTATAAAATTTAATACAGCGTAGCCTTGATTTAACAAAAAACTCTCTATAACAGCGAAATTTGTACAATTTAGTTGGTTTATATTAATTTCCCGGTTATAACGTTACAGTTTCTCTGTGAAACGACGAAAAATATTTTTATTTCAAGCAATAATGACTTAGAATATTTTTTCAAAGACATGACATCGATGGTAACATTTGAAATATTGTTGTAATTATGATCCCAACATCCCTACAAACTGCAATGCAAATTTCTATAACTTAAGCACGATTTTTCAGCTAATTTGTTGGGGTGCAAGTTACGTTACAACAAAATCATTTAAACATAACACAAGTGAATACAACTGTGCGACGCGGAATTCATATTTAGACTTCAGGAAATATTTACCGACATTTTTACAAGAGTAATTGAGTTTATAACCAGCGCAACAAAGATTAAACAGATGCCTATCCACGTAAAATCAAAATATTTGGTTATTTTTTATCTTCAATGGATAACACAGTTCCTGTATTGTTTTCCACTCTAGATATGTAATATTTTCACCCATCGAGAAAAAAAGCGCAAACCTCCTCGCAGTTAAATTAGATTCCCGCTGGCTTTGAGAACGTCGTGGCGGTTGTTAGCGAAACAAAGTGCCCTTAGAGGCGGTTGAGTAGTTGGATTTCGAGAGACATGTGTCGCTTTGATGGAATATCGCGGTTAGTTAAGCGCATCCGAGACGACCGCCTACAACCACCCCAATCGCATTACCGACGGGCGGGTCGTGCATGCGAGCGAGCATATAGTTGTCTAATACTTCGCCCTAATAGCCGCCACCGCCACCGCCACCGCCAACCTCCGCCGCCGACTCCGAAATTAGCTTATACGTGAACACATGCACGCGCGGCAGCCACAATAATAATTTGCACAAAGAAGACAAGACGCAACTTAAACAGAACATGAACGGGCGCATCGCATACGTAATGTCATCATGGTATTGTCGAGTTGAGTGAATCAAAGCTAATTTCTAATAGCGTTAGCTCAATTATTCCCTATACACACTCACACAGCGCTTCGAAAAGGGGAGAGTTTGTCGGTTGTGTATCGTACACGCTATTCTCTTGTACCGCAAGTTACTAAACATGTTTATTATGTGATAAATTGGAAATATTTTAATTTTTTAAATAAATTTTTGGGTGAAAAACCATAAAAACCGTAAAATCGTAAACAAGCGATTTGTTTGGTTAAAAAAATGTTTTTAAGGTTATCTACGAAGAAAACTGTGTTTTCCACATTGGGAGTACGTAATACATTATATGTCTAGAGTGGAAAAAAATGTATTACATATACTTTAATCTACTTTAGTGTTTTCTTGATTGGTAAGATGAAAATCACTGTTTTGTATGTCCCTATACAGAAAACAATGTTTTCCACACTAGATATTACATGTCAAGAGTTAAAAATAACAAATTTCATAAATATTTGAGTAAAATATATGAAATCAAACACTTTCCACACCGTTTTCCATCCAATAAGTGCTAAAAACAGTGTATTCTGCATTAAAAACACGAAAAGCACTGTTTTCAACACCCCAATACAGAAAACAATGTTTTCCACACTAGATATTACAATACTCGAGTTAAAAATAATAAATTTAACAAGTTTTTGAGTAAAATATGGCAAATCAAGTAGTACTTTTCACGCAGTTTTCCATCCAAAAATCACAAAAAACAGTGTTTTCCACATTAAAAACATGAAAATGACTGTTTTCAACACTTCAATACAGAAAACAATGATTTCCACACTCGATATTATATATTTAGACTTAAAAATATTAAATTTCATAAGTTTTTGAGGAAAAAGTATGAAATCCAGTACTTTAGACACAGTTTTTATCCAAATAGTCCTGAAAACAGTGTTTTCCACATTAAAACCTAAAAATCACTGTTTTCAACACTACAATACAAAAAACAATGTTTTCTAAACAAGAGTAGAAAACAATGCATTACCTATGAGTATATGAGCAAAAAATATAATATGTAATCCATTATTTTCCCTTATAAAATTAGTTCCGGTGAAATTTGTATTATTTTCATTTTTGTTTTTTCATCTTTCTTTATTTTTTCATGTCAGCCGTTGAAAAGAAATTGATGAACCCTGGTATAATGCGCGACGTATCGCCGCGGCGCAGACTCATTAAGTCAAGAATTTTTTAAATGCTCGCGTCCGAATCATTAAGACCTTATTGAAGATTATTAAAAGGAACAAAGCGTTCGCCCCGCCGGATGCGAAGCCTGGGAGAAGATTAGGCGTCCCGCAGGGAGTATCAACTTCTTCATTTTTTATCGCATGCACAAAGTGCACAAAACATTTATACAAAGTGTTACAGAAAACAATTTTACTTATTTTTTTCTTTCTCAACCGTATCCTACCCCCTAAGGAGTTGGGGTTCGATAAAAACGATGCCGACCTTTGATTCTTTGCTTCTCGCTGTGTTTAAATCGAAACAAGCTACCGAAAGAAAGCACCAAAGAAACAAACGAGCATAAACGCGGCGCGGATCATTAGATTATTTCGGAATCGAAATCGGCGTTCGTTTGATCCCATTCAAATCCGATACACAATCAAATTCGGATGATGCGAATTTGCGCAACGTTAAATATAAAATGCAAAACGTGAAATGCCAAGCGGTGGATTTCGGTAATATAGCTTTTATAGCTGTATAGCTCTAATTGTGTTGGTATCGCGCAATGAATTTGCATCAAAATTTACCGAGAAATATCAAAAAATTCATCAAATCAAATGTGAGCTGGGGAAAAATTTGTAGAAAGAGGAAAGGGCACTTACTGCGGTGTGGTGAAGGTGGAAGGCGGCGTAGATGGATCATCAAAAGACACCCCATGGTAATAACATTGCACCGAACTGGAAAAAATCAAATTAACTCATCTTAAAATCAGACTCGATTCGCAAACATTTTTAAATTGGTTTATTTCCTAACTATCTCTTGCAATTGACGTAAAAACATGTAAAAACATTTAGAATTCAATGTTATATTTAAATAGAAGTGAAAATTCAAGAGAAAATGCAGAAATATTCAAAAATTAAGAAAATTTTAATAACATACCACAATAGTTTTATGTGATGTTTATCAACCACGAGGCACGCTAAGACTAACAAAAATCGTACGATTCTTTACCTTTCTATCAGTGTTTATCGCGAGTTTTATCGCTGGCGTCTTGTGTTATCTTCAGATAAAATCGTCAACAAACGCAAAAACAAGTGAAAATATTACGTTTATATTGACATTACAGCGACATCTATTGTGGAAATAAAACAACTCTACAACTAGAAAATCTGTAATTTTCGAATGACGTGTATTTTAAACAGCCTATCATGACGTGTAAATAACCTGTCCACATTTTCTCCAGATATTTGCAACAATCAACAATTATTTATTGAAAAACCAGTAAAATAACACAAGAAAATGGTTTTAATGACGATGATAGCCCGTGTGGCCGACGGGCTACCATTAGCAGCCACAATGCAAGAAGATGAACAGGTAATATTAAAAAACATCACAAAATATTAAAATAACTCTATAAATATTTAAACAATTACAGTCCGGAAGAAATATACTAGAATATCAAAATCAGGCAAAGATGCTCTTTAGGAAACTAGGACCACAATCACCTGTTAGATGCACAATTGAAACTGGTCCTTATTTATTCCAGTAAGTAATTATTTAATAAATATTTCATAATTTTGTTTAAATAAATTAACTAATTTGTATTGTAGTTATTTAATAGAACATGACATTTGCTACCTAGTACTCTGTGAACAGAACTACTCAAAAAGACTGGCATATTCTTATCTGGATGACATTGCACAAGAATTTCATCGTCAGTATGGAAAACGAGTGAATACAGTCACAAGACCATACAGTTTCATTGAGTTTGATAACTACATTCAGAAAGCAAAGAAGATTTTCTTAGATTCGAGATCCAGACGGAATATTAGCAACATTAACAATCAACTGCAAGATGTCCAGAGGATTATGGTTCAGAATATCGATGATGTATTACAGCGAGGCACAGTTTTATCAGGTAAGAAAATATTCAAGTATTAAGTGCGCTAAATTAGACTTTTAACAATGTTTAGTGACATGATTCTAATAATTTTTTCTATTTTCATTGAATTTCTACGTTTAGTCACGTTTGCTCGTGACTAAAGTAATTTATTCACCACTTTTGCTTGTCTATGAGTAAATTATCACTTTTTACGTCTCAAAACAGTGGAAAAAGTCACACTTTAAAGGTGGAAATAGAAAAAATAATGTTTTAATGAATTTTGACTTGAAAAGTCATAAAAAATTAACATTTTTTGATTTTTTTGTAGAATTGGATACAAAAACACAAAATCTATCAATGCTGACGCAAAAATACAAGAAAGACGCAACTTATTTGAACACAAAGTCGATGTACGTGAAGTGCGCAGTTGGTGGCATCGCACTCCTGGTGTTTGTCTTATATTTCTGGGTATTATAAGCAATCCACACGATTTTGGGACTGACGCACCGCTAAAGATGATAATAATTACGGAATTACTTCGTTAATGCCAGAAATATTAATTAATTTGGGCGTTAATTTAATTGGACAGTTATTCTATAATAATAATTACTGCATTTTACGATGTATTGTTTAGTTTAATTGGTAAAATGAAAATAATAATATATTTACTCAATCAGTCTTCTGGCAAACTTAACAATCACTTGTTTTATGCAAACAAAATCATCAAAAACTAATAAATTAAACATTATTTCATAGATTCTCATGCAAAACATCAAAAATAACTAAAAATTCTTCTCTTTTTTTAGAGTTTTGTGTTTTTATCACAATTATTCAGACATTTCACCATCGGAATGCTCTGAAATGAATAACAGATTCTTCATTGCTTTGTAAATATTTTCTTCAGACTCAGAGTGTTTAATAATACTGTTTATCACACTGCTGCCAATCTTGGCATCGCTTTCAGTGCCGTCTTCATCATCAGAATCAATCACTTGTAAATCATGACAATGATCTTTAAATATTACCTGAATCACTGGATATTCTATGATTGATTTGCCTCTGAAGCATTCTTGAAGTGTTAGAGTGGGATCCAATTCATAGAATTTTAAACCACGTTTACCTTCGGCTCTTAGCAATATTTTTATTCCTGTTATACCAGCAGCTTGGTAATATTGTAGTTTTTCTTGTAACAATGGATTTTCTTGCTTTACTAAATATTTTCTGATGACTTTGCCGAGTTTTTCAGTCTCCCGGACTAAATCATCATGCAGATGGAGATTATCTGCGTTGGTGAAGACCCATTCAATATGCCAGAACACAACATTTGATTGAAAGTTTAGTTTTGTTGTGTTGCGACGATGGCGATCAAAGTTAAGTGGTAAAAATTTTAATGTTGTTTTGTTTTTTCCAAAGTTTTCTTCAATCTGAATAAATGCTGTTGATTAATATGTTTTTTAATAGTTTTTAATATATTTTAAGTTATAGAATGATAAACACTTACATTTGGTAGAGTTTGATCACTTTTATTGAAAGTATTTCTAAGTTTTTTTGTAGAAGCCAAACTGCGAGTGATTTCCTCCAAAAGTCTATAATCGCTAGACAAATCTAGGTTTGTAAACTTTTTTACAGGGATAAATTTGGCTCTGTCGCGTTCCCCAGTGCATTCTAGTTCTTTTTTATGGATTGTCGAGCATTTTAAACTGCAGGTTTTCACTTCACATCGAGGACAAGTGTATTTTGCTTCTGTTGCAGCACATACTTCACAGAAACCAAGCCTTTTTTTTAATTTAAAACATAAAATATACATTTATTAATTGTTTTTTAGTAAATTCTTGTTTCAATCATTTAAAATTGCTTAAAAATTCAACTTACTTTGATTGCAATTCACTTGTTTCTTCCTCATCATCAGAAAACCTGATATGAGTACTCGTGCGTCTTTCTACTTGTGGCACATGAGGTATTACAGTTTCTACTTCCATTTTAATCAAAAAACAATTGAAATTTGTTTAAATTACGTGTTGTTTCGTTAAATTTCATTCGAGAACTAACGCACATGTTTTACATGTGATAACTTGTAACCTCATTGGTTGTATGAAGTAGAAAATACAAGATGGCGTTAGGTTATGATACAACATGACCAAAATATTCAACAAATTATCATTTTTTACACAAAAAACTATGTTTTACAACTATATTTAGTTGTAATATAGTAGATTTATATATTTACCATGATTATTTCACATTTATTTGCTAATTAACCTCTAATTTCACAACTTTTTAGTGTTTTTTCACCAAAAACGTCAATTTAACACTTTTTTAACTTAAAACTCAAAATAAATAAAAACCCAAACAAAATTTTTAACTTTTCTAGTGAGTAAATTGATTATAAAGCAATAAAATGAATTCTGAACCACCTGTACTCTTCGAAACTTATTACAACAAAGGTATAATCACTTTAAACCGTCCAGATAAACTAAACGCGATAAATTATGACATAATTCAAAAAATAAGTGAACATTTAATTCAATGGCAATGTCAAAAGTTCCTCCTGGTAATAATCAAAGGCAATGGAAGAGCTTTCTCAGCCGGAGGTGATTTAGTCTCCTTACAACGTGCACAAAATGGCGAATATGACTTCAAACAACACGCAGTTGTAATTCTTTACTTAGCTTACACCCTAGTAGGACAAATACCAAACTACAAACCCAATTTCATCTCATTCATGGATGGAATTGTCATGGGCGGAGGAGCAGGGTTGTCCATCCATGGAAAATACAGAATAATCACGGAAAGGACCATTTTTGCGATGCCAGAAACAACAATCGGTTTTTTTCCCGATGTGGGAGCTTCATACTTCCTCAGCAGACTCCAAGGAAGACTCGGGTTATATTTAGGCCTCACAGGAGAAAGATTACAAGGTGAAGAAATAGTTATCTTTGGTCTGGGTACTCATTTCGTCCCCAGTGACTTGTTACCAGACTTAGAAAAGCGATTGATGGAATGTCATGATGATTATGATATTGAGGTGACTTTGGATTGTTTTCATCGATATACATTTGATTTGGAGGATGATAAAGAAGTGCAACTCAAAGAAATCAACTCCTGCTTTGATGCAGAGAGTGTAGAAGAGATTTTATTGAGATTATCAGAGAATGGTTCAAAGTTTTGTTTGAAAACGCGTGAAACTTTGATGGGGAAATCTCCGACAAGTTTAAAGATTACTTTTGAGGCTTGGAAGCGTGGAAGGAGTATGAGTTTGATTGATTGTCTGAATATGGAGTATCGAATGGCGAGTAGATGTTTATCTGTTAAACATCAGTTGAATTTGGGACATAAAATCAAGCCGCATTCGGATTTCAAGGAAGGTGTGCGTGCGTTGTTGATTCATAAGGATAAAACACCGCAGTGGTATCCAAAGACGCTTGAGGATGTTAGTCAGGAGTTGGTTGATAGTTATTTTCATGAGGCGGATAATATTTGCCATGATTTTATCAGATAATTGATCAAGTTTATGAATAAGTTGATGTTTTGATTGAAATTTCGTTCGGTTATGTTCGTGTCAATTCGTTTTTTTGGTTTAAAATTAAAAAAATTCAAATAAATCTTCAATAAAAGTCGATTGAATTTGTTTGGTGGACTTTTTTGAATATTTTGTATGTTTTTAACAATAATTTAATACTTTTAGACTAATTTCTTGCTATTTTAAGTTGTTTTTATCATTCTGTATGTTAACAGGTTATGTAAACCAAAACATTTACACGTTTTTGTGATTTCTAACACATTTTCTACTAAAATTTATGTAAATAAATAAAAAAATGACGAATTTTAACATACAATTGATTAAAACCGATGTTACATCATTAAAAATCCATGATAACTACTTATTAGCAGGTAAAATCTCAAATTTATATTCAATTTTGACTAAAATTTAACTTTTACGATAAATTTTTAGGGATTGGATCACAATTACATGTTTATGACTTAAAAACCAATGAATTACTAATTAAATCCACACTTTTTGATGGTTTGCGAATACATGGCATCGAAATCAATGCAAGTGGATCACATATTCTACTAAATGCAGAAAATGAGCTGCTTATTTTACAAGCATCTTTTATCGAATGCTTTAAGTTTAATATCGAGCAAAGAATACCAATGTATGATTGGATACTGGCAACCAAATGGCTGCAGTATAATAATTTTGTTATTGTAACAATGCACAATCATGTTGAGTTTTATAATAATGAGACTTTAATGTTGGCACAGAACAGTTGTGATACTAAATGTATTTTGTATTGTGCACATATTGCTTTTGATACTGTTCGAACTTGTGTTGTGTTGAGTGGGACTGTTTTTTCTGAGATTTTGATATGGCGGCCATTTTATAACGGGGAAGTTTTACATAGGTTGAAAGGACATGAAGTAAGTATAAATATGCACTTACTATTGTGTTAACATATGAATATATGAAGAAAAACTGCAAAATTTACTGCTGATGATGCACAAGAACATGTTTAAGTGAATGTAGTCTAACCTCACATTTGTGCCATCAGCGCTGTTGCAACTAGCGGTGAAAATTTGAACTAAAGTTTAATTCTTATAAAAAACTTAAAATAATCAACTTATTAACAATATTTTAACATTTTAGGGTGTGTTATTCTCTATAACACTCTTGGATTCACATATTCTAAGCACATCTGATGATCGTTCAATAACTTTATGGAAAATAACCGGAAATTTAAGTGATTCTGAAGATAAAACTTGTCAAATATCACTAAAACACCAAATGCATGGTCATACAGCCAGAGTTTTCTGTGGAATACTTCTATCTAACAATTTATTATCTGCTGGTGAAGATGGAAGGGTAAATATTTGGGATTTTGACGGAAATCTCATTAAAACATTCAATGTACATCATGGTGGTAGTGTATGGTCTTTAGAATGTTGTGAAAAACGCAATTTGATTGTCAGTGGAGGCTCTGATTCAAGTATAGCAAGATTACCACTATCAGATAACTGGCAAACCATGAAAATTAAAATGGCAGAGAAAGAAATACCGAAAAAGTTGGTTGTAATGCATAATGGCGATGTTGTAGTAATTGCAGAAAGTGGTTTATTGATGCATTACATCAAAGAAAGCAATGTTATTGTTAATGTTGGATTGTTTAAAGAATTTCAGAGTTATGCACTGATGGAGGTTTCTATTTGTAGAAGGAAACTTGTTTTAGCAGGTAAAAAACTTATTTTTATACATAAAATCAAATTTGAGGTTAAATTTTATGTTTTAGGATTATATGGAGATATAAAAGTCTTTGTTTTGATGAATAATGAATTAGTTGAAGAGTTTCAACATTGTATAGGTAACAAAAAGAGAATATTTGCAATTCATTGGTTAACATGCAATCATTTGCTATCCTGTGGACCTGATGGTGTTTTATATTTATGGAAACTTTATAAACCCAGTGAAAAGTTACTAAAAATACAGAAAACTGTAAAAAATGGTTTATTATTAATAAGTATTTATATTTTGCTATTAAATTAAGTGTTTTTTGCTTAATTACTTATTTTATAGATAAATTTGAGTTGCCACAATCAAAAGAACGTTGGTCTACATCCGCCTGTCGCATAACAAACCTTGGAATAGTTGTAGGTGACCGCAAAGGAAACTTACACTATTTCAAAATGGACGCCACCGCTGCAACTCACACTATAAAAAGAGCGCATTCACATTTAGGCATCACACAACTCTACTGGAACGCCCAGAAGAAGGTATTAACATCATACGGTAGGAATTCAACGTTGAGAAATTACCACATTGATGAATCCACATCTAAAATCATTCCTATAGCCTCAGATGTGTTACCATTTGCTTGGCTAGCATCAAAATTAGATCAAAACATTATCTTAGGCTTCTCTGGTAATGAAATACTCTTATGGGACTATGATAAACGCCTTGAATTGTTTAAAACTAATTGTGGAGGTGGCCACAGGTCATGGGACTTTCATTCTGACAATTTTGTTTATATTCGAGATAAAGCAGTGAATTGTTTGAAAACTAATCGTCCGGTTGAGTTAACATCAAGTGTGCATTCCACAGAAATGAATACAATGAAGTGTTTGAAGTTACAAGGTAAGATTATGTTTATATCTGGTGGGGAAGACACCACACTTAGATTTTCTTCAGTTTTAATGGGAAATAGTGAGGTTAGGAATGAATTTGTGAATGAAGCAACTATAAAATCACATTTATCGAGTATAAGATGTTTACATCTTATTTCTGGTGAAGATAATTGTTATAAATTAGTAACAGCAGGTGGACGAGGTCAAATTATCTACTGGTTACTTAATTTGGACCAAAATGGCGACTTTTTGTTCTGTAAAGAGTTGCATTCGTTCTATGAACCTGAAGATGAAGAAATACGTGTTATGGATTTATCCAGTGATGAAAACATGTTATTTGCAGCATGTTCTGATGGTAGTATAAAAATTTATAACCTCAAAAATGACAGAATTGAGTTATTTAAGGTTATATTTTATAAACTACGCTGCATATTGAAATTATGCGTAGTAAAATCATTTGATATGTTAATTACAATGGCCACGGACGGCCATCTTGTTTTTTGGAAGTTAAATGAACTAACAAATCAAGAAAATCAAGAAAATGATAAAATTTCACCGTTTTATAAGTTTAAAGCACATGCATCAGGTATAAATGCATTTGATTTCAAACAAATAGATGAAAACAAGTTTCTTTGTTTGTCTGGAGGCGATGATAATCAAATATGTTTAATAATGTGCAAATGCTCCGAAGGCGACTTAAGTGTGTTACATCATTATACAAATGTTGAATCACACTGCGCACAGATTACAGGCGCCTATTTGAGTGAAAAATGCTTTTTTACTGCTTCACTTGATCAAAAACTGTTAATGTTTGAATATCACGTAACCAACAAATTGAATGTAACATTTAAAGCTGTTCACAACTCAACTATAAGTGATATCAAAGGAATTAATGTATTTTCCAATCAAAAACATGATTTTGATATAGTTTTATATGGTTTAGGACTGGAATTATTAAAATTACAAACGTAATATTCCTGTAACACGTTTATTTCTATACTAATAGTGAAATCAACACTAAAAACATAAAAATTTTGAGGTTAATCTAATTTCTTGATCTTTTTTATAATGCACCGTTGACGTTTGGCCACCATTTTGCATTGGTTTGAACTTTTATTATCCTCTGAACATTCCTCGATGATTTCTGGTATATTTGCGTTTGGTGGAGCGAATTCTTTGACCATATCAACTTTGACATCATTAGATTCATCCACAGCGTTTAATTTAATCAAAACACATCTATTCATGCAGTAGTACTTCTTCTCCTTGAGGAAATCCTTCAATTTGTATGTTTTTTCAACGTTTAACTGTGTTTCTGTTTGATTTGCGCACGAAATCACTGTTTCATTCAACATTTCTCTTGATTTTTCAATCAAACATATTGTTAGGTTATGTGCACGCTCACAATTGGTTAAATTCTTAGTTATTTCATCACATTGTTTACCAATTGGTTCAAATACTTTAGGAATTGAGGTTATGTTAAATGCACCTATTGTGGATAACAATCCTGCTTTCTCCAGGGTACATTTGTTTAAACATGCGTATTTTGGGTCAAATATTGGAAGATTTAACGGTCCTGATATGCTTAACTTCTTTTCTCCTTTTGGTACGTCGATGTCAAGTTCATGTTTACATTCTTTGAGTGCATGTTTGATTGCATACGGTTTTTTTAGGTATGGATTAGCCTATGGAGTAAAATAGAAGTTAATTTAGGTTATATTTTGAGGTTAGGTATAGTTACACTGGCAATTGCTGCTAAACAACTGAATATTATGATGAAACTAGTCATTTTGATGACTTTCAAATGAGAAATGATGAATATTTATGCTCACCTGCGTTTTTATAACAATTTTAAGCCGATCACGTGATATGAGTCATGAACACAATGAATATAAACAAGTTGAAGTGTTGTGACAACTTTGGGAGGTCGTCCATTATTAATAGGTTAGTTAATGGTGTAAAACCGCAATAATCACTGGTTTTGATTTGTTTGTTGTTAATTTTAAGTAGGAAATACTTAATTTTTAGTTCGTGAACCTGTGATTTACAAAAATTAATAGAAAACATGTTTTGACATCTATATATCTATTATTATAAACTTGTTATAATAAAAGCGACGATGTCATTAGTGTGGCTGTCATTTGCTTGTTATGTTTTGTTAAACAATCAAATAAAAATAGACCGGTATGGAGAAAGGCGATCACGAGCGTAATTTTGCCTTTCCACAGACAAAATCACAATGGTTGCTGGAAGTAGAGCGGCAGGATAACGAATTGATTAAGTGGATCGATGAGTTTTTGGAATCGGAGGAATATGCGGAGATTTTAAGAGAACGCGTTGATCTTCAGCCGAAAAGTGAGAGTTTTTATTGGAAAAATGAACGGATGAGTGTGGAGAATGATGAGAAGGACAGGATACGGCCTGATTATTTAAAACATGGGGATTTGGTTTTGTTGGAAGAGAAAATTAAGGAGAGTTTGACGCGGTTGATGATTCAGAATACTGTGGAGAATCAACGTAGGGGGATTGAAATTATTAGGGTGAGTATGTTGTTATTATGGTAAAAGGAGGGGGAGATGAAGTTGGGGAGCTGCGACTGGACTGTTGAATGACTCAGGCATGACTGAGTTTGGGGTGCAGTGCGCGATGCCTTTTATACTTGCAGAATAGTGGTGGGGGAAGAGTAGACGCAGCGTCGGCTACCGCGCGAGTGTGCAAGCACGGAATATCAATAATAGAGGAGTGGGGGTATAAGGTGCCTTTCACTTGATGATATGTTGAACAGGGGTACCCATTAAATTAATATAACCGTTTTTAGTAATTTTTTTTATACTTTTGACATAATTTACTTTAAAGATGAAAATTTTGGAAGCTAAATTAGAACATGATGAAAACACATTAACTAACGCTGAGAAAATGTATCAAAACAAAGCAAAAGCATTGTCTATGCTACGAAAAGATTACCGGATGTCAATACACGAAGAAGATTTAACAGAAAAAGTCGTTGAAAAGATTTTAAAAGTAAAAAACGCACAAAGAAACAATGTAAAAAATGTAAACAGAAATCGTGTACATGTGGTTGCCAATATACTACGTGATATGAGAAGAGACAAGAAAGAAAAGAAGCAGAAAAGTATTAAAACACAAAAAAGCAGAAAAATACAAAGTTTTGAAGATGATGACTCTACTTACAAAGAAGAAGCAGACGAAGACGAAGGAGAAGGAGAAGGAGAAGAAGAATCAATATCATCATTAAAAAATGTAATTTTATTAGTTTTGAGGTTATAATATAATAGTTTTAGTATTTTCACATAGATGGCTTGTATTTTCAGTCTGATTTTGAAGAAGAATCATATAAATCAATAGAAAATGTAGAATCAAAGAAGAAAATAGTAGAAAATAAGAAAAAGAAGAAAACACCTTCGAACTTATCGATTAAAAATACAAAAAACACTAAAAAACAAAAAGAATCTCCAAAACAAGACAAAAAAACTGTAAAAACAAGTAAAACAAGCAAAATCTCAAAGAAAACCGAAAAAACTGTAAGTTTTATAAAAATTTTATCCAAAAAACAATAAAAATATAAATTATTATATATTCATAAGCCTGAAGACATAATTCCTCCCCAAATCCCCAACCCAAACCCCCGCAAAAAAGTCCTCCCTGAATACGCAATGACAGACCTCTTAGAAAACATAACCAAACTTTACGACTACCTCAAAGAAAAAGAAAGCTACGAAATCCAAGACGGCTTAACCCAAGACATCCTCCTACCCTTAGACGAAGGTTTCTTCAGTCGTCCCAACAAAATAATCTTTAAAGACTACGAACCTGGCAAAAAATACAAAAAAATCATCTCGATAGTAAACGGAAATCGCAATCCGAAAAAAATCCGCCTTGATCGCATCATTTGGAACGCAAACATCGAAGAAGACCAACTATTGGAAGTGGAATCAATGGGCATCCGGCGAGTCCTGCCCGGAATGAGTTTTAAAGCGTGTTTGCGCTTCGCCCCCGAAGTCCTCAACAAAACCGCAGACGGGAAAATAATCTTCGTCACGAATAAGCTGCGCAGCGATCGGTCACGACAATTCGTCCTCAATGTGGTTTGTGTGCCGTTGTGTGCGGCGGTTTTGATCTCGCCGACGGTGGTGTCCTTTGAGGAAATGCCAATATGGCGGGCGCAGTCATTAATGAAACAAGGAAGAAATTACAAAACAATTACAATCAGTAATTCTGGATTAAAGGAATGTAAAGTTGTCGTAACGAAAATATTCAACCACCAAACAATGGAACAAGAGTGGAAAAAGATTATTAGTATCATTAGAATTGATGATATCACTTCGGATAGTGACAGGAAGCAGTTATCATCTTCTAATTTAGAGGATCCAAAGGCCGCGGATCCGTTTCCAAGGAATTTAGTACAACAATGCGTTGAAAGTGTGTTTAACGTCTTCAAATTCGATCGGAACGTGTTCAATGTCCAACCAAAGACAACTGTGGTGATTAAATGTTGGTTGAAGGATCTATCCGAGGCAGGATATCAAGTTGAATCGTATAATTTCAGTATTTATGAACGGTTTTTAGATGGACAGTTATATTGTATCGGAACACAGGTATAAATCATATTAGACATTTAACCTAGGCAACCAAACATACACATTTTTATATATTACAGGATGTTATTGTAAATTCCGAAACAACTTCGCATTTTCTCACTTCTAATGTAGAAATATTAGATTTTGAAGTGTGTGTTTATGGTTCTGCCTATCAACTGGACTTTGATCTGACAAATCCTTGTAAATTAGCGCATCACATCCGGATATGCTTCCCTTCTCGCATGAAACAATATTTACAAGCAAATCCGGCAGTTACCACCATTCTACCCAATCAAACGATTAAAATTTGTATTAAATTTTTACCCATTGAAGGTATTTTACTTGATAACAAGTTTTACGATGCGGAAGTTTGTCTGTTGGAGTTTCCGGTTTATGTGACAGTACAAACGCGAGGTTATGAAGACACGCCGCCATTACGCGTGGATGTTTTTGCTGCTGTTACCGAATCACAAGGCGTTGTGATTGATTTTGGTGATAAAATTGTTTCAAGTTATGAAAATGGCGTCGAATTTTATGATTTAGGAAGTTGCACCACTGTGGAAAGTGTTTATTTTGATCTAATTGTTCATAACAATTCATTGGTGCCACAACAGTTTGGATTTTTAAGTTTACCACATGTAAAAATATACATAACCTTAAATTTTTATAAAAATAACCTAAAATTCATATTTTTTTGACAGTATGTGACAATTACACCTAATTATGGTTTTGGACAATTGAAACCTAAGCAAAAAGCAAGTGTACGTGTGATTATCTCACCGTCGAGACAAGATATCATGAACAATGATGGTTGCCTAAAGTTTCAAGTAGTTTTAAGCACGATTAAACACTGTGGAGCGCTTAAAAAGGTATATAACCTCAAAATTTATATTTTAATTAATAAAATTCACATTTACACAACTTCAGAAAAGAAATGATAAAGATCTAGAGAAGAAACTTAAAGAAATGGAAGATTTTGTATGTAAATCACGTGGTAGTAACAGTTCAAAGCTAAAAGAAGACATAAAAGAACTAAAACAAGCTGTCAAAAAGAAAACACTCAGTATATCAACACCGTCAAAGTCCTCAGCGTCTGTAGACAGGTTTATACAAGCACTTGACGATGATGAACTGTTGATAAACCTCGTAAAATACGACATAGAAGAAGAAAAAGAAGTTTCATCTAATAACGAAGCGCCATCTTCCGTTTCGCAGCTGACTTCACCCATAACCACGTTTAATTTTCGTGTTTGCGTTGTGGATGTCGCTGTGGAGCTGTCACACCAGATTTTGAACTTCCCGGACACTCCTTGCGGCTCATATTCAAGCATGACTCTTGATATTATCACGCATAAATCAATGAATATGAAATATCAAGTGTTTTTCGAGATTTCCAGTTGTAATCCTGATTGTAAAGAAATTGAAGTGCAGCCATCTATCGGTAAATTACCGAGTAATAAAAAGAAAACAATTTGGGTTACGGTAAAACCAAATATACCACAAAAAGTCATCGAGGAACGTGCTAAAGTGTTAAAAAAAGCAGAAAATGATAAAAATTTTGAAGAAAATGATATTGCAGGATATAAAAAACAGTCAAAAGTAAAATTTGGTAGAAAAGATAGTAGTAAAGCATCTAGTAAACCCGTAAAACAACAAAAAACTCGAATTAAAGAAGATATTAGTACAGTGGTGGATTTAGATGATTATTATCAAACGGAAATGAACATATGGCGGACATTAGAACCATATTACCTTGAAGGATTGTTTACTTGTCGAATTACTTATGTACCTATCAATAATGCAATGTAGGTTAAGTTTTTACCGCCAAAAATTAATGTTTTGAGGTTATGTAACAATATCGTTATTGTAGAGCCCGTCAACCGGAAGAAATACAGTTTAAAGTCACCTGTACAGTGGTAGCACCCAATTTTATACATGATCAACAATATCAAGTGATTGATTTTGGTTGTGTGCCTGTTGGTTTGAACATAACCAAAACTATCAACTTCCAAAACATTCAAAGTATGTTTATTATGTTTTTTAGGTGATTTTTGAATTGTAATTTATATTATTAAGTTTGCTTATGTTCTAGGGAGGAATATAAGTATTGTTGTGTCAGATACAAATCCACTTGGGCCTTTTTCTTCGACAGCTGTGACAAATTATGAAATTCCACCGGAATATATTTATTCTTTTCCGTTGAAATTCACACCTACAGAAGATTCATCTGTAAGAGTAGATAATAATAAAGAAAATTTTATTTTGAGGTTATTTTTGTAGGTTATGGAGTTTTTGGATGTTACAAGTGATAGTACGTCATATCCGTTTATTTTACGTGGAATAGGCATCAAACCAAGATTAATTTTCACTCCGGAGTTTAACGTTTGTCGTTTAACAGCTCAAAAAGGAAATTATCAGGATTGTGTCTTTGAAGTACATTTATAACCTTAAAATTAAACAATTTATTTTTAAAACATAAATTTTAGGTTAAAAATGATAGTGATATAACACTTAACCTCTATTTACAAAAAGTATGTGAATTGGAAGGTACTATCACACAACCTGAAGTTCAGGATAATAAAAAGCTTAAAAAGTCAAATTCGCCGCAGAAGAAAGCAAAGTTTTCTTTTGATTTATATGATGAAGAGATTTATGCACTGAAGAATACATTCAAACTACGAGAATCCACATCATCGACGTTGTTTCATGTGATTTGTAATTCTGAATTGGTAGATACGTTCATAATCGAAGCGCAGTCAAAATGCAGTGTGAAAATACGTTTTGGGGTTATGTCAGCGCCAACGAAAGAATCAAAAAAGAAAAAAGGTAAAGATAAAGAAAAAGCTTCAAAATCAACAGTGGATAATGGAAAATACTTTATTGTAAAATATAATATGTTCATAGGACTAAATTACATCAAAGATTTTGTTATTATTAGCAATATTACATGATAAAATTAAAGTACACATAAATGTTTGTCATTGGTTCATGTTAATAATTTTTTTAGTGTTTGAAAATCAATATTTTCAACGTTTTATCGATTTTTTCAACATTTTTATTTTTATGGTAGGCAACCAAGTGTACAGCAATGTCACTGTAGTTGCCATTAGGTTAATAATTCTTGTAGTGTTTAAAAATTAATTTTTTTTTTATCATTTTATCGTTTTCTTTAAACATTTTCATGTTTATGGTAGGCAACCAAGTGAACAGCAGTGTCATTTTAGTTGCCATTAGGTTAATAATTCTTGTAGTGTTTAAAAATTAATTTTTTTTATCATTTTATCGTTTTCTTTAAACATTTTCATATTTATGGTAGGCAACCAAGTGAACAGCAGTGTCATTTTAGTTGCCATTAGGTTAATAATTCTTCTAGTGTTTAAAAATTATTTTTTTTTACCATTTTATCGTTTTCTTTAAACATTTTCATGTTTATGGTAGGCAACCAAGTAAACATCAATGTCACTTCTGTTGGTAGATCATGATGATTCATCATTCATTACATTTTCTATACGACGTGTGATAATTTCTTCTGGTGTTTCTCCTTTATTATTTTTCAACGCTTTGTTGCCTTCTTTAGACACCAACAAAATATAACTATCAGTATGTTTATTATAGGCAGCCAGATGCGCAGGGGTGTTACCCAAGTCAGTGGTACCATTAACAGCAGCGCCATTTCTCAATAAACACTCAACAATTCCATTATAATTATAATAAGCCGCCCAATGCAACGGTGTGAATCCACCGGAATCTCTTTCATTGATTTTTGCGCCTTCATTTAACAACCGTTCACATTCGCCTTCATCGCCGCAAATGGCGGCATCTATAAGACTCAACGACGAATCCATATTATCACGATATACTTGTGTATTTGTATGAATGTTCTTCACAACTCCCATTTGATCACGATACACGCCTGGGTGAAAAAAACATTTCGCAAATGTTTTATTCGTGAATTCTCCGGATTGCTTGATTATATTCCCATTGTATTCAGTGACTTTTCCGGATAAATCCCGATAAACTTTTTCCAGCATTGTACTCACGTCTAGTTTATGCGCCGACTTCATAAACTCTTCACACAATGCATAAATGAACCAGCTACCAGTAGTGGGGTGTCGCCATGATTTATATCCAGGCACTGATGAGTAGGCAACCAGTAAATCAGTAAAAGTTGGTAGTATTACGATATTATCAGAAGCAACGCTGTTATGTTCATGAGAATCTGCTTGTATGCCTTTATCTTCATATAATCCTCTGTAATTATAGAAATAAACAAATGTAGAGGAGATTTAGGTTATGTAACTTGTTTTCTAACCTGCACATTTGAAAAAAAATCATTTTTGGTTTTTGTTGCATATGTAGGCAACTTGTGTTGCTGAAATAATTGATAATGTCATGGAAATATATCTCGTTGTCTTTTACATCGTCAGTGACGAAATATTCACGGCCATCTTTGCGTCCGCCATGACCCATGAGGAATAGTATTGATATATCTACTTTTTTTAATTCTTCACATTCGACGAAATCTTTCAAATTATTATGTATATCCTGTAACATAATGAACCTATAGCGCCATCTATGTTAAAATTACACAACTAAACTTTGCTTTATATAATACACTAGCTTTAACCCGCGGCTTCGCTCGCGAATATCTAAAATAATGAAGTTGCTTCCGTACGCGTCTGTAGTCACAGAAGAAGTAACAATGAAGTAGAATGGCGGGAAGTTTAAAATGGCTGAAAATATAGTCTATGGAAGTATAGTGTACAGTCTCCATAGTGTAGTCAATTGGATTTGATGTTGACGTAGCTGTCGGTAATACAGTGTGATAATACAGTGTGATGGTACGATAGTACTTAGGTTTGAGCTACATTGCTGGAATGCTAGATGGCGTTAAAGTCGTCAAATAGCCAGGTGCAGAGGTATTATTGGCTAAACAATTTCTTTATTTTATTTAAAAAATATTTTTTTTTATTAAATAAAAAGTAGCCTATAACCATTCGGGGACCACTAAGAATATGTGTACAAATTTTCATGATGATCGGTTATGTAGTTTTTGCGTGAAAGTGTAACAAACATCAGGACTTTCGCATTTATAATATTAATAGGGATTGGTGCAATGAAAGAAGTCTATGTTATTAATTTAATAAAAAACAAAAACAAATTTAATACCTGTTTCGTGTACGTCTGTCCTGGGGCAATCAAAACAACAAATCCCATTTGTTCAAACAATTGCTGCAAGTTACTCACATCCACCTCCGATCCTTCTCTTGGTGCACAATTGTGGTTAGAATACTCGTAAAAGTTTATAATTAAAACCACGCCGCGATGCACCGATGTAGTATTATATACATGAATTCCATCTCGCGTGAATTTTTTCATGTTTGGAATGTCTTTCGCCAATCTTACGTTAATTTCCAATGGTTTTAGCTGATCCATGATCAAAAACTGACGAAAAAAATGTTTTTAGATATTTCAGCTTCATGTGCCAACAATCAACTAATTCATCACACCTTTATCTTTATATAATATGAATTATATCAATATTTATCAAGTTATTCAAGTGTACCGCGACTTATTATCTTATTTACTTTGCAATTTTATTTCGTTCAATTGATAACACGTTACTTAATCCACATGGAAGTGCTTGTATCACTTTGAATTGTTTATTTATTTAATATTTAAGTTGTATTTATTTAATTAATTGATCAAAATGTTGCCGATGGTTTATTTGGTAGTTTTTCATACTTCGGGTGATTCTGCATCAATTCTTCGCTTTTAATTCGAGTCAAAAACGTCAAATCTTTGATTTTGTTGATTTGTTTCAGTAACATTATGCCGTTAATTTGTCTGGAGAACTTGAGGAAGTATTTCCGTGGCTTGCAATCTGCATACAACGGATCTGAAGCTGTATAATCATCGTGTTTATCATCTAGATTGTTTAAATTCACACTGCTTGGTATTTTTATCATTGTTTCTAGATTTTTAGAGGTTATGTTATCCTCTTCAGAAGAATCTGTTTGTTTTATGTCTTTGTCATCTTCAATATCGATTAATTCATCATTTTTGCTTGATTTTAAGCTGTTATTACTAATAACCTCTAAATTTGATGAGTTTACTTCCGGTGTGTGCAATCCGCCATTTTGTATGTACGTTAGGAGTGAAGCTGTTGATGTTTTCTTTGATTGTTGCATATCATCCGTGTGTGTTTGACAATCACGAGTTATTTTGTGGTTTTGTAGACTTTGTGTGTGTACAGACGTTGAAAAATCCGTATAAGTTTCTTGATTTACTTTTAAACTTGATTGTGAATCTTCACTTCTTTCTATTATCGTAGATAATGTAATAACATCGATATTATTACCAATTTGATTGAATTTTTGTGCCTGGAAGCACTGCGGTTGGATTTCTATGCATTTTATTTGAATCAGCGGCCATTTTGTGATCAGGGTTAACATTAACGGATGATAAATATAGTTTACATGCTCAGACTAAAACATAACCTCAAATTATTTTAAAATTTTATGAATTTAATACTTTTACTAACGTTTTCATTGTTTATATCGTATTGTCGTGTAAATATCGACGCTGCAAAGTAATTAATTAATACATTAGCAGCGTGTTTATTGTAATTTTGCCCGGATTTGTTGTAATGTACTAAACTCCTCAGGAAATTGACGAAATAACCAATTAGAAGCAGATTGACTCTTGGTAATCTCAATAATTCTCTAAAAAAATCAAATATTTAAATAATTCTTACTCAATTCTTACTAAAATAGGTTATGTTGTTGGAGTGAATAAAGGTTATGTTATTTTTTACTTTGCTAGGTTATGTAGTACAACGCCATCTTGTTTCTCATCTCTAAAACGTTTTTGTATGATTGTTTTGCATTCCAATGACAATTTCTTCCAGTTATAATGCTTTTTCTCAGTGTATTTCGGTAGTAAAGGCACAGGTAACATTGTGAGATAATATTTAAGTGTGTGGATCAACATTTCAAAGGACAACGGAGCAGGGAATGGTTTTCCGTAGGTGAGAGCGTTGATTAAATCAGTTAATTTTGGTAAACAGTGGTTTACAGTTGGATTTGCTCTAAAAAAATCAATAAATAAATAAAAATTTATAAATATTAAGATTAAATATTATACATGAGACATTGTACGGCATTGGCTGCGTTTGTTTGGAGGAAATATCGGTAGGTAACAATGAATAAACGCTGTGAAGAATAAAAATTAAATATTTTGTTATTTTTTGGTGAAAAATATCAAAAATAATGAAAATACTTTTAGTGAGGGGTGTACATCACCGTTGGGGAAGACATCTTCAAGTGGTAAACCAAAAGTAAGCCTAGAAACAACAAAAAACATTTTTTTAAATTTTTTAATTAAATTTATTAAATTTATACCTGAAATCACTGTTGGAATAGAAATTATTTTGATTGTACGAGAATGTCATCTTGATTTTAATGACAAAATGTCAATAAAATACGATTTACTATAATAATAATAATAATAATAATAATAGAAATAAAAATAAAAGAATGACGTACTTTTAATAATTTCCCATTTATTAATCCAATTTCAATAATTTAACCCTGATGACCTCAACACAGATTGATAACAAAATGTTTACTCCAACTCCAATTCCGATGAAACTGTGTCATTAATTAATACGCCTCTTACATCTTACATCAATAAGAATATTTCAGTTTAGTTATAACATCCAACTTGATTTCATCTAAAATTTCATCAAAACCATCAAAATGAAGAGAATTTTATTAATTTTAACGTGTGTTCTACTCTATCTTCACTTTTCCAAAGCGGTAAGCACAAAAAACACAAAACAAACAAAAACACTTTAATTATTAATTGTTTATATCAATAGATTTATGTTCCTGGTACTCCTACACAAACAAAAACAAAATCTGCGCTTGGAATGAAGACTTTAACATGGCAAACCCCTGAAACCACCAGTGAACCAATTGTAGTCTACCAAAATTACACGAATGTCAAAATTCAACAACACGTGAATGACGACAAACAAGTTTACATGAATAATAATTATAATAATTATAACCAACAAAGGAATAATGAACAATTTGATCTGGAACCAGGTGCTTCTTCAGGGTATACCAGGAAATACACAAAAACACCTGGTGGGGATGGATATTTTGAAAGTACACCTTCAAAAAGGTTAATTTCTTATCCGCATGGAAGGGAACAACATAATGTCTTTGCCCTTAGCAATAATCCTCCACAAAATGAACCTTTGGTGACTTGTACAGTTAATTGTCAAAGAAATGATCAAAATCAACCTGGTGATCAAAATATTAATGGTGGGACATCATACTGGGCACCTTCTTATAGTGGTGGGGGTAATAGGTACCCTCAACAACCAGAAACAAGTAATTCTGATAGTGGTTATGGTGGTATTACCATTTCTGGTACACCTTTTAAACCTAATAGAGGATATCAACCTCAACAGGTCCCTACTTTATCTCAGAATCATTATAATGTGATTATTCCCCAGAATTACTATTCTGGGAAGGTTCAGAATGTACCACGTCAGACTAGACCTGCTTCTAAGTGTCCTCAAGGTGCAACAGGGCAGTTCCCTTATGAAAACTCTTGTAATCAGTTTTTGAACTGTTGGAATGGACGTGGTGTGGTCCAAAACTGCGCTCCTGGTACCCTCTTCAATCCAGAGACACTGGAATGTGATTTCCCTGATAAAGTGAATTGTGTTAGTGGACCTAGGACGGCTAGGTATGAAAAATTAACTGTGAAGGAAAAAGCTTCTTGTCCTAGTGGTTTCTCTGGGATAGTACCACATTATCAGGATTGTAGTAAATTTTTGAATTGTGATCATGGTAGACAGGTGGAAATGAATTGCCCTCCAGGGACTTTGTTTGATATGGAGAGTAATGTTTGTGATCATGCTTATAAAGTGCAGTGTGTTAATCAAGAGAAGAAACCGGTTAGGTTTATTGAGAGTGGGAGGTATGTTCAAGCACCACCAAGTTATACACAAGGTGGTAGAGGAAATAGGTTTGATGATCAGGGAATCGGAAATGAAAGACAAAATGTTTACACGAATCAATATGGTGGTAACCCTGTTAACCCTGTTACCCATGGAACTGGAGGTAGTCCAAAATGCCCTCCGCAGTTTTCTGGTCTGATGCCCCATCCGTCAGATTGTAGTAAATTTTTAAATTGTGGAAGTGGCATGACGCATATCATGGATTGTGGACCAGGGACGTTGTTTAGTCCTTCGTTGAAAGTGTGTGATCATATCCACAATGTTCAATGTGGGTCTGGAGGTTCAGGAGGTCAAAATATTGGAGGTACTGAAGGGCAATATGGATATAATCAAAATGTGGGGAACCATGAACAGATCCCAGCGGGTTCTACCACCAATCAACAGTGGACATCTCAGAATCAAAATTGGGGACAGTCCCAACCTAATTATAATCAATGGGGTCAAAACCCAAATCAAAACACTTTTAGTACTTCTAGACCTACTTGGGGACAACCTTCATATCAACCTTCAAATTCTAATACAAATTGGAATACCTTTGCTAATTCAGGACACCAGCAAACACCTTCACAACCTCCATCACATCCTTCTAACCCTTTAAACCCTGTTTATCAAAGTGTTAACAATTGGGGTCAGACTGGTCATTATACTAGTTCCCCACAGGGTCAAACCCAAACAAATGATGGTAAGTCATCAAAATTTACTATTTTAATACCGAAATTATTAAAATTTTAACTTGTAGATGACCTAGATCAGAAAATACAACAATTATGGCAAATTGAACCTTCTTCTGAAGGTACCACACCTAGGTACGAAACTTTAACCACAGCTTATACAGAAAACAAGAGAAAACCATGGCCGCCAAAGTTTCCTAGTGGTAATACCAACAATGATTATGTGTTTGAAGATTACGACTTGGTTGAAGTGGATCCCAAGAAAGTAAACATACCATCAAAACCTTTGAATCAAAATGGCGCACCTAGTCAACCAAATAATCAAGGTAATCATATCCAGGTCCAATGTACCAATCAAACCTACAACTGTGGGAATAACTATTGTATAATACCCACATCCATCTGCAATGGTAAAAAGGTAGGTTATTGTCTCCCAAAAACCAACAAACAAATAAGGTTAAAGCTATAACCTCAAAATTTGTTCTTTAGGACTGCCCCAATGGTTTTGATGAACAAGACTGTAGTCTACGCCTTCAAGATTTCGTAAAAACATCTGGTACCAAACTGGCAGTAAAAGAAACCATGAAAATACCAAATGTAACATTAGCATGGTGTGCAGCCAGCTGTGCCAAAATCAACTGCAAAGGCTTCAACTTTAGGAAACACGATGGTACCTGCTATATCCTGGACTCCAATGTAGGTACATCCGGTGCTTTGATCATCCTACCAATGTACGACTACTTTGAAAACCAAAAATACACAATATCCTGTGAACAAATCAATGGGTACCTTTGCAACAACCAAAAATGCATCTCAAAACAAAGGGTATGTGATGGCATCAACGATTGTGGTGATGGTATGGACGAAAAAGGATGCACAGCTGATGCATTCAACTATAAACTACGATTAGTCGGTGGGGAAAACAAACATAGTGGAAGATTAGAACTTCAAGGTATTTTTAATTACATAACCTAACTTTTAAAATAATAAAAATAACCTTAACTTTTAACCTTAGTTTTTGGAAGGACTGGATATATTTGTGATGACATGTTCGGACTTAAGAATGCAGATGTCGCTTGTCGTGAGTTAGGATTCACTCTCGGTGCGGCAGAAGTAAGAGGTAACTCACACTTCGCACCAGATGTCGCTGATAATGACACTTTATACCTAATGGATGATGTGGTTTGTCTTGGGAATGAAACATCACTACGGGATTGTGATTTTAATGGTTGGGGACACAGTAATTGCAAACCTCAAGAGGTACCCTCTTAAAATATGTTTTTAAAAGTTTTTTTTATATGAAAATTTGTAGATTGTTGGTGTTATATGCAAAACCCCTGTGGAAATATGCCCGAAAGACTATTGGCAGTGTAAAAACAATCTGGAATGCTTACCATTAGCTTTTGTGTGTGATGGTGTGTATGATTGTTCAGATAAATCAGATGAACAATCAGAATTGTGTGATGTAAGTCTTAAAAAAGAATTTTTAAACAAAAATTTAAAAAAAAATTAAATTTTAGGCTCCTATTAAATTGAGGTTAACTCAAGGTACCAAAGGTCGTCTTGAAATCATGCATAACGGCATCTGGGGTACCGTCTGCGATGATGATTTCAACGACGACGCAGCAAAAGTGGTCTGCAACCAGTTAGGTTACCATGGAAGCGCAAAGGTAATCAAAGATGGCGAATTCGGACCTGGTACCGGCCCAATCTGGTTAGACCAGGTATTCTGCCGAGGAAATGAAACCCTTTTGGAGGATTGCATCCATTGGGACTGGGGTGAACACAACTGTGAACACAGTGAAGATGTGGGCGTCATCTGCAACACCAAAACCCTACCAGGAACAGAAAGACATCAACATAACCTCAACCAGAATATAAAACCCAAAGTAGATGATAGTAAGCTTCCGGAAACCTGCGGATTCCGCAACGACGCCATTTTTACTAATCAAGATGACCCAGAAGATGCACATTTTAGAGTGGTAATGGCGGGTACCGCCAGAGCAGGTGAATATCCATGGCAGGCTAGTATCAGAGTGAAAGGTAAAACAAAATCAGCGCATTGGTGCGGCGCCATTGTTGTTTCCTCGAAATATGTGTTGACAGCTGCGCATTGTTTGACTGGATTCACAAAAGGTGCTTATTTTGTTGTTGCTGGTGATTATAACGTTGATACTGATGAAGGAACCGAACAAGAAAGTTATATTGAAGGTAAAACACTAGTTAAACATAACCTTAGTTGAGTCAACACAACATAACCTATTTTAGACTTCATAACACATCCGAAATTTGGTCATGGGAATAAAATGAACAATGATATTGCACTGGTACGTTTGAAAGGTAAAGGATTCAACATAACCAAAGATGTGCAACCTGTTTGCCTACCTCCAGCTGATTCAGAGTATCCCGTGGGGTTAAACTGTACGATTTCAGGTTTTGGGTCTATAGAGAGTGGAAAATCAAGTGGGTAACCTCAAATATAACAAAATATTTAATAATTGTTTAAATTTTTTCTTTTTAGAAGCTTCTAGGGACTTAAGAGCAGGTTGGATACCGATTTTATCGAAAGAAGTGTGTAAAATGCCGCATGTATACGGCGCGGCCATTACAGACGGCATGTTATGCGCTGGGTTCATGCAAAATGGCGTCGATGCTTGTGATGGTGACAGTGGAGGACCGTTAGCATGTTTACATGAAGGTAAATAAACAATTTATGCTTTAAATCTTTAAAATAATTTGTTTTAATGTATTTTAGGTGTTTTTAAATTGTTTGGCATAACCTCATGGGGTCAACATTGTGGTTATGCTAACAAACCAGGCGTTTACGTCAACGTAGCCAAATATAGAACATGGATTGAGGAAACAATGAAACATCTATCAAATTAATTGTTTTATTTTGTTATTAAAATTGTTTATGATTTATTGCTACCCTTTGCATTTCCTAACCTCTATTCTTAACCTCTAGAATAAATACGTAAATAATAATACGAGTACTACGAGTAATAATGAGACCATTTTTTAGAACGGCAGTCGTTTCCAGTCTGGAATACTGAAGAAAATACGTTTTTGTTTGTTTTTTGTTCTTAAAACAAATAAAAGTTAAAAAGGTAGAAAAGCTAGTTTTGCTTTTTGATTCACTGGAGGTCCATGTGGGACATGATCAGTGCCTATATATGATTTACTCAGGAACGGTTTGGATGGTTTCGAGTCGATTATCTGCAACACAACATACACCATGTAAATATAACCTATTAGTATAACCTCTAAAAGGTAATGATGTTTAAATGAGTTCTAATGATGTTTATGTACCTGCTCAGGGCGATTACGTCTGCATTGACATTTGCATTGTCTGCCAAACTGATAATTACGAGTATGTCTGAATAGACGTGATTTTTGTGATTTTGATGCGAATGATTCAAGTTTACGTGATTTTTTCGTACGCACTTGTTTGCTATTTGTTTTCGGTGTTTTCGAATCTCTGTCCATTTTATTTCCGGTGGAAATTTGTGTTTCTTCCGGTATTGATTTGCGGATTGCGTCTATTAATTTGGAATGATTGTCGGGTGGTGGTAGAGACGGTTGTACTTTTGTTGGAATAATATCAGGTCTAAAAAATATGAAATTTTAATATTTTTTGAGTAAAAATGATGAAAAAACTTACAATTTTTGAGATTCTGAAGAATCTATTGTTTCACTCGGTGCTCTATTAAATAAATATTTATACTGTCTGTAAAAATAGGAAAAAATTAAATTTTTAGTTATTTTTTGTTAATTATGGTGTTAAATACCGGTTTTAATACCAGAATAACCGGTATTTTTTTAAATTTCGATATTTTTAAATGCAATATTGCTTTCAATATATACCAGTATACAAATAATTTGATTGAAAAAAAAAACAGTATTGCAAAATACCGGTATTAATACCGATATACCGGTATTTTTTACAAAAACCGATATTTTTCTAAGCAAGATTGTTTCCAATATACACCAAAATACCAATATTTTTCTTTAAAAAAATACCGGTATACCGAAATACCGGTATTAACCCCGGTATACCGGTATTTATTACAAAAATCAATATTTTTCGTTGTAATATTACTTTCGATATAAACCGGGATTTCGATATTTTGATACAAAAAATACCGGTATTAAACCCAAAAACTCAAAATTTCCAATTTCAATTTTCCACTTACGGTTTGACTTCTTGACAATAATTCTCCATCGCATAACGTATCGAGCATCCAAGTCCTTTACAACACTCCGTAGCGATTTCTCGTTTCGTCCGTCTCGAGTAATACTTTTGGCAATAATGTGATAACATCCCAGTCAAGCGGTCACCGCAGAAATAATCCACCTTATCAATATTCACTTCCGTATGAATACAGTACGTTGTTTGTGTCAGTGCGAAGAAGTAAAAGTAAAAGAACTGACATTTATTCAATTGCATCGTTAACACTCGTCGAGCTGAAAATGTAAATATCAAAACGGTTAAAACGAAACCGAAAGCGAAAACGTTGATAAAATGATATCGAAATTCAACCGCGCGAGGTTTATATAAAGACTCTCTTGTTTGTAATTGATACCCGGATAAGGTTACGTTATATCGAAGAAACACGATGATAAAGGGGTTGGAAAAGTAATTTTAGGAATATTTTCGGGTCTATTCAATGAAAAATTGAATTTTCATTGCGTGAAATGGATAATTATAAGTGTATTTCTTTACCAAAAGTAGTGAAAAATAAAAATTAATATTTTTGCATTAAAATTATACAGAAAATGAAGAAAAAATTTTTTTTTTTTTTTTGAAAATAAAAATAAAAATATGTGACGTCAGCATAGTGACGATAAAAATACTAAGTAATGTGTGAGTATGTTCATTACCAAAAGTAGTGAAAAATAAAAATTAATATTTTTGTATTAAAATTATGCAGATGTGACGTCAGCATAGTGACGATAAAAATACTAAGTAATGTGTGAGTATGTTCATTACCAAAAGTAGTGAAAAATAAAAATTAATATTTTTGTATTAAAATTATACAGAAAATGAAGAAAAAATTTTTTTTTTTTTTTGAAAATAAAAATAAAAATATGTGACGTCAGCATGGTAACGATAAAAATACTAAGTAATGTGTGAGTACGAAGATTAAAATTTAAAACAAAGTCGTAAAATAAATGACTTTTGCATTGTGTATTGTGCAAACGGCAAAAAGACCATGAAGACACAACCGTCACGAATCACAATCCACAGCAATCCACAATGGACACTAGCTTTTATGGTTGTATTCAAAAACAATTCGACGCGCTTTCGGGAATAATTTTCTGTCAAATCTACACAGTGTCTCTCGCATAAAATGCAAAATTTAAATAAATAAAAATTAAAAACATAAATAAATAAATAACTTACTTATAATAAAAAAAAACGTTATATAATCCAAAAATCGACACAAAATTTATATTCACTTAACAATATCTTTGAGTGTATAATGCGCTTGTGGAATAATGTTGAGTTGACTCCGGGAGATTAGCGATTTCGGTCGCGACGGGCGAGACATTTGTGTATCGAATGGCGCGCCGCGTGCAACTCGTCACTTTTAAAGGCCTTCTCCGCAGACCACCACGGCAGAGCCCATTAGCCCCTCAAATCCACGCAATTTACTACGAATATTACCAATTTGCCGCTTAAATTCCACAAAATTGCGAGTTTTTCTCGTTTCACTATAGGCCACACATTGCACTAACCTCAAAATAAAAATTTGGTATTTTAAGTTATAATACTTGAGATATGGCGAAAGTTGTAAATATTTATTTGCGTGCGTGTGCTTTAATTAATTTATAAATAATTAAATCCTAATTTTAAGTTTGACTCGTGGGTCACCAATGTTATATCAACAATTAATTAATTATGCATGTTGTAAATGATACAACTAACTATACACTATCAAAATTGATCAAAAATACACATAGAGTAATTTTGTGTATAAATTTATTAAGATTTTTGTGTTTTTAATCTAAAAAAATTAAAAATTTAACAAAAAAAATCTTATAAAAATGAGTTTTTTTACTGTATAGATAAAAATTGAGGTTATATAAAGTGGAAAACTTGCAGTATTTTTAGTTGCCTATAAAATACGTTGAAATAATGCCTCAGGCATTTAAATAACCTCAAAATTTGACATAAAATACTAGTTTTGCGATTATAAAGTAGTTTTCTTACAAAATAGATGAAAATTGAGGTTATACAAAGTGCAAAACTAAAAGTATGATTAGTTGCCTACCTAATATATTAAAATATTGCCGTAGAACATTATATAACTTCAAAATTTGACATAAAATACAAATTTTTGCGTTAATAAAGTAGTTTTTTTACAGAATATTTAAAAATTGAGGTTATATAAACTGGAAAATTTAATGTATGATTAGTTGCCTACCCAATATATTAAAATATTGCCGTAGAACTTTATATAACCTCAAAATTTTATAAAATTTGACATAAAATACGAGTTTTTGCGCTATAAAGTTGTTTTTGACAGAATAAATAAAAATTAAGGTTATACAAGATGCAAAACTAAAACTATGTATGGTTGCCTATCTAATATATTAAAATTTTGCCGTAGAACATAATATAACCTCAAAATTTGACATAAAATACAAGTTTTTGCGTTAATAAAGCAGTTTTTGACAGAATAAACAAAAATTAAGGTTATACTAAAAGGTATGTATGGTTGCCTACCTAATAAAATCCTTAAAAATGATTTTTTACATTTTTCAAAATAAATTAATATTAATTTGTGTGCACAATATGATTAAATGTACACTGCATGCCGAAAAATGTCGAATTTATACCACTCGGGGTCAATGCATGTCAAAATTATATAATTAATCGTGGCACATGAAAATTTCCTAGGAACTATTTTCGGTAATCTCGTTAATGCTCGCGCGTCAACGGAATGTGCACGATGCGAAACCGGTTACCATGCGCAGATAAAGAAGCCGAATCAACTTCTAATCAATAAAAATGATGATTTGATTAAAATAAATAAATAAATAATCAGGCATTTATTGCATGGTAATTAAAAGGTAGCATGCTGTGTTTTTATATTGATAAGATAACGCTCAAGATAATTAAAAGAAGCTTCGAAGAGAGAAAAAACGCATGGCGCTTCACCGCCGACGCTAATCGAGTGTTTAGTCTGTGAATGTGCGGCACGCCACCATTAAAAGCGCTGTGTCTCGCTGTGCCAAACTTTTTTTCCTTGTTTCCGAGATTGTTTATTGATGTTTCGGATTTTATTCCACACGAGTCAAAATGCTTGATAAACTCACACAAAAAATCATCATCATCATAATATAATTTAATATTTCATCATAATTATTGTCTTTTATTTTATTTTTATTCTTTTTATGTGAATATTATAATAGTTTTGATTTATTTAGTGATTTTGTTACCAGATGGCGCTGTGAGTTGAGGTAATAATAGATTTATAATGTTTATGATTATTTAATCTATAATTGATACGCGGATGTGTTACTAAACTAATAACAGAGCACGTGGCTGAATTACAGTCGACTGTGGTCTTTGTTTGTTTATTTATTTGTTTAATTTTCGACGTGTACTAATTTATGCGAGAGAGTGCAAAGTGATAAACGGCGATGAACTTTAATCGCCTAATGGAAACCTGATTGTGCACAATTTGTCAATTATATTAGTTGTGTGATAAGATTTAATTATTTATTGCTAATATTCACGATTATTAGTAATATAATAATGGTAGATACTTGCGACATCTAACGGTGAACATATTAACTAACATAAAATGCTTGTAGTTGTTTTCTGTAACGTATGCAACCAGTATTACTCATTTTTTGTAAATTTACGCCAAAAAACAACAGAAAATCCTTACTAATAGGGTGACTGCACCAGTAACAAACCAATTAAGCGACATTTTGAAAGTAATTTTGATATTGTGACTCAATTATTACAACAATCATTGCAAAAAAAGGATTACATACTCCTTGTCTACCATAGAATCATGTAGCTTATTCAAATTTTCTTAATAGCTGTTACGTTTTTGGTTATTTAACAATAAATGTGGAAAATCGCAATGTGCCTAAGGTTGACCAGACTGTACCAGCAGTAGACCAGACGTTGAGCCAATAGTGAACCACTCCTTTTTATGTAGTAATCATCACAACTTTTAATCAGTCTACAAGTTTCAAGTAATATTTAAATGCTACAAGGCTCATAATGTTGTTAACTAGTTTAAGAACTAGATAATTAACAAAAATTTGTATCACTTACCCAAGTGTCATAGTTATAACACAATATTTATGAATTAACATGAATCAAAAAATTAATATAAAATAAATTAAAATAAATAGAAAACCATGAAAGTACTTCGGAAAAAAATATTATTTATTATTGTATTAACTTTATTTTATTTATGACCGTAGTGTGGGGTATGGTGTATTTTTGACATATTTCTCCAATTTTTGCACCTTTATTTATTTCATTTATCGCTTTTAACACATTTTTCTCCTTATAGTTAAAAAATGTTCTTTTCGGTGGCATTGTGTATAAAAAAATGTAGGTGGTCAGTTACTGGAATAAATCCGTGGTACGGATACTACCAGTAGTAAACCACTGGTCTACAACTGGAACATTGTGAATAATGGTATTTTTTTTTTGTTATAATATCTTATTGCAACATAAAGTAAACCTACATGTAAGAGAAAAAGAAAAAAAAATATCAAAAAGCTAAATCACCAGTTGTAGACCAAATGGTATATTACTGGAAAATCATTCAATTCGTGTTCCAGTAGTTTACCAATGGCAATTATTGATTTAAATTAGCATTTTCAGATTAAATAAAACGTAATATTAATGCTTCACAGTTCATAGTACGCAATTGATTAGAAAAGCGGTTACAGAAATTAATATAAACAAAGATTTAAACAGAATTAAGAAAACTTTCCGTCGACGTGTCGCTTATTAGAATGGCCGCTCGAAACGAAGTGCACGATTGTTGTTACGCATTTTGCTTTAAAAACTGATGTGGATGGCGAATTTGTCGTTTTTTTTTACGATTATATGATTCGTAGAAGTACAGCAGTTCTATCAAATATAAAAAAAGTGGCGGAAAATTCGACAGAACGTTAATATTTTAATGTGAAAGTGGAAATGGTGCACTACTGGTGCCTGGTGCGGCACTGGTGCACCCACCCTATTATAAATGCGAAAATCCTGATGTTTGTTACACTTTCACGCAAAAACTACTTAACCGATCATCATGAAAATTTGTGCACATATTCTTAGTGGTCCCCGAATGGTTATAGGCTACTTTTTATTTAATAAAAAAAATATTATTTTTTAAATAAAATAAAGAAATTGTTTAGCCAATAATACCTACCTCTGCATCTGGCTATTTGACTACTTTAACGCCATCTAGCATTCCAGCAATGAAGCTCAAACCTAAGTACTATAGTACCATCACACTGTATTATCACACTGTATTACCGACAGCTACGTCAACATCAAATCCAATTGACTACACTATGGAGACTGTACACTATACTTCCATAGACTATACTTTCAGCCATTTTAAACTTCCCGCCATTCTACTTCATTGTTACTTCTTCTGTGACTACAGACGCGTACGGAAGCAACTTCATTATTTTAGATATTCGCGAGCGAAGCCGCGGGTTATAGCTAGTAATTAATATAATAATGGTAGTTACTTGCGACATCTAACGGTGATCATATTAACTAATATACAATGCTCGTAGCTGCTTTTTATAACCTATGCAACCAGTTTTACTTATTTTTAGTAAATTTACGCCATAAAAACAACAGAAAATTAATAAGCTATTAATAGTTATCAATTATTTATGGTTAATATTTAAGAATATAATTAATATTATAATATTTGTTATTTGTGTCTTCTAGCGGTGAACAAATTAACTATTAATATACTCCTATTAATATTTCTGTCAACATCTGCAACCAGTATTACTCACTAGTCACTTGTAATTAGTTTACGTCAACATAACATGAATTTAATGAATTTATTCAGGCGGAAAATGACTATGTAAATACGTATTGAATAATATCAACTTTGACATAATCAAATTCTTCGCGCAGCAACTACTAACGACGCAAAAACTCTGCGAATAATCACACTTTAATTAAACTTTCAAACTTTTCGTTGTGTTCGCAATTATTTCCACCTGCGGAAACTATTAATATCTATCAATATTTAATTACACGTAAGATTTTAATTACTTTTCGAAAGTGTGACGCGGCTTTGGCGAAACACGTAATTTTCCACCCCATTTTGCATGAGCGCACGCTGTCGCTTCAATTGCGAAAATCCGCGGCGTGGATTAAACGCGTTGCGCAGCGGGGGCTGTCAAAGACTCCCCCCGAGTGCTTTGCCAAAATGTCCGGCCGCACTTCGCCACGTGGCGGTCGGATACCCATGGTTATATACACGCTCGGCGAGCTTGCGGAGCTTTCGCATCGAGTATGTTTACATTGGTTGCAGTGTTTTGCGCACTACCCTGCTGTCCTTCGCATACAGGGAAAGTCATTAATATCCATTTTCTATGCTCCAGGGTTGGGAATTGGAGTTTTTTAAGGAAATAGATGAAAATTGAGGTTATACAAGGTGGAAAAATTATAGAATGTGTGATTGATTAGAAAATATATTAAATAAACGCAGTAGAGGATTAAATAACCTCAAAATTTAATAAATTTTGATGTAAAACACTAGTTTCTGAGCTATTAAAGTAGTTTTTTTTTATCGAAAAGATGAAAATTGAGGTTATACAAGGTAAAAACTTTAAGTATGTTTAGTTGCCTACAAAATATATTGAAATAATGCTTCAGGACTTTAAATAACCTCAAAATTTATCGAAAATTGACATAAAACACTAGTTTTTGACATTAGAAAGTAGTTTTCTTACAAAATAGATAAAAATTGAGGTTTTACAAAGTGCAAAACTTAAGGTATTGTTAGTTGCCTTCCTAATATAATAAAATATCACCGTAGAACATTATAACCTCAAAATTTAACAAAATTTGACATAAAACACTAGTTTTTGAGCTATTAAAGTAGTTTTTATAGAATAGTTAAAAATTGAGGTTATATAAAGTAAAAACCTTAACGTATGTTCAGTTGCCTACTAAATATATTGAAATATTGCTTCAGGACGATAAATAACCTCAAAATTTAACGAAATTTGACAAATAACACTAATTTTGCACTGAAAAAACACTTTGTCCCCAAATAGACAAAACTTGAGGTTATACTAAGTAAAATATCACCGTAGAACATTATAACCTCAAAATTTAACTAAATTTGACATAAAACACTAGTTTTTGAGCTATTAAAGTAGTTTTTTAATGGAATAGATGAAAACTGAGGTTATACAAGGTAAAAACTTAAAGTATTATATGTTTAGTTGCCTACAAAATATATTGAAATAATGCTTCAGAACGTTAAATAACCTCAAAATTTATCGAAAATTGACATAAAACACTAGTTTTTGACATTAGAAAGTAGTTTTCTTACAAAATAGATAAAAATTGAGGATATACCAAGTGCAAAACTTAAAGTATTGTTGGTTGCCTACTTAATTTATTAAAATATCACCCTGGAACATAATATAACCTTAAAATTTAACAAAATTTGACATAAAACACTAGTTTTTTAGCTATTAAAGTAGTTTTTTAATAGAATAGATAAAAATTGAGGTTATGTAAGGTGAAAACCATACCGTATGTTCAGTTGCCTACAAAATATATTGAAATATTGCTTCAGAACGTTAAATAACCTCAAAATTTAACAAAATTTGACATTTAACACTAGTTTTGCACTGAAAAACACTTTTTTCCCCAAATAGACGAAAATTGAGGTTATACTATGTACAAAACATAAAGTATGCATGGTTGCCTATCTAATATATCAAAAGAACTTTGTAGAACATTATTTAACCTCAAAATTTACCAAAATTTGACATAAAACTTTACTTTTTGCAAGAAAAATCACAAAATTTGTAATAAAACGCTTTCTTTACCAAAAATAAAATATTTTAAAATAAAACCTGTAACAATATTGCATAAAAAGTGTAATTTTAGAGCTTTGGCGTTTAAATATTATGATAAACCTACGTTTTGCCGCTTAAAATAACCGTGAGTAGCATTTTCTGTTGAATATTGAATGTTGAATGTGTGATCACACTGTATATATCAATCAACGAGCTTGTTGCGTGCTAGTGCGCCTCGCCTGTTGAGTCCGGCGCACATAGTTGGCGAGAGTTTGTCGTTTTTCGCGTCGTACTCGTCGTAGTAAAACAGAAAAGCTTTCAGTCGATTTTCGCAGCACCCGAGCACAGCGCGGAAAATTCGCTCTCCGACACGCGACTGTCTACTACTTACTAGTTTTTTTATATTATATATCAGACGGAAATTCACTTTAAAAAAAGTAAATCTTAAAATTTTGTAAAACAAAAAGTGCAATTATTAATTAAATTGATATTGATATTGATTCGAATCATTCCGAAATTTAATTTTTAATCATTGAATGATGTTTGATGCATCGACGCAGCGAGTTTAATTTGGATATCGACGTCTTGCATTAAAGATTAAAGTAAATATACAAGTTATATGTTAATATTGCGAGTGTTTGTGTGGGCTGCATCTTGAAATCAATGAAAGTATAAATTTTCGATTTAATTAAGCTTTAATTTGCTTAAAATACGATGTTTTAATGTTTTTTTGAATGTAAAATACTTATTTTAAGCATGTTTCACTAAATTATTTTCAAAAACTTTTATTATTAATTTTTTGCTTTTATTTTTTACATATTTTAATATTGAGTGTGTAAAATTACATTTTTTACACACGTGCTTAAAACAAACCGTGAAAAAAATGTATGAATTGATGAAAATTGAGGTTATACAAAGTGGAAAACTTAAAGTAAGGTTAGTTGCCTACTTACTATATTAAAATATCATCGTAGAACATTGTGTAACTGCAAAATTTAACAAAATTTGACATAAAACTTTTATTTTTAATTTTTTACTTTTATTTTTTACATTTTTTAAATTTAAGTGTGTAAAATTGCAGTTTTCACACAAATGCGCAAAAGTTTCACTTTAAACACCGCAAAATAACGGTGAAAAATAAGTATTTAAAATAAAAATAGAAATAAAACGTGTCTCGCATTAAACATTCGCTTCAAGTAGTAACTTCATTAGGTTCAAGAGTGATGTTCGTCTCATTCGCGACGAATGAATGACTCATTTCGAGAATTCCAATTAAGAATGCAGTGCAGCTCCACAGATCTCTTTATTGTCATGTTTTCTTTTCTTCCTGAATGTCACGAATTCATGGAATACCTTTCTGGAATAATAAAACAATATTCGATGATTAAATACTTTTCAAAGTAGAAACCTGTAATATTTTTCTTCTTAAAACGGTGAAACACATTTAAGGTTATGTGTTTTAGGTTTTAACATGATGTATGCTTATAAATAATGAACTCATTCAGTAATTTTAGTAAATTTGTGGTTTATAAACAATTTACGAAACACATCTGGGTAAAATATGAATTAAACTACTTCAGACGATGATTAATTGTTTATAAATGTAGGAAACTGTAATTTTTTGGTTTAAAATGGCGAAAAACATTTGAGATTACGTGTTTTTTTGTTTTTGAATGGTAATTTATGTATTAATAACGATTTACGTAACATATCCAGTCTAAAATATAAATAAAACAATCTTAGGTTATTATTACACACTTTTAAAAGAAGAGAACTGTAATTTTTTTTTCATAAAATGACAAAAACTTGTGTTTTTTGTAAAAATAAAATGTAATTTTAGTAAATTAATACATTATAACCAATTTATGTAACATTTCCGGTCGAAATATAAGAAAAACAACTTCAAATTATAATTACATGATTTTGAAAGTAGAAATCTGTAATTTTTGCTTGTCAAAATGAAGAAAACCATTAGAAATTTTGTGTTTTTTGTTTGTAGAACTTACTTTTCGCGTTAAAACCGATTTGCGTAACATATCCGGCCAAAACACAACTAGTTTCATTAATAACTTCATAACTCATTCACTATTTTTAATTTCATCACGTGAAATCTCACCGCAAAGAATAAAATTCACCGAAAAATGATTTCCAACACCTCTAGACGCCATGAAACACGTAACACTACGATTATACATGATCTACGACGTGAATCATCATGCCATACACAAAAATAGCATCATTTTTCTAAATTTGACTTCTTGTCTCGTTCATATCGGCTGCAAATGTTAAATCAACATGCAATAATCAACGTCGTTCGGCGCGTACGTTCGCGCGTACCGCACGCGGTCTATTTTTGATTTTCCTGTTTCTATTCATACCGACTATTATTATTCACCGGACAATAAATGCGCGTCAAAAGGCGTCGATGCGTGAAAGCGTGCTGTACGCGGCGAACGCATTTCCTCAAGTTCAAAGCGGGAAATTTTATGATCGTTAGCAACGTGTTGCTATTGTCCGACTTGGAAATTGATTGAATTTATTGCCTCGCCGGCGTTCAATTATTTTATTACGTTGCCAATGGCAACCATTGTGTGTTACAAACGTCTTTGTTATGAAACTAACCTCAAAATATACAAGTTTATTGATTTTATTGTTTGTATGTTTAAAAGAAGGAATATTTGAGATATATACTGTAAAATATATACAGGGGAAGCCATTAATATTAAATTTGATGTTTTAGAGTGTTTAAACTTAGTTTTTTTAGTTTATAGCTGAAAATTGAGGTTATATAAGGTAAAAAACATAAAATCTGGTTAGTTTCTTGTAAAACATATCAAATTAACGCCCCGGAGTTTTAAAAACATCAAAATTTTAAAGAAAACATTAATTTTTGCGATAAAAATTTAATAAATTCAATAAAATTCAATATTTTGAGGTTAAATTTTGATTTAAACACCTTATAACCTTCAATTTTCTCAAAATAAAATATTTCTTGTATGAATATTGCATAAAATGTATTTTTTGAGCTTCAAATATTAAAAAACATACAATTTTATTGTTTTTACTTTTAAAACTTTGAAAAAAAGTAATAAAAAACTGTTTCAATTAAAACTGAGACACATTTATCGACCTGAGATAATAAACGCGTGTGAATAACGCAAACGAAGTGCTTTGGTAATACATAATCAATAATTTCATTCGGTCATTCAGCCATTGGCGACGATGATGAAACAATATACGCAGAAAAGAAGATTGTTTATATTATACAAGCTGTCTTCATTGTAATATGTGCTGCCTACATTACCGCAACACATTCACACTTTTCTCCAATTTTTTCATCGTTTTTTCCTTTCTTTGCCGTTTCTACGTCTTAATACACACGATATTCATGATTATTATCCATAGTGACACTCCACACAAACACTCAAAGCAATTCAGGTCACCATTTTGTGTATTATCTAACCTAAGAGTCTCTAACCACTTCTTACATTGTATCGCGTTCTTTCTTTCGCATTAAGAACTTGTATTTGACTGAAAATGAAACGTATTGGATTTCCATCGTCGAATGCCAAATGAAGCCTCGCACACCGTTTGCATTAATGGCCGACACTTTTATTTGCTTGCGCCAGTTCCGCCACAAAGTGGGTTAATAAATACCAACGGAGACAGTATTGTAACCGCAGTGAATGTCCTTGGGCACAGAATATAAAAACGTGAATATTTTGATATTATTTGACAAAGTAACATGTTTTTAAATTTCGGGAAAATTTATTCGTGTGACTTTGGCTTGTGGTAAATCATATTTACGACGTGTTTACAACTTGGCACGGCGTTTGGCGCCGATGCGAATCGCCAAATACTCAATCAGCTTCGTTACACACGCGCCATTAGTGCAGGCACCGGAGGTGACGTCACAGAATCAATTCACAATGGATTCAAGTGCGTACTCAACGCGTACTTGTCAAAAATTTAAATATTGTTTGAAATCTCAAGTTGTTATTAATTTTTTATCGTGAGTGTAATCGGTTATTGATTTTCAAGTTCCACTACGTCATTATGATAGTAAAAAATTGTTTAAATAAACAAAACGTTTTATTTCCTTATTTGGGAATAATTTACGTTTTGAAACGTTGAAAAACATTGCGCAATTGATTTTTACAGACAAATTCAAAAAATGCACTTGATACTCCATTTTAGTAGTTTATTTTTTAGGTTAGGACCAACCATGAACACAACATCTCCTAGATCTTCCCTAGTCAAACTTGGTTTGTATCCAAAACCAAAATCTCTTAAAATAATGATCCTGGGACAGGGAGGAGTTGGAAAATCAGGTATTAACCTCAAATTAAGTTAAAACATAACCAAACTTTTCTTTTTCTTTGAAAATCAAAGCTATGGTGGTGAGATTTATAACTAATCGTTATATTGGTGAATACGATCCGACATTAGAGAAAATCTACACTTTTCATTCTGTGATCGACAACGAAGTGATTTACTTTGACATTTTGGACAGTGCTGGCCAGTTAGATGTAAGTTTTAACCTCTAAATGTCATAATTTGTTATTATAGGTTATGTTTTATAGGAAAGTGAGTCGTACTCATTGGAAGCAAACATCAGATGGGCAGAAGCCTTCATTTTAATGTATTCAGTCACAGATAAATGCTCATTTGACGAATGTTACCGCTTGAAATTTCTTATAAACTACAATAAAAGAAGAAAACGTTTAGGAGGCGGAAGTACATCCACAAAAGACAGTTGCCTGGATGTTCCTGTTGTACTAGTCGGGAATAAAATAGATCAAGTTGAAGATAGGATGATTTCTTCTGAAGAGGGACAAAAGCGAAGTAAAGAGATTGGATGTGTTTGTTTTCATGAGATTTCTGTGAGGGAGAGCATAGAACAGGTTAGACTACACAACATACACGTAATATAGGCAACCACATATACACTAAACATAAAATAAATACAATTTTAATGTTTTTGTGTTATTTTTGATTGTTTTATGATAGGTATGGTCTGTATTCAGGGACTGCACACGTTTTTGGCGTGTCCTGTCAAAATGCCCCAACAAATTGAAGCGTTCCTGCAGTGACAACAAAGAACCAATGTCACCGGAAACAATACGACTTTTATGCTCGGCTGTATCACCTAGTGGAATGGGTTTTAAGTCATCCAGTGGAGTTTTAGGAAGACGATGGACTGAAGGTGAACTGGAGGAAGCTGATGAAGAAGACAGCAACACAACAAAACATGGTTCAAATGAAGAAGGTGAGTTACCATTTCGGGGACGTGCATCCACCGATGGACATTTAATGCAGAAGACGTGGAAGTGGAGATATCCACCGCCTACATCCAATCAACCACTGGGATATTATCCATCTAGATCAGAGAGGAGGATGAGTATTTCCATGAGGGGAAATAATAATAGTTATTGACTGCTGTGTGATGTGTTTCGCTATTATTATTTTCAATGTGCTAAATGTGCGTCATTTCGAAATGCTGTGATTTACATAAACAATGAATGTATAATACAATAAAACAATTGAATCTTGCTAATTCAGTTCAATATATTTTTAATTCTTGTAATTTTTTATATTTTTACAACTTGGAACGAAGTCTAGCATCGATGTGAATAGCCAAAACACCATCGTCTTCATTTTCGGAAAGATTGACAGTCACGCGGCCATTTTCAACTTTGACGGTTTTACCAGTGCAAGCGCCATTGACCACATCACCGGTAATGACATCACAATACACTCCAGCAGGTAGAGAACATGGAAGGTTTGCGGTTATGTCACCGGAAGTAGTCAGGGCAATGAAACCTGCTCCTTTCAACTCAAAAGCGATTTGATTGTCATCATTAGACCACCAGTTGTCAATCGCGCGACCTTTGCATGCATTGCGGAATCTAACCATGTTGTAAATCTGTCTCCAACGGTGTTCACAGACCCATCCATTGGAACAGGTATCATCAGCGTTGATTCCTGAAATTTTAAGGTTATATTATGATATTCTAGTGTATAGGTTAGATTTTTACCAGGAGAAATCACGTTTCCATTGCTGTCAGCAGGAGGTCCCTGATCAGAGTTGTTAAAATCAAAACTAGACATAATCCTGGTGACATGATAATACGGATGGGCCAACATAAAAGCAATCGCCTGTTTGTACATCTTAGAATCTTTGTAGGTTAGGATATCAGCACCTCCAGCACCATGTCCACGTTGGTTATCATGATTATCAACAAAAACAATTGCTTCCTGATCGGTCAACAAACCCCATTCAGTGCCCCAGTTCTTCAACCATTTCAATTGATTGTAACCTCTGAATACCCTACCAATCTCAGCGCCATATTTGAATTCAGTCACAGCAGCAAAACTGGTGTATTCCTCGCGGCTGATAGCCTCACCACCGAGGTCAATCACTTCTTGGAAGATGTATGGACGAGCACCAGCTGGATGTCCTACTGCTGTGTTCAGATTATTCACACGGTTGTAAATCACTTCCAGATCAATGGGATGCATGTGTTTGGCAGCATCTACACGGAAACCAGCGACGCCTAATTCAATCAAATGATTGAGGAAATCCACGATTTTTCCTCGGACGTATTCAGTGCTTTGATTGAGATCTTTAAGACCTACAAGTTCACAGTTACGGACTTCTTCAGGGTTGTTGTAGTCGTTGATGGTGCAATCAGCATGGAAATCATAACCGCTGTATGGTACAGCTGGGTAGTCTTTGTTATCTGGGTAGGCAACACTTCCGCCTGTTCCGGTTCCTTGGTTACCAGGTCCTGTCATGTGGTTGATGACAACATCGACGTAGATATTAACACCAACAGCTTTACATCTATGGGAAAGTATTAAGTAGTATAACCTCAATTTAAAGCTTTTGTGTATGATTTTACCTGCGAACCATGTTGCCAAACTCTTCCTCATTACCAGAACGAGTGTTTAGTAGATAACTGATGGGTTGGTAACGTTCCCACCATGGTCTGTTAGCAGCAATGATGTTTTCAGAAACAGGGGAAACCTAACCAAACAAATCATAACATAACCTCAATTGTAAACTTGTACTAGTATTTTAAGTTTATGTAATTACCTGAACACCTGCATATCCTTTGTGTTGTAAGAACCTTTCGCATTCATCAGCGATGTCATTCCATTTCCATTCGAACAAATGAACAATGGAGTTTCTATCACTGTGGAAATGGGCATCTTTGTGACCCAGAGCCACGCCCACAACTAATAAAACCGCGCACAGTTTAAACATTTCACTGATTTAGGCAACTTGTTGACCTCTTAATGGGTTAAGTTGTCGTTGTTGACTGATATTCACTTGAATCGCGTGGCTTTTATATTAAACGAAAGTTTTATTTGTGCACGTAGCGCGTGGTTTTGAGTACGTACTCAACTTAATCAATCAGATCAATCATATCAATCAGAATCAATAATTAAAGCGTTGATGAAAACAAGCCGCAACCGGCAATGACAAAATCTTAATAGATCCAGTTTTTTTCTGTGAATTTTATCAGCTGCAATTGATAAAACGGATGAAAATATATTGTGACATAAATTAATCAAGCTTTTTTTTGTGGCCTGGAAGGTTCCATAATCGTTCAAGTGGAGAGGATATTAATTTAACTTGCAAATTTTATTCGAGTCATTCAATCAAGTACACAACATCGAAATCAATGTTGATCGGTTGATAAACAAGATCTGTGCACGTCTAGATCAAATCTGTGAATCCCTTGTGGCTGGCGTGCGACCAGAAGTAGTATTGGTGACCAATTTAGAACATTGCATTTGGGTGCTGTTGTGTTGTGTCTGGTTCCGTCAGTTTATTCACTGCATGCGCTCCAATATCGTAATTCACTTCGCTGATTAAACTTCCAGCTCAACATTACGCCATTAGTGCCGGCACCGGAGGTGACGTTACAGAATCAATTCACAATGGAATCAAGTGCGTAACTAACGCGTACTTGTAAAAAATTTAAATATTGTTTGAAATCTCAAATTATTATTAATATTTTATCGTGAGTGTTATCGGTCATCGATTTTCAAAATCTACTACGTCACTGTGATAGTAAAAACACTTTGTTTAAATAAACAAAACGTTTTATTTCCTTATTTAGGAATAATTTACGTTTTGAAACGTTGAAAAACATTGCGCAATCAATTTTTACAGACAAATTTAACATTAATGAGAAGATACTCCATTTAGATAGTTTATTTTTTAGGTTAGGACTAACCATGAAGACAACATATGCAAGATCTTCCCTAGTTAAACTTGGTTTGTATCCAAAACCAAAATCTCTCAAATTAATAATCCAGGGACAAGGAAAAGTTGGAAAATCGGGTATTAACCTCAAATTATGTTAAAACATAACCAAATCTTTATTCTGCTCTCTTTAAATTAAAGCTATGGTGGTGAGAGTCATTACATATCGTTACATTAGCGAATACGATCCAACATTAGAGAAAATCTACACTTTTCATTCTGTGATTGACAACGAAGTGATTTTCTTTGACATTTTGGACAGTGTTGGCTAGTTAGATGTAAGTTTTAACCTCAAAATGTCATAATTAGTTATTATTAGTCATGTTTTCCAGAAAACTGAATCGTACTCATTGGAAGCACACATCAGATGGGCAGAAGCTTTCATTTTTATATATTCAGTCACAGAAATATAATATAAATATAAAAAAAATTACATAGTGAGCAATTGTCCGTGTGCACAGTTATGACTGTGGGCAGTTGTCTGTGAGCAGTTGTCGTGTGAGCGATCGTCTTGGGGGCAAAAGTCCGGTCACGGAAGTTGCTCGGTTAATGTGTTTGTTTGAATAAGACTTAGTAAGTGTAGGATACTTTTTTTAACACTTTTTGATGTGAAAACTTCTTTGGAAGATACTAAACGAGTTTTCTCCGTCTCTTCTTTGTGCGATGCTTCGTAGCTTCCCCACTCAACATGCAGCGACCAAAACGATTAAATCTTATCCGACAAAACCGTAATGCAACTAGGATTAGAAGGATTACGAATGAAAGGACTGAAGAAGAACAAGAAACTGCACGTGAAAAGCAAGGCGGAACAAAGTTTGCCGGGTCAGCTAGTCTACAATAAAACAAGAAAACGTTTAGGCGGCGGAAGTGCATCCACAAAATACAGTTGCCTAGATGTTTCTGTTGTCCTAGTCGGGAATAAAATAGCTCAAGTTGAAGATAGAATGATTTCTTCGGAAATGGGACAAAAACAAAGTAAAGAGATTGAATGTTTTTGTTTTCATGGTTAGGGAAAGTATTGAACTTCACAACATATGCAACTTCATATACACAAAACATCAAAATTAAGTTAATTTAATTTTTTTATTCTTGTAATATTTAACATATTGACTCGTATAATTAATTTTTGGAATTGTGCAACATCTTTACAACTTGGAGCGGAGTCTAGCATCGATGTGAATAGCCAAAACACCATCGTCTTCATTATCGGCCAGATTGACATTCACGAGGCCATTTTCAACTTTGACGGTTTTACCAGTGCAAGCGCCATTGACGTAATCACCGGAAATGACATCACAATACACTCCAGCAGGTAGAGAACATGGAAGGCTTATGTTTATGTTACCGGAAGTAGTCAGGGCAATGAAACCTGCTTCTTCCAACTCAAAAGCGATTTGATTGGCATTATTAGACCACCACTTGACAATGGTGCGGTCTTTGCACACATTACGGAATTTAACCATGTTGTAAATCTGTCTCCAACGGTGTTCACAGACCCATCCATTGGAACAAGAACCATCAGCGTTAATACCTGAAATTTTATGGTTATAATATTGTATTATAGTGTTTAAGTTAGGTTATTACCAGGAGAAATTATGTTTCCATTGCTGTCAGCAGGAGGTCCCTGATCAGTGTTGTCAAAATCAAAACTAGACATAATCCTGGTGACATGATAATAAGGATGGGCCAACATGAAAGCAATCGCCTGTTTGTACATCTTAGCATTCTTGTAAGTCAAGATATCAGCACCACCAGCACCATGTCCACGTTGATTATCATGATTATCAACGAAAACAACCGCATCCTGGTCGTTCAACAAACCCCATTGAGGTCCCCAGTTAAACAAATATTTCAATTGATTGTAACCTCTGAATACCCTTCCAATCTCAGCGCCATATTTGAATTCAGTCACCGAAGCAAAACTGGTGTATTCCTCGCGGCTGATAGCCTCATTACCAAGATCAATCACTTCTTGGAAAATGTAAGGACGGGCACTTGGTGGATGTCCCACATCTGTGTTCAGATTATTCACACGGTTGTACATCACTTCCAAGTCAATGGGATGCATGTGTTTAGCAGCATCTACACGGAAACCAGCAACGCCTAATTCAATCAAATGATTGAGGAAGTCCACGATTTTTCCTCGGACGTACTCGGTGCTTTGATTAAGATCTTTAAGTTTAGACAGTTCACAGTTACGGACTTCTTCGGGGTTGTTGTAGTCCACGATGATGCAATCGTCATGGAAGTCATAAACGCTGTATGGTACAGCTGGAAAGTCTTTCTTATCTGGGAAGGCTAAACTTCCGCCTGTTCCGGTTCCCTTATCACCAGGTCCTGTCATGTGGTTGATGACAACATCGACGTAAACATTGATTCCCACTGCTTTACATCTATTGGAAAGTATTAAGCATTATAACCTCAATTTATAGCTTTTGGGGATTAGTATACCTGCGAACCATGTCACCAAACTCTACCTCATTACCAGAACGTGTGTTTAGTTGATAACTGATTGGTTGGTAACGCTCCCACCATGGTCTGTTAGCAACAATGATGTTTTCAGAAACAGGGGAAACCTAACCAAAGAAATCATAACCTCAATTGTAAACTATTACTAGTATTTTAAGGTTATGTAAATTTACCTGTACACCTGCATATCCTTTGTGTTGCAAGAACCTTTCGCATTCATCAGCAATGTCATTCCATTTCCATTCGAATAAATGAACAATGGTGTTTCTATCAATGTTAAAATGGGCATCTTTGTGACCCAGAGCCACGCCCACAACTAATAAAACCGCACACAGCTTAAACATTTCGCTGATTTAGGCAACTTATTAACCCTGGTGAAAGGGTTAAGCTTTCGCTGTTGACTGACTTTCACATTGAATCTCACGGTTTTTATACTAGTATTGAATGAACGAAACATTTGTGCAGTGTGCACGTAGCACGTGGTCTTGAGTTGAGTACCTTCTCAACTTAATCTTAATCAATCAGAATCAATATTTAAAGCGTTGATAAAATCAAGCCGGTTATGACAAAATCTTAATAAACTCACTTTTTTCTGTGTGTTTTATCAGCTGCAATTGATAAAACTTATAAAAATATATTGTGACATAAATTAATCAAGTTTTTTTGTGGCCTGGAAGATTCCATAATGGTTCAAGTGGAAATCAAATCAATTTCACATGCAAATTTTATTCGAGTCATTCAATCAAGTGCACAACATCGAAATCAATGTTGATCAGTTAGATAAACCAGATCTGTGCACGTCTAGATCAAATCTTTGAATCCCTTGTGGCTGGCGTGCGACCAGAAATAGTATTGGTGACCAATTTAGAACATTGCATTCGGGAGCTGTTGTGTTGTGTCTGCTTCCGTCAGTTTATTCACTGCATGCACTCCAATATCGCAATTCACTTCGCTGATTAAACTGCCAGGCATAACACCACCGATGTCCCGGAATATTCAATTACCACCGGAGATAATTGAATTGATATTTTCTTTCTGTGATTGCGCCACATTAAAAGTGCTCAAAAGTGTCGATTGTGATTGGCGATCATTGATTGAGACGTTAATTCAGGTACAAGTGTGGGTTTTACGCGTTTAAGTACTTATTTGTTTGATTATTTATTAAATAACGTAGTAGGTGCTTTAGATAAATCAATGAAAACGTAGTGGGTTCTAATTTTAGAAACGCTGCTCGAGAAATATTCCAGACCTTGATTTATTGGAATACAAATATAAATTCAGCAAAGATGGAACAAAACTAGAGAATATTTGTGAAAATTGGGAGAATTGGCAGGATATTGTCAATAATATTGAATTTGAGAATGTTTCTTTTATTTACGAGAAGAAATACATTTCATGTGTTGCTGTTTTCAGTGAGTTTTCAACATAAAACATAAATTTTCCTTTAAAAAAACGAAATTTATACATTTTTAGATGATTATGTAGCTGTTGGTTTAGATACGGGTGCTGTACACCTATACAATCAAACTGAAGACTTATTGAAACAATTTGAAGCTTTAGTTCAACGAGAACCTCAATCAATTAAATTTGTTCCAGGTTTTTTACTTTCAGAAGAACCATTTGCCCTTCTTGTTGAATATACTTTAGTAACCTGTATTCATGACTTTTCCCAAGAGTACCAATCGAATGTATTTGATCACCAACAAGTATTTACAGCTTATAAAAGTTACATTTGTGGTGTTGCTCTTGATGGTACTGTAACAATAGCACAAATCTACAAAGATGAAGATGAAAACACTAAAAATCAACAAATTATGCTAAAAATACTTAAATTAGTGAAACTTCAAGTCCTAATCACTAATAATATATTTGCTAGTTTATCCTCTGATAAATGTATGATATTAAGTGATGATAAAGTCTTTGCTATTAACTATAAAGACGAAAATAACAATATTGAAGGAATAGCAACCGAAATCGCAAGTTTGGATTTTGCGATGAATTCTGTTCCTGTTTTATGGCGTGACGCGTTGATTTTCTACGATAAAGTGATAATAACTAATTCACAACGTAGGTAAATAGATAGTTTATTGATTGTTTAACTGTTTTTGATTGTTTTACAGCTAGGGCCGATACAGGGCAAATTTTTGAAGTTTTTCTTCTTGAAAACGCCATCAATGGAATTGTTTCAAGTGTAAAACGGTTTTATCTCACTGAAGTGTTCGAATCTCTGATTACATGTCTTTATTTATACGGAAGCACTTTAATTCTGGGTTTTGCCAATGGTGAAGTATTGTTTTATGAAGTACATGACTTTCAAAGTTTGGATTTGAAAAAGTACTCGAAATTAATTACAATGTTTACGAAATTAGGGCGGATATTATCTATAGATGTGATTGAAAGTTGTGGCAAGCGAGAGTTTTATGTTGCTGGACCTACTTTTGTACGTAAAATCACTGGAAAGTTAAGAATAAAGTAAAAGAAATGAAATATATTGTTTTTTTGCGATTATAAGATTCAACCATCTGGTATTTTTTAAATTACATTTGGTACATGCAGCGCCATCTGTTGAATGCTTCGAGAACAATTTGACGGTTAGTGTTTGAAACTAACGAACTTTTGTGTCATGAACAAATTAAAATCTTAAGTTATAAACAAACGAAAACAAATAACTCATGTAATCGACTATCACCTTATAAAACAGACATTGCCTAATGAGTGGGCACCGCCAGAGGTGCCCCGAATCAATGGGCAAGAACGGAATCAACACTTTTAGCGAACATATTGAGGTTAGTTAGTTTGTTTACATCCACTAAAAACAAGAAAAAAGCAACAAAACAACATAAATAAATTGTTTATAACATTTTGTAGGACTACACCGTGTTAAACTTGTTGGGAAAAGGTGGTTTTGCCTCCGTGTACAAAGCAAAATGCCTCAAAACGGGGATTTTTGTTGCAATCAAAATGGTAAGCAAAGTTTCACATGAATTTATTTGCGAAATTAATGTGTTTTTGATGTGTTTTAGATCGACAAAAAGCAAATGCATGCGGCTGGTATGGTTGATAGGGTGCAGCAAGAGGTGACCATACATTACAGGCTCAAACATCCTTCTATATTGGAATTGTACACATTTTTTGAGGATGCAAACTATGTTTACTTGGTTTTGGAGCTTTGCCATAATGGGGAGTTACAAAAATTCTTAAAAACCAATACAGAGGTAAATATAATAATATCTAGTTGCAGTATAATAAGATGTGGTGTTTATTTGGTATTTATTTTTGTGTTTTTAGAATCATTGTTTGTCTGAGATTGAGGCAAGCAATGTTATTCGACAAGTGGTTGAAGGGTTGCAATATCTTCACTCACATAACATTCTGCATAGAGATATGTCTTTATCAAACCTCCTGCTGACACAAGACATGCAAGTTGTAAGTTATTTAACTTAATACTTTGTTTTACATCATTTCAAGACTATTTTATCAAAAATTTCTTCATGTTTCTTGTAGAAAATTGCTGATTTTGGTCTGGCAACCCAATTAACACGTCCAGATGAGAAACACATGACGATGTGTGGCACACCAAACTTTATCTCTCCAGAAGTAGCATCTCGCGGTTCTCATGGCTTGGAAGCTGATGTTTGGGGCATTGGTTGCCTCTTATATACTCTTCTTGTGGGTCGTCCACCATTTGATACACAAGCAGTGAAAAGTACGCTCACCAGAGTTGTCATGGCGAAATATGATCTACCAGCGCATCTTTCAATGGAGGCGAAGGATTTAATCAATGCTCTTCTGCAGAAAAATCCTAAAGACCGACTTAAATTGGTGCAGATCTTAGATCATTCATTTATTAAACGCAGTGTAAGCATTCCAAGCATTCCACTTGTATTTTATATAAAATATTACTATTTTAATGGCGAATTTTAGACATTAGCAAATGGTATGACTTCGAATTTAACACACGATTCAGGAATACACACAATGTCAAGTCGACGGGATTCGGCTTTCAGCGACTTTGGATACAAGAATACCAATCATTTACAACCAATTCGTCGAAGTGCAAGTGATTTATTCCCATCCAACAACGAATCACATCCGACATTCTTGCCTAATAGTGCCAGTAGTCATAGCGTTGATCGTTTCGAACGTTTGTGTTATCAAAATAATCAACGTCCACAATCTGCCACACCTTTAACAGGAAATTTTTACGCATCTGCGAATAGTGGACATGATCAACGTCAGTTTTCTGCAGGCGCATCGTCTTTGAATGCACCTTTAAGAGATAAATGTGGGAGTAGTAATGGTGGTAGTCTTAATCGCCATTTTGGAAATAATAACGAAGAAGTTTTAAGAGATACAGGGCAGTTTTATGCAAATCAACAGGCGCCAAGTCCACCCGTTGATGATTTAAATGGGATTTTACAGACTGTTCATACTAGTATTGCGAATTCACAAGCACAATCACAATCCACACGTAAGTTTAATATTTTTTGATTGTTTTCTCTTGTAAAATTTATATTTTGTAATATATTTGTTGATTTTCATAGGAAATGTCTTTACATCTTATCAACAATCAACTGAAAACCCAAAACCACGCACAAAAGGACCAATAAAACTCATCGCCCATCGATTATTACCCACACGACATCAAACAAACAACGCTGTGTTGTCCATCCTCGACGGCGGAGAAGTTTGCATCGAATTCATCAAAAAACGCGGAATGGTTTGTGAAGTATGCCGAATTTCCGCTGATGGACAACGCGTTGTTCTCTATGAACCTGACAATGGTCGCGGAGTACCTCCCTCAAGCCAACCTCCTGAATTACCATTACAAGGAACTGACCAAATCTTCAGCTTTGAAAGTTTACCAGAAAAACACTGGAAGAAATACATGTACGCATACAAGTTTGTGGAGTTAGTAAGAGCAAAAACACCAAAGATCACATTCTACACAGACAAAGCAAAATGTTTACTCATGGAAAACCTAGTGGGTTTCGAAGCTTGTTTCTATGAAGGTGGAAAAGTAACTCAAAGTGCCGGAGATGGTATTACATTGATAGACGCGCACGGCCGGCGTGTGAATGTACAAAGCGCTGAGCAGTGTAAGGATTTGACTGGAGGAATGGCGATATTATGGGCACATGCGGATGAATCGCGCAATCATTGCGTGTTGTTGGAGAGGACGTTGACACAACTGCCTGGACAGTGCAACTTTCCGATTATTGTCGGTCGCAGGCCTTTGAATATTAATAAAGAGAATACACCTGCACCAATTTCTCTGGTTAGTAAAATAATACTATAAACAATTAAAATTTTATGATTTTTGTTGTTGTAGGATACATTTTCTGGTACGAATATTGTTATGCCAAGAGAATTGACAAGTGGGTCATCTTCAAGTCGTGAGAAAAAAGTTTCTGTACCCGGAATAGGGGTAGCCACGCAGTTGACAAGTGGAGAGGTGATGGTGCGTTTCCTAGATGGGACTAAATTATGGGTAGACGGTAAACATCGTGTGAAATACCAGTATGGCGACGGTGAAGTTGTGAAATTCACCGATTCAGAGGTTATACCACGCGCCATCATTGAGAAAATGCAGCATATGCCGAAGGTGCTGGCGCAGCTTCAACCGCCAAGCTTCAAGCATCGCAATCTTCGCACGTGAAGCAAGAGAAGATATTATTTTAGTTTATTTACGTTTTAAATATTAATGAATTTTAATATAAATATATTTTTATGTATTAATCGCACATACAAAACATACAAAAGTATTTAGAGGTTATTTTTAGGTTTTAATTGATTTAAAATTTAATATGCGATGAAATTTGTGGGTATTTTATGTTGAAATGTTTTGAAATTAATTTTAAGTGTGAAAAAAGCAAAAGATTTGGGTCTAACTGTATTGGTCAGGCTGCGACGAACGTCCCACTCCCGGGCGCGATCCCACTACTGCACGACGCGGGGACTTTTGGCTGCTGGGTTTCCCCCCTGGCCCGGTGCGCCCCTCCTTAGTCGACCTGGCCATCCCGGACTCCTCCAGGATGCCCATATCAACGCCCAGCTTAGTGTGGACGCCCAGTCAACGTGAGAGCATTTCGCCACAGAACTCCTGACCTCAAACCATCCGCCAAATCCGACCTCCCGGTAGCAGGATTACAGGAGTGCGCCACACTCCCAGTCGAGAAACATGCTCAAAATAAGAGTATTTTACCTTTCAGATTGACTAAAATCTTTATCCTGTAATATTGGTGATGAATAATAAAATCAATATATTTAAATAATATGTTTGTATTGCTTTAATCTTTGATAATTAATTAATATCGTAATATTCTGTCTAATTTACTGTTTATCATATTTTGATTGTGATTATCTCGGAAAGTAAAAGTGATAGAGAGGAACGGATTGAAGATTCTGAATCCTCGGGAAATTTTCTACAAGATAACTATTGAAATTATTCTGTAAACCTTCAGTAAGGGCCCTAAAATGCCCTTCAAATAAAATTTGTTATACTTGCTATAGAAAACACCCTATATCTATTGTATCATACAAGTAATTTAGGGTTTCTCAATGTCATGTTTTAGATTAAGAAACCCTTTATAATATATACACCGTTTCCAATCTATAAACCATCAGAAAGTGCCCTAAAATACCCATCAAAAGGGCATTTTTTGACTAATTTGGTATAATTTTGTACAAAATACCCTGTATCTTCTAAATTAATGAAGGAATTTAGAGTTTCTCAGCTTTAGGTAGTAGGCTAAGACACCCTGCATAACATGCATAACATTTTAGCCCTGTAAACCCTTTGGAAGTACCCTAAATATCAACTGAAAGTTGTAATTTTTCTCTAATTTCTCTTACTTTAATAGAAAACGTGCCATATCTCTTATACTAATTAAGTAATTTATGTTTTTTTAACGTTAAATGTTAGATTAAGAAGCCCTTTATGACATGCATAAAGTTTCCAGACTTTAAACACACAGGAAGTGCCCTAAAATGCCCCTTAAAATAAATAACCTGTATTTGTGAAATTATTTTCGGTCGAAGAACAGGGCCGAACTTTTTTTTGTAAAAATTTTTGCTCGAACAACAGGGTCGCACTTATTTTGTAAAATTATTTTGGGTCGAATTGAATTAAAATTTTCGATTGCGATTATCTCGAAAATTAAAAGAGTTACGATAAAATGTTACTTAAATAATCGATGTAGAATTAAACAATCTATAAGAATTCGAAATCAGAATTTAAAAATTCCAACTTTTAATTTTCAACATAAAAAGAGAAATCTTTTGCCTTTTTTATAACAAAATCTTTTCGTTAAAAATTTTTTGTGCCATTTTGATGATTTTTCAATAATGATGCCATCTTGTAGCAAATTTTTCAGGGATCAAGAATATGTAGTTTTTTTCTTTCTAGCCCTTTTAGTTGTCGAGATAATTAGCATTTTAATCTTTTAAATTAGACTATTCCGACGGAACGCTCGTGTTTTACTAAAATTGCAAATAGGGCCTAAACGGTTAAGGTTTGCAAAAAAACTTACTAAAATAATCGATGCAGAATTAAATTGTCTATCAAAACCCGAAAACAGAATTTTAAAATTCCTATTTTTAATTTTCAACATTCCTAATTAGATGATTAAATCGAAATTAGCTCGACAACTAATAGTGCAAGAAAAAAAAGAACTACATATTCTTGATCCTTGAAAAATTTGCTACAAGATGGCATCATTATTGAAAAATGATGAAAATGGCACAAAAAAATTTTTAAAGAAAAGATTTTGTTATAAAAAAGGCAAAAGATTTCTCTTTTTTATGTTGAAAATTAAAAGTTGGAATTTTTAAATTCTGATTCCGGATTCTTATAGACTGTTTAATTCTACATCGATTATTTAAGTAACTTTTTTGGCTAACGCTAACCGTTTAGGCCCTATTGGCATTTTTATTGAAAACTGCATTCGACATAAAAAACGGAAATGTTTTGCCTTTTTTATGACGAAATCTTTTATTTCAGCAAATGCCGATTTTGAAATAATTGGAATTTTTTAATTCTGATTTCGGATTCTAATAGATAACTTAATTCTATATCAATTATCTACGAAAGATTTTTTCTATCATCGACCGTTTCGGCCCTATTTACATTTTTAATGAAAAATTTAGAATAAGGCCCAAACTATTAAAGTTAGGAAATATGTTAAATAAATATTTGATAGAGAATCCTTCAGATATTCAAAATCTGAAACCCGTTTTATGTTTGCCCTTTTAGTTTCCGAGAAAATTGCAATTGAAAATTTTAATTTATTTTTTCCCGAAATAATTTTTCGAAATAAGTGCGAACCTGTTCTTCGAGCAAAAATATTTTATGAAAATAGTGCGGCCCTGTTCTTCGGCCAAAAAATAATTTTAAATGTTAGGTTAGAATCTGTTTTCTGTCAATAATCATTCTAAAGAGAAGTTAATACAAATTTACTAGCTTATTTCCACCAGAAAATGACAAATATTTCGAGATTTACTCAATTTTGAGGGTCATTTTAAGTCTCTTCCTGTTCGTTTAAGGGTTCCAAAGTGCACACGTCTTGGAAAAAGACTATCAATCAAAAATCTAGCCCTGAAAAATTCTAAATTACTTGATCGGTGTAGGAAATATTAGGCGTTTTCTACTAAAAAAAAGCCTCAAAATTTAAGAAAATAACCATTTTTGAGGGTATTTTAATTATTGTAATTCCCGACTCAAATAAGCAGCACTTGATTGAGAATATCTCGTAAACTAAAAGAGATAAATAAGATCTGATCGCAGCGTCTTAATCTACGGACCAATCTCTATCAGATAGGATAGTTAAAACCGAAATCAGAGAGATGAAATTTTGAGTCATAAGAAAAAAATGGGCAAGGGGGGGTGCTTGATACTTTTTTTCGACGATTTTCAAAAATTCATATCTCTTAAACTAAAAGAGATAGCTACCAACGAATTTTTGATTATGAAAGATTGGAAGATTCTCTATCAGATAAAAATATAAAATAATTATATTTCCTTCAGGAAAAGGTTGAAAAACGCGACTAAAAGTACTAAAAAGTGACATTTTTCAATTTTTGACGATTTTTTTCATTCGCGAATATCTCGTAAACTAAAAGAGATAGGAAGGCCAAATCGTAGATTTTTAATCTACGAAACATTCTCTACAAGATAGACTAGTTAAAATCGAAATCGGAGAGATGAAATTTTGAGTCATAAGAAAAAAATGGGCAAGGGGGGGTGCTTGATACTTTTTTTCGACGATTTTCAAAAATTCATATCTCTTAAACTAAAAGAGATAGCTACCAACGAATTGTTGATTATGAAAGATTGGAAGATTCTCTATCAGATAAAAATATAAAATAATTATATTTCCTTCAGGAAAAGGTTGAAAAACGCGACTAAAAGTGCTAAAAAGTGACATTTTTCAATTTTTGACGATTTTTTTCAATCGCGAATATCTCGTAAACTAAAAGAGATAGGAAGGCCAAATCGTAGATTTTTAATCTACGAAACATTCTCTACAAGATAGACTAGTTAAAATCGAAATCAGAGAGATGAAATTTTGAGTCATAAGAAAAAAATGGGCAAGGGGGGGTGCTTGATACTTTTTTTCGACGATTTTCAAAAATTCATATCTCTTAAACTAAAAGAGATAGCTACCAACGAATTTTTGATTATGAAAGATTGGAAGATTCTCTATCAGATAAAAATATAAAATAATTATATTTCCTTCAGGAAAAGGTTGAAAAACGCGACTAAAAGTACTAAAAAGTGACATTTTTCAATTTTTGACGATTTTTTTCATTCGCGAATATCTCGTAAACTAAAAGAGATAGGAAGGCCAAATCGTAGATTTTTAATCTACGAAACATTCTCTACAAGATAGACTAGTTAAAATCGAAATCGGAGAGATGAAATTTTGAGTCATAAGAAAAAAATGGGCAAGGGGTGCTTGATACTTTTTTTCGACGATTTTCAAAAATTCATATCTCTTAAACTAAAAGAGATAGCTACCAACGAATTGTTGATTATGAAAGATTGGAAGATTCTCTATCAGATAAAAATATAAAATAATTATATTTCCTTCAGGAAAAGGTTGAAAAACGCGACTAAAAGTGCTAAAAAGTGACATTTTTCAATTTTTGACGATTTTTTTCAATCGCGAATATCTCGTAAACTAAAAGAGATAGGAAGGCCAAATCGTAGATTTTTAATCTACGAAACATTCTCTACAAGATAGACTAGTTAAAATCGAAATCAGAGAGATGAAATTTTGAGTCATAAGAAAAAAATGGGCAAGGGGGGGTGCTTGATACTTTTTTTCGACGATTTTCAAAAATTCATATCTCTTAAACTAAAAGAGATAGCTACCAACGAATTTTTGATTATGAAAGATTGGAAGATTCTCTATCAGATAAAAATATAAAATAATTATATTTCCTTCAGGAAAAGGTTGAAAAACGCGACTAAAAGTACTAAAAAGTGACATTTTTCAATTTTTGACGATTTTTTTCATTCGCGAATATCTCGTAAACTAAAAGAGATAGGAAGGCCAAATCGTAGATTTTTAATCTACGAAACATTCTCTACAAGATAGACTAGTTAAAATCGAAATCAGAGAGATGAAATTTTGAGTCATAAGAAAAAAATGGGCAAGGGGGGGTGCTTGATACTTTTTTTCGACGATTTTCAAAAATTCATAGCTCTTAAACTAAAAGGGATAGCTACCAACGAATTGTTGATTATGAAAGATTGGAAAATTCTCTATCAGATAAAAATATAAAATAATTATATTTCCAACAGTAAAGTGTCGAAAAACGCGACTAAAAGTGCTAAAAAGTGACATTTTTCAATTTTTGACGATTTGTTTCAATCGCGAATATCTCGTCAACTAAAAGAGATACATAGGTACAAATCGCAGAGACTATTTTACGAACTTTTCTTTATTTTATTACCGAAAATTAAAGAAAATGTAATTTCGAACACTTTATTTTAGTAGTATTTAGTTATCAGACTTATGGTTTAGGTAATTTTAAATAATTTTATTGTTTATATAAGAAATATAATTTATAATAAAAATGGTATTAATTAGAATATTTAAGAAATAAATGAACATTTTAAACTCTATTCAGGTTTCCTAACTTTTCATTTATTAAAGAATCAATATATATTATAATATCTATTTGCACATCACCACACACACAATAACAAGAAACATGTTTTGACCTATATTTGTGTTCCGATATTTCTTGATAAGAACTGAATATCGAACTGGCCGTATTTTATTCATGTTCAGTCGATTCCAGTTGCTTCCATTGTACGGTCCTTGAGAAGATTCAACATGTCGACTGCTGACCACGTGCTCGCGTTGCGCGAGAAAATCTCCGGATGGTTGAATAAATCTGACGATAAAACAGAAAATGTAAGTTTAATTATCAACAAATAATAAATAAACACATTAATCATTAAGTAATTTCTCATCGCTATAGAAGGTACAAATGGAAGACCTAAAAGTTTTCGCGGAGTTACTCGGATTTTCCGCCAAAGTTGATGCAAAAACTCTTGTGATATCAACAACTGAACAAGATAACGCTACAGAATTGAATGATGCGAAAGTATTGCCTGAATCATCTGATATAAACAAATTAAAAGAAACAAAGGAAGCAATGTCTCCGAAGCCTGCCAATGAAGTTGAAATCAACGTGAGCATGACAAACGTGCCAACCTCAAGCCCCATCATTCAACCCAACAAAATCTCTGATACTCTTATGAAAATAATTAACTTAGCAAAAGACGCCCTGGACAACGACGTTAATTCTACATTTATAAAGACTGCTTATCTCCACAAACGCGTTTCTGACATTAAAGTTAGCCCATTGGCCATGAATAGCAGTCGAAATCATCTAGGAAATGATCTGAATGTGACCAAAACTAAAGAAAATACTAGTACACTCAAACCCACACCGAAGAAGAAGAAAGGAGCTGTGATTGTCAAGCCGGAAGAAAGCAAGGTCAAGAAACCAAGTGGTTCTAATGTTTCCATTACATTTAAGAAGAATGTTCTTCAACCTGTGCAGTCAAATTTGCAGGCATTGAAGTCTAAGCTACGAACGGTGAGTTTTATTTGCTTCAATTGGTGTAGCATTGTAGAATTTATTATGAAATAAACCATTTCAGCCTACACAGATTAGACCACCGACTAGTTCCCTGGCAACGCGTTCTGCTGGTGCACCACCATCAAGGGTTTCGGCCCTAACAGAAAGAAGGCTGTCCACTACTCCACTTCGTAAGGATCCACATAGTTTATCAAGACTGAAATATGCTTCAAGTCTAAAGAAATAGGGCACATTGTAAATACGGCATTTTATTGTAAATTTTATTCTAGACTTGAAAATAAACAATTTTATTCATTTTTGTTGAAAATCTTTTTTTTATAATAACAATGAAAAATATCTGACAATAAATGTGATTATTATCTAAACAATTAGTCTGATAACAAAATACTACTTAAATAAAGTAATTGAATTTATATTTTATTTTATTTCCTGCAAATAAAAAGGGCTTCTGCTTGAATCTACCCCATTTTTATCTCTGTTTTTAGGTTATTTTTTAAATTATTGCTATAATTAAGGAATTTTTTAATTTTGATTTCGGATTCATATAGACAATTTAATTCTGCATCGATTATTTAAGTAAAGTTTTTGCCTAACTGTGACCGATTAGGCCCTATTCGCAATTTAAAGAGAAAAATTGATTTTCAAAGGCCAATAAGGCCTTAATCTTTAAATGTGTTACTGGTTTCTGGTTCAGAATTTAATCTACTTTCAGAATCCGAAATCAGAATTTCAATATTCCAATTATTTCAAAAGTGGCATTTGCTGAAATAAAAGATTTCATCATAAAAAAGGCAAAACATTTCCGTTTTTTATGTCGAATGCAGTTTTCAATAAAATTGCAAATAGGGCCTAAACAGCTAATGTTAGCAAAAAAAGTTATTTAAATAATCGATGTAGCATTAAATTTTCTATCAGGAACCGAAAACAAAATTTCAAAATTCCAACTTTTAATTTTTAACATAAAAAAGAGAAATCTTTTGCCTTTTTTATAACAAAATCTTTTCTTTAAAAATTTTTTTTGCCATTTTTAACATTTTTCAATAATAATGCCATCTTGTTGAGAATTTTTCAAGGATTAAGAATATGTAGTTCTTTTTTTTCTAGCTCTTTTAGTTGTCGAGATAATTAGGATTTAATCTTTTAATTAGAAATGTTAAAAATTAAAAGTTGGAATTTTAAAATTCTGTTTTCAGTTTCTGATAGACAATTTAATTCTACATCGATTATTTTAGTAACTTTTTATTGTAGCTCTTTTCTTTTAATTTACGAAATAATTGCAATTGAAAATTTTAATTCAATTCGACCCGAAATAATTTTACAAAATAAGTGCGACCCTGTTGTTCGAGCAAAAATATTTTACGAAAATAGTTCGGCCCTGTCTTTCGACCGAAAATTAAATTCAAGTGTGAGGTTATGTTTGTTGTGATGCTCATGTTTTGAGTTCTGATTTTACAACTTTTAATCAATTAACACAAAATGATTGAAGAAGTGCAAAGACACTCAGTACACACGTTGGTGTTTCGATCTTTAAAACGTTCCCACGACATGTTCCTCTCTAATCAGGGACAATTACCGGCCGTAGATGAAAAAGCGTAAGTAAACCACCCAACAACAAAACGTTTAACATCGTTTCAATTAAATATTCTCTTCAGGGAAGCAATTCGACGGTTGATTAAAGCCCGTGACAGTTACGGTTTAGTCTTTGATGATATAAAGAAGATGAAAGCAATGAAACAACTGCATGATGTAGAAGCAGGACCCAATCCTCCACCACCAGGTACGATTGCCGAGAACACTGAAGCTGTAGTCCCATATACAACAACAACAATTGCTACAAAGACACCCTTGCCTGGACAAAACGCCCAGGGCCAAAGTCTGATGAAGAGGGCAAGTGTGATGCCAAAACCAAAGTGGCATGCACCCTGGAAGCTTTACCGAGTTATTTCAGGACATTTAGGATGGGTTAGATGCTGTACAGTTGAACCAGGCAATGAGGTAAATAAATATCCACTAGATTAAAACTAAATTAAAATTAAATTACAACAAAAAATAAAATTTTATTGATTTTTCAGTGGTTTGCAACTGGTGCCGCTGACAGAATAATCAAAATCTGGGACTTGGCAACCGGCCAACTAAAGGTATCCCTCACAGGGCATGTGAGCACAGTCCGTGGATTAGCAGTGAGCACCCGCCATCCGTATCTCTTCAGTTGTGGCGAGGACCGGCAAGTAAAATGCTGGGATCTCGAATACAACAAAGTTATTCGTCATTATCACGGCCACTTATCCGCTGTGTATTCACTCGCTTTGCATCCCACAATCGACGTGTTACTTTCAGCCGGTAGGGATTCAACTGCACGTGTATGGGATATGCGTACAAAGCAAACGTACACACTTTAACAGGTCATACTCATACTGTTGCTAGTGTGATTGCACAGGCGGCCGAACCGCAAGTTATTACTGGCTCACATGATACCACAATCAGGCTGTGGGATCTTGCAGCTGGGAAATCAATGTGCACATTAACAAATCACAAGAAAAGCGTCCGTAGTCTTGTTTTTCATCCCACTTTATACATGTTTGCATCAGGATCACCTGATAATATCAAACAATGGAAGTGTCCGGATGGAAAATTCATTCAGAATTTGTCTGGTCACAATGCCATCCTTAATTGTCTAGCGGTTAATCCAGAAGGTGTTCTTGTCTCAGGCGGTGATAATGGTACTCTACAGTTTTGGGATTGGCGTACCGGATATAACTTCCAACGTTTACAAGTACATAACCTCAATTTAAAGCTTTTTCACTTAATTTTAACTTATTTTATTGTTTATATAGGCTCCAGTGCAACCTGGTTCGATGGACAGTGAAGCTGGAATATTTTCAATGACTTTCGACCATTCCGGATCAAGATTAATCACGACTGAAGCTGACAAAACCATCAAAATCTACAAGGAAGACGATTCCGCCACTGAAGATTCTCATCCAATCCACTGGAAGCCGGATATTTTGAAACGGCGCAAATTTTAAATCCTAAACTCCATCTTTTACTTTTATACATATTTAATAATAATAATTTCTAAGTACAAGATGAAACGCTTACAGTATAAACTCGTAATTATAAATTACAATATAAGTTAATCGCACCAGACGCGTCTGGTCACACATACATTATACATTCATACAGAAAATCAATGTGAAGATGTTTTAGGAGTCTTCTTCGTCTTCACAATCATCACATTCGGGTATCGTTGGCGGTATGGCTAAATTAATGGTGCCACCGGTGAGTTTGGGGCGCGGCGGGGGCGGCATGCAGGGAGCGGTTTTGATTCCGGTGAATCGCCCGGAAATGACACGGTATAATCCGGCTGCGGCTGGAAGTCGTCCGTATCGGCGAATTCGTCGTCGTCATCCCCGTAGCTCGCCTCTGTCTCACGCTGGAGATTCATCAGCTGCATCTGGAAGTAACGCTTCTCTTCGTTGATGCATGCGAGGTCCTTCTCCTGCTCGGCGATCACCTGTCGCAGGTCGGCGATGAGATTCAAATCTTCCTGACGTGCTTCACGACGTTCATAACGTGTTCTTACTTCTTCAAATCTAAATTTATTTTGATGAATGTTTTATTTTGTTTTTATAGGTTAGGTTTAAGATGTCTTACAATTTGGTGAGCGTCAGAACCTTCTTCTGCAGATGATCAATCTGTTGCTGTGATTGTTTCTGCTGTTGCGTCAACTTGGATTGGAACTCTTCGCGTTCCTGATCGGCTAGCGCCTGCAGCTTCATGAGAACGTCCTGGAGACCTCTGTAAGGAAGTAAGGACTCGGGTCATCTTAAGGGATACCATATTAACTAAATGCACCAATCACAGCACTACACACACACACAACTGATGTGTATATATCTGTAGTCTTTATCTGTTCGTTTTTTTATTTGTGTAAGAAAAGTAGCAAGGATATCAAGGCGAAGGTGAGTGTAATGAGGGCCGAGTCGGCAAAGAGGTACGAAAGCGTCGGGTACGCGACCAGCGTGTATCCGCTTAAACAAAATGGCGATCTTGTTATGTTGGTTAGAATACGTGTGCCGGGCACTAACCTTATTTTCTGATCGGCATCGCGTCGATTCCTCATCAACTGCTCGTTCTGCTGAGCGATCTCCTGGTTGAGCACCTGTACACCGCCCTCCAGCGTGTCCACATTGCTCTGCATATCGTCCATGGTCGACTCCTTACTAGTGATTTCATTCTTGAGCGAGTCGATTGTTTTCAGTAGCTCGATTTCGCGCGATTCGTGCGATTTCTGTTGCGTGTAGAATTGTTCTTCGAGCGTTCGAATCTTTTGCACGTAGTCTTGTTCCAACAGTTTGATGGCCTCGGATTTTTGATGCACTAAATTCGCCCATTGTGTATCTACCACCATCAAACAAAACTCAAATTAAAAAAAAATTATTTTAAGGTTATGTTGTATTTCCTACCCAATTGCGAACGATGCTGTTCGATGAGTTCGTTAATTTGTTGTTGCGCTTCCTTCTCCATTTGGTCCTTGAGAAGGATGAGGCTGGCGCGCAACGTGGACGTCTGATTCTTGTAGGACATGTCCACCTCAGCCAGCTTATCCTTATGCTGCGCGACGAGTTTTTCTGAAAGTTATGCCAGTAAATTACCTCGCATTCTGTGCAATTGCGCCACATTCGTGTGTTTATTTTGGGTTTTTGGCAAATGTCACTAATTTCGAGAGCGCATCCCATCATTGTTTCTGGTTCGAACTAAAACTACCGCTTACCTATTTCTAGTTCGTGGTCCATGCTTAACTTTTCGAATCTTTCGTGGTGCGCATTGTCGATTTTATCCATGATGCGACGAAATTCGAAGATTTCCCGATCGGCATTCGTCTGCTGCGTCATCATTTCATTCTGGTAATACGCTTCTTTTTCATCTAATGTCCGTTTTAAGCATTTTATCTATAAATATTTTGAGGTTAAATATGGTTATGTTTATTTTTATTAAAAATAACTTAACCTCTTTAAGACATTCACTAATTTTAAACTCCCATTGTTTCTTCGCAAGTTCAAACTCTTCTTCTTTTTTGGTCTTGACGTCCATGACGGCATCATTCTTCTCTTCGAGATACAACTGTTCAAGTTCATATTTCAACCTGCCGATTTCATGCAGGAGCCGCTCCTCCCAATACTCGGCAATCTCAGTCTTTTTCTCCTGTAGCGTCGTCTGCAGCCATCTTTCCTTATCGGTCATCTCCTGATGATGCACCCTTTGCATATGTTGCAGATTCTCCTTCTCCATATCAATCAATCTCCTCAATTTTTTTGCTTCTTCCTTTAAACCCTCCTCACTGGCTTTCATATCCGCTTGCTTATCTATCAACTCCTTCATTGCTTTCTCATGCTCCACACTTTGTCCCTTCAATGTCTGCACTTCATCTTTACAAGCCCGGAGATGTTTCACTTCGTCCATCATCTGTTGAGCAATGGTCATCTTCACCTCTGCGTCCCGATAAGCTTCCTTGAGTCGTTGTTCTAAACTACGTTCTTTTTCATCTAGTTTATTTTTACAACCCTTGTGGACCTCACGCAACTTCCACTCGAAATCATCTAGTAAACTTTGTTCTTTTAGGAGGTTAACAGTTCGTAGTTTTTCGAATTCCGACTGCCATTTTGCTTGCACCAGGTTTTTCTGTTTTATAGATTCTTCAAGTTGTAATTCGACTTGTTTCTTCTCTTTATCGCGTTCGAGAAGGATACTGGCGTGTTGGGCAACCAACGCTTGCTTCTCAGCTTGGAGATCTTTAATCTGCGACTCAAGATTGGCGATTTTCTCGCGTAACTCACGAATTATATTCTCCAACGCTGAGATTTTACTGCTAGCGACCGCTTCTGACTCTTCGAAATTTTCTAGAATAGAGAGATTTTGGCATAAAAATCACACACTGATTCATTTTTTGTTGTGAATCACCATTACCTGTTTTCCTGGCAATTTCCTCAGACAAATTACCATTTTTTGTCGGTAATCCTGCAGATCCTGTTCGAGATTCTTAATTCGTAACTTCACATACTCAGATTCTTTGTGGGCTGCTTGCAGTTCAGCTTGTAGCCCTAAAATAAAAAAAAAATTACCAATTTTTGATTTTAAAAATTTTGGGTAACGTACGATCCATGCCAGCACTTTTAGCAAAAACATCCCTCTGCAGTTCCTCCATCTGAAAACGCAATTTATTCGCCTCTGCATCGCGTGCCACCAATTGTTTCGACAAGTCGTTAAGTTGACTTTGGAATTTCGCTTCTTGATTCACCAAATTCTTCCTGCAACCAAGGTTACACGTTAATTAAGTTGCAAGTGAATGAAAACTTCCCGAAATAACTAAATGCGTTAAAGTATACAAAATACTTGAAATTGTGCTAAAAATATTCGCTTTCGCGCGTCAATCGCTACACATGACTCAATCGCCAACGCACGATACAAAAATATTCAATTCATGTATAAAAAACAAAATGGCGGCATTTTAAAGCAAATTACTTTGATTGTCTTTCGTCTTCCGTGGCTGCCACAGTCGTCTCGTTAGTTTTAATTCGTAATCTCGGTGGCGCTTCCGGTAAACCTCTATTCGTTGCACCATTTGTGTGATTTGGAAAGTGTGGAAATCCATTGCAATCGCCATAGACTTCGACGATGCGTGGACTTTCGGGTGGCGTTGGTGTGGGTGTAACGGCCGAATTTCGTCGCGATGCGTTCGGGGTGGGAATACGCGGCGAGATGGCGATGGTACCATGCCCAGCGGGTTTAACACTACTCATTGTCGTGCCGGAGGTGGTGCGAACGCCGCCGGGGGTGGCTGTGTGGCAGTTATCGTTCGAGTCGACCACCGCGTCGACGGTGGTCGCGGTCGTTTTGCTCGCGCCGCTCTCGCTGCAACTGCCGACGGCGGGCGCTTCGGTTTTATTTTTACACATTTTCACAATCCCATTGCCAATTCCATCGCTAGGCGTACAACTAGCATCGGTTATGAAAGGTGCGACAGGAGTGGAATTCTGGGTCGGCTCGGTTTTCCTTTCGGAATTTGAATTTGTGCTTAAATTTCCGCTTGCGTTGGGAACCACTGACGTTGTCACTTGGAAAAACGGCGTGAAGATGTGTGGGGATGTGTTTTGTGTTGGTTGGTTTTGGGGTAGGTCGTTCGCGTTCACATCCACCTTCTTTTTACCACGCGAAAAGAAACTGAACATTTTTTAAAAGTTTTTTTTTCGAATTTAATTTAATTATAATTAAATGCACATTAAATTGGTTTCGTTGAGGATTGAGTTATTGTGGTGTTGTGGGTTTGAAAGCAATTTGCACACTGAGTGAGTATTTATTTCAAGCGAATTTTCTTTTCCTGCTGCGTTGGGCGTGCTTGGAGGCAGGAGTGAAATACGCGTGCAGGTCGTAGACGCACAACTGACGTGCATGCACGCACACATTCGTGAATATATTTATAGCTTTATAACTTTACGATTCTTTATGTTTTGCGTCCGGCGCGCGTTTGTTTTTCCTCGTGCAAAATGCATAAGACATCAGACATCAGAGTGCTTTAAGCTGTGGATATGCTGAGTATTTTTACTCACAACACTCTAAATAAATTAAATTAAGTCATGCTCAATCAATTAGACACGTTGCAAATTCAATAACCGCATTTTTACTACTAAAATTATAAAAATTTTATTTTTAACTATAGGCAACCAACATCACACTAGGTTATGCATCAAATGTCTTTTTGAGGTTAAATCTGATTAAAATGTAATTTTTTGTTCTAAAAAGTGTTTTTGTGGTCCACGTCCCATGAAATTAATGTCTGACGATTTATAATTTCACTTTCATGTGAAATACTTCTGAAGTTTGTCGTGCATGACAGGATAAACGCATAAAAGGCGTGCATGCGTGCCAAAAGTTGACAGACGGAAAAAAACATGCACTTTGCACGCATCACCTTTCAAGTCTGTGTTCAATAACCTTTTTACGGCAGACAAAATTACCGGAAGAACAATTTTTCTTCGTGACAGAGTCAAAAACACTTAAAATTAATTATTTCATTGTTTGTTGATGAAAAACTTCAATTTTATTGCGATGTTTGTGTTTCAGTTGTAAAACAAAATGAGTTTGGCAAAAATGGGATTAAATGTGACAGTTATTTTGAGCGTTTCATAAACTAGGTTATAATTAGGTCTTTGTATACCGAAATAGTCAACACGACGTCAAAATACTCGTACTACGCTTTTCGTTGGATGGAATTCATAGAAACGTAATACATTTGTGTTTACGCCTCATAAAATTACGACTTTTAATCATTAATCATTTTAAACATGTCACAAACACTTTTTGATACTTAAATTTAAACTATTTCTACATAGATGTCGCTAGGTACATGTCCAAAACAAAATTAAAGCAAAACGTTATTATTTTAATACAATAAAATAAACTTATACTTTATACAAGGATAAATTTACAGATAGGTCAAGAAAATCACCTTCCTGTGTATTTTTAGTATCTATCTACTTATTGCAACAAGTAGGTGTGGGTGCAATTCGAGTGCCCGAGCGATTTGCTTTCATCGACTAGCTAATTACTTGCCAATCGTCTCCGGTGATATTTCAACTGCGCATTTGGTTAAATTTACGATGTCACTAACTGCAATTACCACCTGATGTAATTAAAGACAACAAATAATGTGTAGGATAACTTTTTACTGTGTTTTATTAATATTAACCTATTTTTCGGACATGTTGCCAAAGAAAATAAACTGTTTTTAATCTTTTTGGTATTGAGTGCGAATATATCGCGTAAATTTCGAAAATATTAAGTTTATGCTACAAATTCTTATATTTTATGCACTCTGGCAGTTATAATTTAGAAAATGTGTAATATTGCACATATTGTTTATGAAAACCACACGCGTAGACGCAAATCAACTAAAATTATCTTTAAACCGCCAAAAATAGCTTCATAACCTCTAAAATAACGGTTTTATTCGATTTATTCTACATAATTAAATAAAATAATACTTTTTCTCATATAAAACAATATAATACACACTCTAACAAGTCATAAATGCATTTATTGTTGTTCTGTACTCAGATTGCTTCACCAAAACACAAATTTCGTAAATACATTTCCAAAACAATCCGATTTGCGGCGCATTTTCCCCGTAGAAAGAACGCCACGTGCGGCACAAGTTGCCTACACACTTCCACATCGAAATCCAACGAGTGTTTACTCTCCAACTCTTTCAAATCCAAATTTAGGTGCAGGAAACACTTGGAACGCACTGTATTTGTTTCATCCATCAAAGATAACTCAATTACAATCTTAATCAGTTGATCTTTTTTATCATCCTGCTCAATATCTTCACTTTGCCCACCATCTTGTTTAGTATTACATCCGGCAGCCATTTTATTGTTGTAATTACGTAATTTTAGGTTATAATTGAAAGTATGATGTTTTTACTGGTTTTAAATACAAATTGGAGGAATGTAGACGGTCGATTTGTTTTTTAGTTTGTACTGGATGTGTTTGTGACATAGTTTGCTCGATGGCGTCGCTCTACTGCCACGCATAATGTGCGAACACGAACACGAACACGAGCAACAAAAGAGTCAGGAAGGAGCGGCGGTTGGAAAAGACGCCCGGCGTCCTCAAATGATTTTAAATTTAACTCGACGCCTAAATCGGTGCGCCGGCAAGAAATAACTCGAATTCGGGCGAAGCAAATGAATACTTCCGCATGTCTTCGGATATACCAACTGTTTTAAATCATACATAACCTAACATAACATAACCTATTATGTTGCCTCACAAAATATCAAATTAATTGACTATAAAGATGTAAATTTATTAGGCATACACAGCTGCACTCAAAATTAATAAATAAAACAATTTGCGGCTGAAATAAAACAGATTTGCCAAGAAAAAAATCAACCTACAGCTGTTCAACACCAAGTTGATGTATAAATATAACAAATTTCGAAACTTTTATCCACTGCACAACTAAAACCAAAGTGCACTTGGCCTTGAAACCATCTATTCTTAATTTATTAAACAAATAATTCAAAAATCTAATTATAACCTCAATTTTGCACTAGTTTCGCAAATTACCTCCGTAATCTTTTCGTATGATCTCATTTGGATAGACACCAAAGAAAACAATGACACCTTCATGTCGTCCATGACTAAAAAAACGTTTGTTACGTTATTTACTATTTTTTCTGAGCTTAATCCTAGTAAAACTCATAATCCCCTTCAAGTTCACCAGAGAATACGGTTAGGTAGTGTCAAAATAGTGTGTTAATAGTCATTGTAACACGTCCTTCACATAATTACTCGGTCGACGTGCAATTTGCCACTTTTTCGCGCGCCCGCCGTTAATTTATCGCGCGCAGCTTATATTTGGATGTGCTAATAGACGGATTATCGACGCGTGCCAACCACGCGAGGAGGATTCGAGTATTCAGAGCGCGTCGACGAGAAAAAAAACGCGAAGAAGATTGATCTAGCAATGTGGTCGCGCAGATTGCCAAATCAATTCGATGAATAAATAGATTCACTACTTTAAACATCGTAAAATTCATCAAATAAACGATTATTTCGTATTTTTCATATCAAAAATTAAGTTTTGTGTTGTTTCTGAGACAATTTGCGTGTTTTTTATATAAAAATACGCATCATTTGGCAAATGTACATCGTAAGTGTATAATTTTGTCGTTTTGACGCAGTTTTACATAAAGACAGAAATAATAACCGCTAGAATTTATTTATTTAATCCACGACGTCCTATTATTAAACTTGAACTTTCACGAACACGCAGGATATGCTTTACGGTGTGAAACTTTATAAAAATAGCGTTTTGTCTGTTTTTCTGGTGAACGTTCACGCATAAAACGTTGTAACACGCGTAATATTAGATATTTAAGTGTTTTTTACTTACCAATATCCAAAAAAGTTCGAAATTGCTGAACAATCAGCATCCAAAGATGCCGTCTCCACATCGCTGTTAACATTATATATTCCAGTATCCGCTGAATCCGTTGATGTGGCCGTGCTCACATCGTCCTCGTCGTCCTTTTCTTCGTCCTTACACACGTCGTCTTGTTCGGTCGCCATTTTACCGAGGAAACTACGCACGAAACTCATTCCTATTCACATTAACTATTATTGTTTCGGTTTTGTTTTTATTTTTTTGTTAATTTTTATTAATTTTGAGTGTGTGGGTGGAAATTAGGCGCGTTGCGGTGTAAAACCCGTTTCGGTGTCGTTGTGCCTCGGTGTCGTCGTGGTTCGCGAGTGGCGATCTCGTCCCGGCGCTGAAACCCGCGGGAAACCCTTCCTCTGTTCCTCTCGATGCGAGTATTTATGGTGGACAGTCGACGGCGTATTCGTGTGGGCTATTTGTAGTGATGAGAGAGGCCTTGGATGTACAACGCCGTCAAAACAATGCATAATGATATTATTTTAGGTTTTATTTGAGGTTAGAGTTAGGTTATGAGTTAGATTATGAGTTAAATAAGGTTAGGAATGTTCCATTGGCAATCAATTCGTTGAATATGTGATGAAATCTATTGAAAATGCATCATAATCACAGGTAATATGAAATTTTTATCTTAATAATGTACAACGCCGTCAAAACAATGTAGGGGAAAGTAGCCATATTTGGACCATTTTTATATTTTTTGATTTATAGAGCCACATATAAACTGTCAATAAAAATTAAGTAGCGGAAAAGTAACCTACAAAGCTTACCTACAAAATGATATTTTTGATTTAAGTAAAAATTATATTTATACCCCTCAAATTTCAATTTAAAAAAAATTTGTTTTTGGTCCAAATTAAGAAACCGGTTTCTTAAATTGGACCGCGCGGTTTCCTAAATTGGACCATGCTTTTTTAACGGCAATTGACACAATAGTAAATTTTAGTTTTAGCTCTAACACAAGCACATTTTGTTTAAACCAAAGTGCGGCATTTCATACATTGGATCATTTCGAAGAGTTGTGCTCGTCCACAAGCTTTTCTAGGAGGTCGAAAAAATGATATACGTTTTCCCTGTTAAATCCCCGGTGCCTGTCTTTGGTCCAACTTGGGCAACTTGAAGAATTTATATATAATGATCAACAACAATCTTAATATAACAAAACCTCTCCAAATTAATATTATAAATTATAGATAAATAAATATGCTTTCTGATGATATAATAATAATTGTGAAATCTAACGTTTAAACAGCTTGACAGCTTATGCACTTACGTCGTTATAATAGATTTGATAATCAAGAATACACAAAGTTGTTGTCACGACGAAAGCACGCGGCAAGTTTTAACTCAAATAGTTGAATCAATTGTTTATAAATACGAGTAAAACAAGGGGCCTGTCTATTTTTGCAAAAACATCAACAGTCCGCGGATATCGTGGTGGTCCAACTTAGGCTACCTTCCCCTATAATAATATTATTTTAGGTTTTATTTGAGGTTAGAGTTAGGTTATGTGTTAAATATGATTAGGAATATTCCATAAGCAATCAATTCGTTAAATATGTGATGAAATCTATTGAAAATGCATCATAATCAAGATAAAATAATGAATCATAGATTAAAACACGTTGACGCCGGCGTGACCCACCGGTGGGAATTTTATTTTTCAGGTTATATACAGGATGTTACGGTAGTGTTTTATGTGTGCAGGGTCGGCTTTATTGTTATGTGCAAGTCTGCAGGGTAGTATTAAGTACGTGCCGTACACTTAACACGTTGACGCCGGCGTGACCTAATATAAAAAAAAATGGAAACAAATACGACGAAACAAATAATTCAATGAACTGAATGTTAGTGTAAGTTGCAAATTCAAAGCACCAAAGCACCAGCCAAAACAATCGTTTCGTGCCGAAGCAAAGCATAAACCACCAGCTGCATCAACTCGAGCGAGCTGATAACGCTCAAACGCCGCCCGATGCGCCGGCGTCAACATGTTAACCGGCCCCTTCTACAAATTCCACGAAATTTCACAATTTCACAAATCATGCGACTTGCCCTGTATTCTATATAGTTTCGTTCAGTCGTGTGCGCGCGCGGAGAAGCACGATCATGCCCCGAACTTTGAACGTGCGCCTGCGCATTCCGCAAGTCTGCGAAATGTGCTTGGGCCGCCGGGCAAAACCGCGCCGGCGTCAACGTGTTAAAATGAGTGAGTCACAGATAATACGAAATTTTATCGCAATTTTTAGATTAAAATGTTTATAAATGCATCTATTGTCTATTATCAAGTTCAAATTTCATCATGACGCCTTCCAAACTCATTCTCTGCCTTTGTGCATTCATCCTGCTACAGGTAATTACAAATTTTACATTAAACTAAGCAAATTAATCAATTTTATTGTAGTTTACTGATGCCTCAACAACCAGCACTAAATTATCACAAAGAGTTAAAAAATCCAACTCACTCATAAAGAAATTATTCGATGCAATGCCTGACTACTTCGATAGTATTAGCGCCTACGAAGCAAACGCATTAAACATCCAAACCGAGACCGCCGCTTATGAGAAATCACTGAACATGCTGATGAGGGATCAGGACTTGCAAGCCAATCGACAAGTTGTGGCAATGCATGAAGAGGCTGATGAAATCGATGTGGATATCAACGCGTGTTATCAAGAGTTCTCCAATGACCGCTTCTTTATGACAATGCATTACAACGCTAGTGTGATAGCTTTGAAGAGGACAATGTGGAGTGAATTCGGAAGGATCTACGCCAAATTCGAGACGACTTTGAGTGATTTGGAAGAACGTGCGGGCGAAACCCAGAATGCTGTAGTCAACTGTCATGTGGATGACGATGATTGTTTCGTGAAAGGATGGGATCAGTTGGATGAGATAAGAGGTTTGATCGAGACGGCAGAAATAGAAATGCACGCACATCAAATCAAATTCGATTTAATGAAGGAGAGCTTCTTTGGTCAGTGGAGGGACAAACTAAATATTTACCTGGACATAACATACCGTAACGAGGATTCTGATTTGAATGCATTCAAAGAGTGCGTACAACAGAAAATCATGGAGTATCCACCTATCCGTGTAGAATTATAAGCAGTTAATAACTAAATCTTTGATTTGTCGCAGAAATATTAGAATAAAGAACCAATAGAAGCTGAATGAGGTTATGTTGTATGTTATAAACACACAGGTTATGTTCAGGTTGATTTATTAACTTTTAAATAATGCATAATCAATACTCATCGTTCTCAAACGGATGATGAACATGTCCAAACGAACTAAAAATGCAAAACACGATTAGATATCAATCAATATCTGAATAATAAATTACTCACGGTGTCATTGGGCAAATACGATAATTGCGATCGAAGCCATCGATGATTGCAACATCCGCAGGTGTGAGTTTAAAGTTCAAAATATCAAAGTTTTCAGCAATTCGGGATTTGGTGACGCTTTTTGGGATCACAACATGCCCACGCTCCATTTGATACCTGAGCAGGACCTGCGCGGTGCTCTTCTTGTACTTATTAGCGATTTCTTTCAGTTTCGGGTCTTCCAGCAGGACAGGTTCTTCGGGTTTGGCCCATGGACGATCTGGAGATCCTAGAGGACTGTAAGCTGTGAGGACAATGCCTTTGGAAGCACAGAATGCGCTTAGTTTATGCTGGGTGAGATATGCGTGGCATTCCACTTGGTTAACAGCAGGGACAATCTTTCCAGCGGCCAGGACACGTTCGATTTGTTTCTTATTGAAGTTAGACACGCCAATAGAACGGCATAAACCTTTGGATACCAGTTGTTCCATCGCTAGCCATGTGTCAACATAATCAACATCGGATGCGATTGCGGTGTTGTCTGGTTTCAGAGGGAACAGCTCACCGCCTTCCTGATAACCCACTGGCCAGTGGATTAGGTAGAGGTCGAGATATTCAAGTCCAAGGTCAGCCAAGGTCTTTCTACAAGCACCTTCGACCAATTGTGGACTGTGGAATGTATTCCACAGTTTACTGGTGATGAAAAGATCTGAACGTGTGACTGTTCCATCTTTTAACTTTGTCTGAAGACCTTCACCGACTTCTTTTTCGTTTTGGTAGATGTGGGCGCAGTCAATGTGTCGGTAACCAATGTCAATGGCATCTTTCACTGCATTGCACACTTCACCAGGCTTCGATTTCCATGTACCAAGACCCAATTGTGGGATTTCAGCGCCAGAGTTCAGTTTGATGCTTGGAACAGCCATTTTAGTTGAATCTAAAAACACCACTTATGAGTTTCTAGCAGAGGATCTACTTATATAGAAATTTGTTATCAGTGAGTGCTTTTGATGTTTACTTATTATGAGATGAGATGAAATATTATGCAATGTTAGGTTCAATTCACTCGTAATGTACAACCAGTGTGCGAATAGAGAATAAATCATAGACTAGTCAATGCAAACACAAACAAAGTGGAAAATAACAGCGGCAGTAATTGATATAACGATTATCCTAATCTGGCAAACACTTATGTCGCTGTTTGCATTCAATTAATTGAAATGTATGATGTTGGACTTACATGCTGTTGATGTTGATGTGATGCAGTGGAGAAACAACCTTCAAATGCCGGTTTTTGATGCCACACAGCAGGAATTTATAACTCTACAGCTGTATGCTGTATTCTTGCTGGTTGTAGCAGGAGCAGGGAGCGCAAACGCAGTGAAACAATTTCGTTAATTGTTTGTATTGGTTGTGGTGTTATACCAATATTGATTCATATTATGAAATGAATGTTTTACATTTACATCATGTTTCATAACTTTCCTCTACATCTACATCTACATCTACAAAAAACACATATTTCAGCAGGAAAATAACACAGTGTTGCCAGAACCTGCTACACTTCTGATAAAACATTAAAAAATGCGGAACTGGACTGATTACGATAATCAAACAACTCTCATCTTGTCTCAAGGACAAAATTACATAACACAATCAAACAAAATGGATAAAATCACGAATTGATTTATATTTGAATGTTACATTCAATTAAATATTGCATTTCATCCTTAGAATTCCTTAGAAAGGGTAATGAGGATGTGCAGCAGATCTGAAAACAAAAAAAACATTAATTTTTGATTGAAATTAAATTATTACTTGAATTCTTCTTACCCTGTCATCGGGCACACACGCCAATTACGATCAAAACCATTCACAGTCGCCAGATCCTCATCAGTGAGTTTAAAATCTAAGATGTTGAAATTTTCAGCAATGCGTGTTTTGGTCACACTCTTCGGGATGACAACATGTCCACGATCCAGCTGGTACCTCAGCAGGACTTGCGCAATACTCTTCTTGTACTTATCAGCAATTTCCTGCAATTTCGGGTCTTCCAACAGCGCAGGCTCACCGGGTTTAGCATATGGACGATCAGGAGATCCCAGAGGACTGTAAGCTGTGATGGTAATACCCTTGGAGGCGCAATACTTGCTCAATTCACTCTGGTTAAGATAAGCGTGGCATTCAATCTGGTTCATTGCAGGGACAATCTTCGCCACCGCCAGGATACGTTCAATTTGGCTCTGGTTAAAGTTGGATACACCAATGGCGCGGCACAGGCCTTTGGAGACGAGTTCCTCCATTGCTTTCCAGGTATCCACGTAGTCTACGTCGGAAGCGGCGTCGGTACCATCATCATTCGTGGGGAGTAATTCATCAGTGCCTTCTTTGAAACCGAATGGCCAGTGGATAAGGTAGAGGTCGAGGTATTCCAGACCTAGATCAGCAAGGGTGTTGCGACAAGCTGGTTCGACTAAGTCGGGGCTGTGGAAGGTGTTCCATAACTTGCTGGTGATGAAAACGTCCTCACGTTTGACGGTACCATCTTTGAATTTGGCGTCTAGAGCGGCCCCGACTTCTTTTTCGTTGAGGTAAATGTGGGCACCGTCGATGTGACGGTAACCGACGTCAATGGCGTCTTTTACAGCTTGGGTAACTTCACCAGGCTTTGACTAATGGAGAAAAATTGGATATTATGTAATATTTTGACCCAAATTGGAAAAATTTTGTTTTATCAACCACTTTAGTTCATAACATGACATAGCATGATAGTGTTTTATCAGAAAAGTGTTTTTGTAACATATTTAAGTTACTTTTTACATTCGGTAACATTTTTCATACAAAAAAATTGAAAAAATGCAACAAAACACATGATTATTGATTATTTTTTAAACATGTAATGAATAATTTGCATACCTTCCACGTGCCAAGTCCCAATTGTGGAATTTCAATGCCAGCATTCAATTTGAGTTTGGGTACCGCCATTTTGATCAATCTAAAATTTCTACAAGCAAAAAATGGACATTAGCCATGCGATTATTTAATTGTTCATGACCTTAGAATATTATATACACACCGTGTTTACTCCCTGGCTATGCACGCTGTGGACTACGATAACAGAATGTCGGATTCAACTGCACACTGTTCAATTTATTTCAAGATCACTCCTGCTCTATCTGATGATTATTCCGACATTTCGACAGTGATGTCAGGTGAATTTCGAGGCACACTGTGATGATTTTCATTAAACAAAAAGAAAAACAAGTTATTTATATTGTTATAAATGTTTAAGGGTGATTTACCATAGTTTTGTGGAGTTTTTTAAAACATTTTTAAATAAATTGATTTGTAAATGGATGCAGGGTTGCCATGACAATGAAAATGCCCCCACTGCAGATAAAGTAGGATATCTTAACCTTATCACAAAATAAAAAGTGTAATGAGTAGTGAATAAGTGTTTAAAAGCAGTAATTATTAATAAATATAGTGTGTAACATTAAATTATATTATTAGTAACAAAATGAGCGTGTTTGTTAATGTGTCAGGCACTGCATTCTCTCTGCTTTTGTATGAGAATGTTCGAAATGATCATGACCAAGTATTTATCAAATAAATTTACAATATTTGTATTATTATTCATAATTTTTAATGTTTTTAGGAAGGATTTCTCTTGGGTGAGATAATCCGCAATGAAAAACGTACAATTACTGACAATGATCAAGATGTGGTGACAATCGAGCACACAATCAAAATCAATTCAGTATTTCCCTGCCCACGCCTTGGTCACTTCTTCGATAATGCTGGCAAGATAGATCCAAACAAACTGGACACCCTACTCGGCGATAAAAAGGATCACGTTGTTTCCTGGTACAAATTCAAACGCATTTCTTCTTTTAAATTAACATTGCGTGAAAAAATTGTTATGAAACAATTGGCTATGTATTTCATGCCGCAAGCACCTGAGCATTTCACATGGTGTTTGTTAACTGCACGCGCTGGCGCTGATAATGACGAGAAGCATATTTTTTCACAAACGTTTATTCGGTATCATATGTCTGCGTATCAACCGCTGCCGATGCACATTGCTAACTTAAAAGATCCGCATGATGTTTATAAGAAACCCGAAGCTTGTTCGACGATTTTCCGGGAAATCGTGCGTGGTTTACCAAAGAAAATTCATGGATATGCGACTGTAAGTTGCATAGAAACAGCGTTAGATGAGCGAATTGCTCGGACAGTTGAACAGATGAAAACCTCCGAGGAAGAAATGCATAATTTAGAGCAAAGAGTACGAGAATTACGGACAAAGTTGAATACTTTGGATAATGATGAATCACTGGAGGATTTATTAGGTACACCGGAAACACCAGTGAAAACCAGATCTAACCTAACTTCAACTTCGATGAGTATAAAACCGAGAAGAAGTTTGCGATCTGCTGGTGATGTAAAAATTAAAAAAGAAGACAGCAAAGAAGAAGTTAAGGAAAAAGCAGAAGATGAACAAATCGAAAAGGACAAGAAACCAAGTACAAACCTGGACAGTCCAAGAGTCACGCGTAATTCAAGCCGGAAAAGTTAATATAAGTTTGCTTTCCGTGCAAAATTGAACCAAACGCGGTGTGCCTTTGTAACCTTTATGTTGTAATCGTAATATATTCGAGTTTTTGCATCACAAACGACTATATTTGGATTAGATATTGACTAGATCATAAGCGGAATGTAATAATACGCGTTATCTACCACAAAGCTTAAGAATATTAATAATAATTTAATTTAATTAAAGTAAGTCCATCGGATGATTTGGATGTCCACGCAGCTCCCAGATAGTCGCAGCTAAGCGCCGGGTATGTTCCAACACGCAAGTTGACGTCGCAAGACCCAAATGTATGCAGAATAACTCGTAGCAGCGGATTTTATGCGGCGACATCTTCGGAAAGCACAATTCTTTCAATTTCCTGTGTAAAATATAAGTTATATAGGCAACCAATGTGACATAACAACGGTTGCCATTGGCAACGCAGTATTACCAACTTACTGATAGAAATCACCGCAGATAATACCAGGCTGGGGTAAAACTTTCGAAGCGTGCGTAGGAAACACTGTTGGTTTCAATGGCGCCCCGGAAGTGTCTTCAAACCACAGAAAATACGCGTAGTTGAATGTTGTATCCTTCCACATCAGGGATAAGTGTCCTTCTTGTAGATGCGCACGTGAGAAGTTAATCATCGACCAAATCTAGTGAGAAATTTAGTTATTTTTACTTAAAATTGCTATAAAAATGTTCCTAACCTTGCTTTTGGTCAAAGTATTAGTTTGTTCGGAATTAAAATCCAAACTCGGCGTGGTCACGCGATGCGAACTGCGATCGATGTAGACAAAATGCACCAGTCCGGGAAACTCCTCCAGATACTTATTGATCGTTAGGGAATCACTAGTAATCAATGCGATTAAGGCCAAAACTTTCAAGCCAAGTTACAAACAAACAAAAATGGCGTATGAAAAAGGATATGATCCAAGAGAAAAGTTGCGCATTGCTTTAACCTTGAAGAATTCACTGTAGTTCGCTAGTTTTTCCTTGACAGACTCTGCAATTTCATTGACATAAATCTGCGAAGACTTTAAAACCGTGTGATCAAAAGATGTCAATGAAAGAATCTCTTTTAAACAATCCAAAAGTGTCGGAGTGCATGATTCTGCCCTCAGTAGAGCTTCCATTGATCTACCTTTGATGAATTCAACGTATTTCTTCTTCATAAGCTCCCAGATCTTTCCTAGTTGCTTGTAACAACTTTCAATCGCGTTATTCTTCGATTTTTTCAAATTATCGCAGAGTTTCTTCACGGAAACATCTAAATTCTCGAATGCAGGACGTAAAGTATCAACTTGTCGTTGAATCTGCACGGTTTGCAGGATATGAATGTGCGAAAATGTGTTATACAGAGCTGTGCTTAAAGTTGCAGATCCTGTCTCCATCAGGATGACAAGATGGACGCCACCGACGCCATTTGCATCATCAGTTAACCTCTTTATATGCACAGCATGCGGCACACATTTCGGTTCGTAATTTGCGCCTGTTAGCAACACTTGGTGACTAATCAGATCTAAATGTTGCTCTGGTTCGAACGCCTCGACCAATGAACGTGTGGAAGCTATCGGGGATGAGCTGGGACTGTAGAATTCTTCTTCACTGTCGGATTTATCCGATTCGCATTCTTGTTTTTGAAGCGTTTGGCACAAAAGTGTGAGGAATACTATGTCGGTAGGTCCTAGATCGCTCGCATTTTGACTAAACATAAATATTTGAGGTTAGAAACGCATTTTGATAGATTTTGTGAGTTTAACCTTGCTTTAAAAGTATTTGTAGGTTATGTAAATGTGTACGTACCTAGAATATAACGCAAGGAACTTATTTTCGACTAGAATTAACGCGTGACTTTTGTTCGACTCGGTTTGGCACCGTAGTTTTTCAATAGCTTCTTGTAGAACTCCTAAAGTAGTTGTGCTGGTGTCAGCGTTGACAATTAATTGTTCTACTGCTTCCACAAAGATTGCTTGATCATTACTCTGTAGAAATGACCAAGAATCAAGCAGTTTTGTGACTAGAGATGCCAATTGTGGGTTACTCTTCAACCTTTCAACAAAAAATTATAATTTTTCATTTGGAAGGCACAAAAATTAAACTTACATGATAACATTTGGTCCACAAATGAACCTGACCATTGTCACACAGATATTCAGAGATCTCTTCATTGAACTGACTTCTTCAAGTCCAATGCACACAAATAAGTATCCCATATACTAAAATTCAGTCAAATTTTTATAAAAATCTTAGAAAAATCAATGTAAAAGTATAAATTAGTTACTTACATCTTCGAAAGTCATATTTATACCATCTTGGCATTGTATAGATGTGTATGAGTTACCAAATTGGCAACTCATAATCCTCTGTGAGGTGACAATAGGTGAAAATATCTGCACAATCACATTTGTTAGTAGTTTACTGTCCAGACTCTCAGTGGGCACCAATTTTTGGGTCTTTGCGAATGTGTTGACATGTTTAGCAAACTTCTTGTTGTATTTTGTGTAGATAACATCATTTAGATGGTCAAAGACCAGAATACACTTCATCTTGTAGAGTTGAGTGAGAAATGAATGGTTTCACAACTTCACATTTCTGAAATATGATATGAATATTAAATAATGTAATTTAATATTGACCAGAAACATTCCCACAAGTATTATGAGTATAAGTTTATAGTTTTGTGGTTTTAGAAATATAATGAAGAGAAATCAATGAATTTTTATCATTTCTGACTGATACAGAACAAAATTCACATGAATGCAAATGAATTTGAGTAGTAAGTGATGATTATAAATAGAACAGAACTTATCTACCTCAATTTATAACTTAATTAGAGTTTGCGGATGTGTTTTGTTAGTTTACTTCATTTGCTTCTGGAGTTTAAGCTCCAGATAAGGGATTTCAGGTTAAACTAAATTGATTTATATCAGTGTCACTTTGTACTGCGGGAAATTCGAAAAAGAATGCATTTCTTATCATTTTGTGATAAGAGAATAAATAGGAGGAGATTTTGATAAGTTTTTTTGTTCCTATTGTGTATAAAAAGATGTTTGGAATGCAATGTTATCAAGGATAACAACCTTTATCAATGTAATGTTACATTGAAGGAAGGAAAAAGGATCAAAAAGAAACGCCCCCGGGTGGGCTCGAACCACCAACCTTTCGGTTAACAGCCGAACGCGCTGCCCATTGCGCCACGGAGGCAGTTGAAAGCGCTTTCAAAATGCTAGCAAGTCAATTCAATCTTCTTCTTCAATTCCAGTGATCATATCATGTTGATCATAGCCTCAAATAATTCATGTGCTTCATTTGATTCATGTGTTTCTTCAAAACACAATTATTCATTATCAATTAATACTTCCTAACTTCAAAAACTAAAAATGTCTGTGTGGAAAAAAGCGGCGAAAGCCAACCAGAAAACTCATCGTGAGCGTCATCAACCTGAACTCCGTAAACACCTCGGTCTCCTCGAAAAGAAGAAAGATTACGTTCAACGTGCTACAGACTTCAACACCAAGAAAACCACCCTCAAAGTCCTCCGAAAACGCGCGCTCAACAAAAACCCCGATGAATTCTATCATCACATGATAAACTCACAAATCACCGATGGTAAACACATAGAAAAAGAAGACTCTGAAGATGAAGACACCCCAGATCAACTGAAATTCAAGCGATCTGAAGATTTAAAGTACATCAGGTTCAAACGCACCCAAGAACTGAAGAAAATAGAAAGGATGCAAGCTGAATTACATATGACAAATGTATTAAATGGACATTTAAACAAAAGAATTGTTTTTCCTAAGAATTTAGAAGGTGAAGATCAAGGAGATGAGAAAAACTTAAACAAAATGAATGCATTGGCAAGTAAAGAGCTACCAGATGTGGATTTGCATAAATTGGAACAAGCAGCAAAGAAGAAAAGAAGTGTTTACAGGGAATTAGGTAAAAGAGTTGAGCGAGAAAGAGAATTAGCTGTGATTCAGCAAAAATTAGAAGTTGCTAGGCGAGTAGAAAGTGGTAAACACTTATTGAAACCTAAAAAGGTTAAAAAAGGTACAAAGGAATCAGCGCCAGTTTATAAATTTCAATATGAGAGGAAAAAGTAATTTTATAAACTTTTACTTTGCATTAAATAAATTAATAAGACATAAATTCAATTATATGCTAAGTAATACCCAAAATAATTAAGTTTTTTTGATGAAATTTAAAGATTTCACTTTACAATGACATGAAGAAAGCAGTTAGGACAAGACTCATCCCAACCATAGCATAACCAGTAGAATAAACCTCCTTAATCGTCAGGAATTTACCGCTATCCCATGCTAAATGCCTTAATCCATTGACAACATGATAGGCAAGAGGGAAAGCAATCAGGAACTTAGCAGTCACATGAGCTGCTGGTCCCAAACCAGCAAAAGCAGTGATGAATGAGTTGTAGTCCTTCCAGAAAAGTGGGCCTGCCGCAAGCATGTAGATGTATGCGGTCATTCCCATGCCGGTGATGCGATGCGTAATGGACAAGAAGGAGGTGAGTTGTGGTTGGTAAACGGTAAGATGTGGCGACATTGGACGGCCCAGCTGCATGTTGCTGGTGTCGTGCTCGTGGAGCGCCGTGGGGGTGTCATTGCGTGGCAGGGCTTTGATTTGTATCGCTCGCACGAGGGATGATTGCGTTTGGGTTGCCAGCAGGTTGTTGATTGCCCTTCTGCCTGGTCCAACTAACCTGTGTGGATATTACATAATATAGATTAGAAACAGCTGTGATTGCATTTTTTAGAGTTATTTTATGTGGAGTATCAAGTGGTGTTTATTATTGTTTGGTTTGTGGAGGAATTGAGTATTTATGTGGGTTTTGTGTGGTTTTTACCTTATTATTGCGGACATTTTGACAAGATTCTTTATCACTACACGGTTATGTGTTTGTTATGTGAAGAACAAGTGACGTTAGGTATGCAACCAAACATACAGGAAATTTTCAAATGAATTTAATGAAACTGTCCACTGAAAAAATTAACACAACTGAAGATGATACTTGCTGTTGCAATGCCAAAAAAAATTGCAGTATGACCACGAGGTAGACCAAAACCCGGAAAAAGGGAGAGGGGAGAGAAAACCCTAAGAACTGCGACTGGACCGTTAGACGACTCAGGCACGACTGAAGCTACTGGGGTCAAGCGAGCCGTTGTACCCGCAAAAAGTGGTGGGGGAAGGTTTGCTACGAGGGGAAAATGCTATGTGCTACTCTGTAGCAGCCAACCCACTACCCCCTCCTCTTTTTGCGGGTGGCTGCAGTGAACCTGGGTATGATGACGCACCATGTTTACCCTTTCGCCACTCTTAAGTTAATCCTGCAGGCAGGACCAGCGCTGGTATAAAAGGTGCAACGCGGAGCTACCCTCTGGTCAGACGTCACCCCGCGGTCAAACAATTTACTTTGAGAGAATCCAACTACCTAAACCCACAATTTGAGATTTTGAGGAACAATTAAAGGTCCAAGTGACCACTTCTCCTTAGTGGTTCTTCTTCATACTTCCTTTTCAAAAGTAGCATAGAGGGCGCACAGTGACATTACCAAACAATACAATTAATTGACAACACAACCTCTAAAAACACAGTTCTGAACCGCAGCGAGTTTAAATTGATTTAAAACAACATTATCCAGCATTCAAAGTGAAAAATGATCGCCGTACACTCAGGTACACCAAATTTTTAACAAATTTATAATAAAATAACATTAAACTATTAAAATCTTCAGGTGCTGGTAATCATCATTATAGTAAACATCCAAAATACAAATTAAGCTGCAAAAAGGCCTGTCGAGCAGGCATGGCAGTGATAAAATCGGGAGGCACAGCTCTTGAAGCCGTCACAGCTGCAATAAAAGGTAAAAAACACTAAATCCACATCTACATATTAAAATTATATTTATTTTATTTATTTAATAAACTAGACAAGTAGTAAATAATTATAAATTCAAGTTCTGGAAGATGATCCCATAACAAACGCCGGCTACGGTTCGAATTTAACAACAGCGGGTCGTGTTGAATGCGACGCTGCTGTAATGGACGGCTCGAATCTCCTACACGGCGGTTGTGGAGCCGCAACAAACATCAAAAACCCCATCGAACTCGCCTGTGATTTATGCGTAAGACAAACACAATCACTGCCTGTGGGTCTAATCCCACCATCACTCCTAGTCGGAGACGGAGCACGCTTACACGCTGAAAAATACGGAATAACAACAGTAAAAACAAACAATTAATAACAAAACGAGCTATGAAGAAACTATTAAGTTACAGCGCCGTTTTGAAACAATTAGAGTGCGAAAATGAAGAAAAGAAAGAAATAAACGAAGAAATCCAAGATGATAACGTCCGCATGGATACAGTAGGCGCAGTTTGTTGTGACCTACGTGGTCACGTCGCATCCGGTTGCAGTAGCGGTGGATTACTCCTGAAAAGACCCGGAAGAGTCGGGCAGGGAGCTTTGTATGCCAGTGGTGTATGGGCGGATAGTTTTGATGCTGATGGAGTTTCTGTAGCTTCAACCACGAGTGGTTGTGGGGAGTATTTAGTCCGTACGCAACTAGCGAAGGAAATTTGTGAAGATTTGAAGGGTTCCACATTTCCTACGCCGGATTTAGCTAAAAGCATGACGAATAAATTCCTTAGTAAGTAAATTATTACATAAAATTAATAAAAACATTATTTTTTTCTAATTTTTTTTAATAGATTCGCGATATTTAACAACAGCGAACGATAAAAACGCTGGAGTTTTAGTAACGCATGTTCTTCCAAGTGGAGAGGGTACTGTCCTATGGGGACACAGCACTGCCAGTATGTCTGTGGGGTTTATGTCCGTTGATGATCAAAAACCAAGGGTAAATTTATTTACCATCAAAATTTCTTAATTTTTATACGTTTTTCTTTGTTTTTGATATTAGAGTGTAATTTCAACATTACCACCTGGCTCAACCCAAGGAAAAAGCATAATGGTTGGCGGATCCAACTTTAAATCCCCAAAGGTACCGTAAATTTTTCTTAACCTCACATTCTAGCTACATATTTATATTTCTCGCATTCTGTATAAGTACATATACATATATTGTATAAATAATGTTTGTTGTCTATATAAAGAAGACACTGGTATAAAGTCGAGTATAAAAACCTGCTCTAGAGGTAAATTTGTCTAAAACGTTGTAAAAAATGCATCATCATAAGACAATCAATGGAGTTGTGTATTGCCTAAGACACGAAAATCACAATTATTTGCTCGTTTTTCATCTACCAGCTCGAAACGTATCAATAAATGTCTTCAAATCTTCCAAAACTATCGAAAAAACTTAATGCACTAGATAAGTTGACGGTTAAATTACTTAAGTTACGAAATAAACATCATGGTTAGTCATGTATGAGTGCGTTCGTTAAATTATTAAATTACTTACGACTAAGTTTCGATTAAGTACATAACAATTAAATACATCGGTTGTTGCATTTGCGCGAAGCAGTCGGTTAAGGCAAGACGCAGGTTAAGTACATATACATATTCTTATATAAGGAACTATTAATTTCTGGTTGATTAATTATTATCATGATCAGTTGCTGCGGAGATCGAAATAGCTGTCAAATAATGTAAAACTATCACAAAATTTTGATTCGTTCTCATCCTGATTGTTGCGTAGCGTCGTTATGCTTATACAATTTAATACGATGAAGAAAGGAAGCATTTCTAACCTAAAATATTACAATCTAAACGCATCCGTACTCGTACCAGATGGCGTTCTCTTTGGCATTGTTCTCCGACGTGCGTAATTCACCCGCGGAGGGCGTGGTATTATTAACCTTACTTTTCTCTTGCTGTTCGTTAGTTGTGGTTGTAGATGGCGCTGCTTGTGCACCGATCACAGTGGAGATACGATTGTAGACCAACAATGGCGGATTTCCACCACCACTGCCATTGTTAGTCGGTGTATTTGTTCCGCCGGTGTTTGCACTGCTTGTAACAGCATTACCCTGTGGTGTAGACGTATTGGGGTCATCCTCGGATAGATAAACAGTTCTTCTTGTTCCTACTGAACCTAAACTCAACGGTCCGACTTGATCACCAGCGATGCTATTACGATGACTTGACAAATCACGATGGCTTCTTCTAAGTGCAATCTCATCTCGTGGTTTTAGACTACCGACATTGCCAGGGACACGTTTTAATGCTTCGTGTTGTAAGGTGGGTTGCGGCTTTTCCTCTGCAGTGGAATCCGAATCATTACCACCGGAATCTCCGGATTGTGTTAGTCGAATTGTATCTTCATGCCAACTCCGACGATGACGATTAGGGAGTTTATTCAATGCTTCTGTAGCTCTACGAACTCTTCGTGCTAATGTAGCGCCGAATCCTCGCTTTTTACCGGAAGCATTGTCTAATTTCCTGTAGTGTTCCATGATCTTCTCTTCTAGTTTCTCTTTCTGCCGGCAGAGGTTGTTTAATTTATCTGTGAAGTGTTTCTCTTCCATGTGATAATGTTGTTTGTCTTCTAACGAATGCATCAATAGAGAATGATACTGTGAGAGGAGTTTAGATACATGATCCATCAACGCGCGTCTGTCTGTATCTAAATTATGATTCATATCCAGTAAAATATCGCAGTGTTGGCGTAGTTTTGCGTTTTCAAGTTGCAGCGTCCCTACAACATCACTACGCGTGTTTAATTCACCTTGCATTTCGGAGTTACCTAACCTCAATCGCCAGCTTTCACTCTTCAAATTTTTAATCTCTTCTTGCATTGCTTTGTATTCGGTTTTCAAGCGATCATTCGCCGTGAACAGATTACGAAAATCATCTTTTAGCTTCGAATGTTCCGTGCGTAAATTACCCAAACTCTTCGACTCGTTTTTCAACGCTTCTTTCTCCAATTCAAGCGTAGCGATCTTCTTCTCGTGACTTGTACTTGATTCATTCAACGTGCGCACTTCAATGCGTAAATCCCGATTGTTTTTCTTCAATTGTTCCTGTTCTTTTGTCAATTCTTCATATTCTGCGTTCAGTTGTTCGTATAGAGTACGAATTGTGACTTGATCATGCAGTAGAGTGTCATGTTTGCTTATAAAACCTTCATTCAACTTGGATAAGTCTTCTTTTTCGGCTACCAGTTGACTATTTGCGAGTTGTAAAGCGGTTTGTTGAGCTTGCAGTGAGTTAATCTTACTTGTAAGCGTGGAAACGTCAACCTGGAGTGTCGCGTTAGCACTTTGTAGATCCGCATTGGATTTCTGTAGTGTTTTAAGTTCATCCAACTGTTGAATACTCAATTGTTCGACTTCCGGTTGGCGGACGACGAATGTACCGACAAGGTCTTGATTACTAAAGACTTTTTCAAGCAAAACATTTACATCGAGATCCAGTAAATCGAAATTCAATCCGAGTTTTTCTAAGATTTTCTTACATTTTTCATTGGTTAACTTGTGACTTATTAAATCTTTTTGTAGATTGTCGATTGTAACAGTCGCGATTGCAGTTTGTGAACTTAATTCTTGTAATTTCTGTTCATTTTCCTGTTGTTTTTCTAATTGTACCGCGAGTGAATCACTGTCTTTCAGCGCCCTCTGTAATTCTTTTTTGATAATCTCAATCTGCGCATGGTGCTCATCGATAGTTCGATCTTTAACCTCATTTGTCTCTTTATACTTAGCCACTTCTCTCTGGGCGGCTGCAATTTCCTTCTCGGTTTGTAAAATCTTCTCTTTTGATTCATCCACTTGTGTTTTGTATTCTTTTGCTTTGTTTGCCACTTCTTGAACGGCTTCCAACTGCTCGGAAACAACGCCGAGACTTTTTTCGGCATCATCCGCTCGTTTTTTGATATTATCCGTTAATATCTGAATTCTTTGTTTTTCTTTTGTCAGAGAATCGATATTTTTCTCTAGTTCTTCGATTTTTATGCGTTCGTTTTGTATATCTTGCGCTTGGCGATCCGCGATGATTTTATTTGAATCAAACGAACTTTGTAGTTTTCTATTTTCTTGAATTGACGCTTTGAATAAGTCATCTAATTCACGATTTTGTTGTCTTAACCTCTCGAAATTCTCTTGTAATTGTTCATGTTTCAACTCTAACTTTTTCTTCTCCTTTTCAATCTCTAGTAACTTCTTACTACTCTCATGAAAGTTTGATTCTTTCAACGAATCAATCGTTGATAATAATTTACGATTTTCAAGTTCTAATTTCAACGCACGCGCCTGCGCATTATTCGTCAACTGTTCCGATAAACTATTATCACCGGAATTGGACTCTTCCAGATCAGAATCTAGTGTTATGGAGCTGTTTTCTTGTAGTGCTTGTTTCGTAACTTGTTGTAATTGAACATTTTCATCGATTAACTCACCCATTCGCTCACGGTCAGCATCGCGTTCCAATGTAACATCATTAATCGCTTGTTTTAGTTGTAGAACCTCAGCTTCAAGTTCTAAAACATGCTCAGCACGTTGTCTGGATCTTGCAAGTTGCGCTTCCAACATTTCGCGAGTTTCTAGCAGAACACGGTTATCTTCACGAAGTTCCACGACGCGCACACGATAAAAATCGGTATCAGCCAATCGCTCGCGGTATCTCTGCGCTTCTGCTTCCAATTTATCAGCGCGTTCGGCTTTTTCTCGAATGGCATCTGCTTCATCTCGATATGCCTTAGCTTTTCGAGCTTCTGCGAGTAATTCAGTATTTTCCGCCTTGATTTTTGACACCAGTGAATTCGCATGTTCAAGTTCTTCTTTACATTCCGTCAAAAGTTCAGTTTTTTCTTCTCTATACACAAAAACAATAAATTAATGAATATTACTATGATTAATCAGTAATATAAACATTATTAAGGAGTTACTCACAATTCTTGTCTTTGTTTTCGCAGTCGTGACTTCCAATCAGCCAACTCAACCGCCAAATGATTAGATTCAAAGCCGTCTTTATCGGTGGTGACAGGCGCAGGTATTTCCTGTCCAAGGTCGCTCACCCAGTGTTGAAACAGCGAATCTCTTTCGCTTGTTAACGTTCGCAGATGGCCGTAGATGTTTTGCAAAGACTGTTCGGGCCAGTCTTGTGTCAAAACAATTGTTTGATCATCAGTTACCTATAAAAATCAAAATTAATAATTTTCTTAGTAAAATATTAAAAAATTACCCTTTTAATGCATTCTACAATGTCATGTTGAGCCTCCAAAGACAACTGTTTAATGCGAGTAATAAAAATCTCTTTTGTTGGTCCTTGAACCGCACATCCAAGCAAAAGTAAAATTAACAATTTTAAATGCTCTAAAGATTCCTGTGAGCCTGGCGCACGACCAATCGCGACGCAATCCGGCAGCGCAATCACAACCTGGCCCAATTCTTGCTCGTAGATTGTTTTTACATTCTTTATAATGCTGTGGAAGATTTTGATTCGGGAAGCAATGATACTCAGTCCTTGTAGGTTGGATAATGTAGGCACTGGCTGGGCTGGCTCTGGGTCTATCTGGAGTAGCACTTCGATGATGGGCCCGCCGTCGTGGAAGCTCTCATAGACTTGGAGACCCTCTGGTCTTTTCACACATGTTCCAAGCTGATTTATTTAATAAAAAGCAAATAATAAAAGCAAATTTTGTTTTGGGTAGTTTATACATACCCAGGTCACTAATGGACCATTGAGGAACTCCTCCACATCGCCTGCGGTCGCCGCCATCGTCCAGGTCTTCAGGATGTGGCTGGTGTTGCACTTGGACCACTTGGGGCCTTCAATAACATAACCGCAATGATTTTGAAGTTGCAGAAAGCTGCGCAAGTTTTTAAAGTATGTTTCCGGGCGCGTTACGCGTCGTTGTTGGTCCCGTTTCGCGGTGTACGTTTCATTGCTTATTGTATTGTGATTAGTTTCTCACGTCCGGACGCATGAGAGCCGTTCGCAGTGCGCTGGGAATCGCTGCTGAAGATTGAAAAAAGAAAACAAAGCGAATGGTAATATCCGCCATGTTTTGATCGCTTCGGATTGATTCGACTATGATCGGTTGACATTTTTATTAGGGAAACCGACATTTTGCATTTTAAAACAATATAAAATATATTTAACTAATATATTTACATTAGTAGATATAAAAATTTACAATTTATTAAATATCTTTTTAAATTTTGGCTGAAATTTTTTATATATAGGCAACCATTGCAACAATATTTTCAAACAAAACTTTAAACTAACCTTAAATATTTTTCTGTTTGTGTTGCCTGTTACTTCTTTACAATTTGTTTATAATTTAAGTAATAACAATGCCTCCACTGAGAAAGTGTCGTATCCGTCAACTACTAAACACTGTAGTCACTACAGGTAACATTTTTCAATATAAACTCTCCTAACTTTAATAAATCTCTAAATTATTCAGATGAAACTGATCAAATCCAACCATCATCAATAAAAACCATCAAAAACGTGCTCAAAAACCTGAAAGAAATCGACGATGAGTGCAACGATGAGGAACGCATCAAACACGTCGATGAAACCTTCATGGACGCAAATATTTACAACATTGCAACTCATGTTGCATATAAATGCATCCAGAAAGTCAATTACACTCAACACACATTCAATTCAGACGAATTTGTTGATAAACTAACAAGTTTCCTGTCCAATGGTCAACCAGATGAATATTCAATTGATCATTTAGATGTAATAGGAGAACATGTGATGCTAGATAAATTTATGCCTTGTTTGACTAGTTTCTCATCAATTTACGGTGGATTGACACACAGGCCAGAACCTCCACCGAAAGTGAGGAAACAAAAGGAAACAAACTCACAGAAAGCAGTCAAGAAACATCTGATCAAAGTTGTTGACTTGGAGAATGAAAACGATAAGAAATCTGAAGATATTTTGAGATTTTACATGAAAGCACTCAATGATGAGTACAAAAAGAATGATAACATGCCTGTAGATTATTATAAATTTGTTATTGATACTGAAGACTTTGGCCTGACGGTAGAGAACATTTTCTACACGTCTTTTATTTTGAATGATGGAAAAATTAAGTTAACATTAGGTAAAAACTTTATTTTTAACCGAAAAATCATGTTTATTGAATTTTTTTTGTTTAGATGATGAAATACCAACTTTATTACCGTTGGATAAAAAGTCTCGGTTGAATATAACTCAGATGGATTCAATGAAGAAGAATCAAGTGGTGACTTCTATATCGATGGATATTTGGCAGGCGCAATCTGCGATTGTGAAGGAAGGTATTTTGCAAAGGCATCGGAAAAACGGTGCGTATCCATCTAAATAATAATTTTTTTATACAAATTTTAAAATTTACAACGATTTTTGTGTATTGTATCTTTTAAACTGAAAAAATAGTATTTATTATAATGCGAAAGTGAATTTGTTTGTTTGTTACAATTTCACGCGGAAACTATTCAACGGATTTTCATAAAATTTTGTATAAATGTTCTCAAGAGTATTGGGAAGAATATAAGATTTTTTTGTTTGAAAATTATAACTTAAATGGTGTTAAATTTGCGATGAAAGTTAATATGAAGGTTTAATCATAACTATACTTCAATAATGCACCACTAGGTGGCGTGAAAACAGTATTATCATCTACCACGTTTTTAAGAATAAATATTTCTAATTTTAGAGAAATTCTTAAGTTTAAATGAAAATAATCAAAGAAAAACACAAAAATCATTTTCCATCAAATATATTACAATTTTACAAATATAATCTACACATTTAATAAGAATTCATTTCATTTCCAGTTGCACAGTATCTCTTACGTTTATATTTATATTACATTCGTTTCAAGAAAAAAATACTTAATAATAGATTAAAATTATTAGTAGAGACGGAAAACAGCACATCTTGTATAAAATCTACTCTTAGTATCTTAAACATTAATCAACATTAAGAATCGTCGAATGTCATGCGTGGCACGCCACTTTTCTTGATATACCGACGATATTGCTTGTACTTATTGTTCTCCGCCAGCTTCACCTTACGATTCTCATCTTCAATCACCTTCCACGCATCAAACTTCTCACGAATCCACAATTTCTTCTCTAAATAACCCTCGCGGATCTCTTCTTCGATTAATTCGAACTCATGCACGCCTACTTTGAGGTATGTTCGTATCAAATAATACTTTTCCTCTTCGGTGTAGTCCGGATCTTTCGACAGGAAGTGTTTTCGACAAAATTTAATATACCAGATTAGATTTTTTGTTATCGTGTAGGGTGATATTAATAATTGTATCCAGAGAATGTTGAATATCGTTGGTTTTGCATAGGAACCTTTAATATCCATTTTTTCTTCGATTATCTTCTGGACAATCCGCTCGATTTCTTCCTTTTGCTCTTGTTTGGATTTTCGTGATTTTTTATCATTCGGCAGGAGATTTTCTTCTTTCGCGATGTCCATCGCACGATTGCGATACTTTGGCACAGTCATGAAGTATTTTATCGCGAATTCATAGCGTTGTTTAGCGCTGAAGTACTGAATTATTGAAATGATGCTTATTGTGACAAAGATGACGATTCGCACGTCGACTTTTGGTGCCATACGATGTCGATAATACCGGTAATAATGTGCGTAATATGCATCTGGATTATCCAACATATAATCATAATCTGTGCGAGATTCGTCATCTTTTAATATTTCATATGCTGTTGCTACGATTTTGAATTGTTCCTCTGCTTTTATCTTTGCTTCTGGGTCTCGATGTAAATCCGGGTGGTATTGTCGTGCTAACTTACGATAAGTCTTCGCTATGGTTGATTTATTAGCATCTCTGTCCACTCCTAGCACATCATAGCAGTTTTGTTTGCCACAGTAGATTGATTCAAGCAAATGTGCTTCACTTTTTGTACAGCAAACAAATAAAACTATCAAAAGTGATAATAAACTCGTCAAATTCTTCATTTTGATGTGTTTTCTTCACAGATTTAATTTTTATTGTTTTAATTTTGTTGATAGTTAATAAATTGCATTCCGATTTTCATAGGAATGTTAAAACTTGAAACGTGTTTCAAGAATGAGGAATCCGTTACGTTACCGAAACTGAGTGTGACGTCAGCTATCGCCGCGACGTGAGTACGTGCGTTTCGGACATTATTTCGAGCGATTTTTGTATGGTTTACACCGATTTGCGGGCATATTTATCGCGGTTTCTTGTGATTTGCTACAAGATAAACTCGTCGCGCTAGTCGGTGCCTGGGAATGTTGAAAATATTAGGTTAACGTGGCTGGAAATGTGTCAGTGTCACTAAATGTCACTTATAATCCCTTTAAATTTATATTTATTCTCTATTTACAACGTGTTAGAAGACATTAAAAATTTAACTTTTTATTAATAATTAATTTGGAGTAGTAATGTTTTAGCATTTTATTGAAATATCTGCAAAAAGTTGGGGTTTTCATACATAAATTTGTGTTTTTAAATATAAGTTAATGTCATATAGTTATTGATTCGTCCACCAGATGACGCAGCATGTATCTTTCTACGAGAAAATGAAACACACGAAATCGTTATCCAGACATTTTAAAGTCAAAATTGTGCCAATAATTGATTTAAATTAGTAATATTTTAATTCTTTACTAAAATATTAGCAATAAATTGTATTTTTCAAACATAAATTCGTGTTTTTAGGCTCAAGGTTATAAGATGTAGTGAATAGTATGCACAGCAGATGGCGCAGCATGTATCTTTCAACGTGAAAATAAAACACATGTCGACGTACAAACACGCGAGTTGTTATCACGAGTGTAACCTACAAAATGTCATCCCCTACGAAAACAAAAGAGTGTTTATTAAATCAAGTGACAAAACAATTATCAAAGTTATTAACAAATGACGACAGTTACCCATCAGCGTTCCGAATACACAATAAACAACTGACGATACTTGGTGATTTAAGTTTTCAAACAAATCTAAACTTTGCAGCATGGAAACAATTGAAACTCAACTCTTCCAAAACTTGTGAGAATATTTTTGATTATGCGAGTGAATTACACAATAAAACAATCAATGAAGACTCAATTTCACAAATAATTGACGAAAATAACGACTTAAATATAAAATTAAATAAATGCTGTGTGATTAAAACAAATTGTCATGTATTTCTGGATCGACAATTTGTCACAGAGAGAATTTTAAATGAAATAATTAGTGATAATGAATATGGTTGCTATAAATTGAAACCAGGACTGAAAGTAACTGTAGAGAATACGAATGAACATGTATCTGAACTAAGAGTTAAAATTTTACATGGGATTATCATGAATTTTATTAATTTTGACACAAATATGCAGAAAGATGCAAAAGAAATATTTCTAATAACAAAATCAAGTGATAATCATGATAAAAAGATATTATGTGGATGTGTAGTGAATGAAAAAGGGCAGAAAGAAGAATTATTAACATCTACAGACATTTACGAGTAAAATTTGTTATTAAATAACATTTAAAGCTTTAAAAACATTATTTAATTGATTGTTTCAGTGAATATGCGTCGAATATGCGTATGATGTTCGAACACAAATATGGAGTTCGAAAAATATCAGAAAAACCAAACTGGAAGCAAAAAATTGACAAATTGGGACATGCAGCTGTTACTTTTCAAATGATTCAAAATACTCCACAGAAAACTATTTCTTTGGCTTCTAAACATCATGTAATTAAAGATGCAGCGTTTGTTATTTACAACGGAGCAAGAATAAGTAGTATTTTACGGAGATTTGAGTCAGAAATAGAGAAAAACACGCATAATAAGTTGCCTACCATTGAAAACATAGATTTTTCAACTTTGAGGTTATCAGTGAGTATTTTTAATCCAAAAAATGTAGAAAAACACATTTAATATGTGTTATTTGTTTATTTTTTCATAGGAAGAATGGGATTTAATCTATGCATTCCTTGCACAGTTCCCCGATGTGATAAAAAAGTGTGTTTGTGATTTACCGGAAGGAAAACTAAACTTTCAAAAGTTGTACGAGTTTTTAGTGCATTTCTCCACTGCATTCAGTGTGTATTACAGCCGCATCAAAATAATAACTGTAAGTTTTATTTGTTTATTTATATCGTTCAAAAATAGTGTTAAATAAGCTGAATTTTAGGAGGCTAAAGAACATTTACTGCCAACTATGCACGCGCGTATTTATTTACTCAAATCAATCGAACGTGTCTTGCAAAATGCGCTAAAACTATTAAACATCGAACTTGTCAATCAAATGTAAACTCATTCTAATATATATTTTGAGGTTAGTAGTGTTTTCTATTTCTGTTTGTAAATACGCCAAACGCTGTGTATATTGTATTAGATGGTAGCTAACCGCCGAGTGTAGTCGAATAAACCCGATCGGCACCGGGCATCGCGCTCGCGGCTGGCCCGCGACGCTGCGACTTGTTCGATAAATCGCAGCCAGTCAGTGAGTCTCCAGTGTGCGTGGCGCGTGCTGCTTACTCCCTTCGTGCGTGTGCAGTCGTCCGAACTCTCGTCCTCAACGCCGCCGCAACAACCTTTGTCTCTTTGTGCCGCCGCCGCCGAAACACGAACAACAAACAAGCAAGCAAACAAGTGCGTAACACGAAAAACCGCCGAGGATTATCACAGGCGTGCGCCGAGCGAAAGAAAAACACAATCTCCACACGAAAAAAAAACAACAAAGTTTGCACACACACAGTTTTTTGTTGTTGCGCCGAATTCGTAACTCATCATCATCGAAAGGCGCGCGCGCGCGACGTTGATTTTTTTGTTCGTGCGGCGCGCAGCGTGCAATTGCATACGTGTTCCCAGTTCGTCGTCGACGGCACACACGCATACTCCGCGCTGTGTTTTGTTGTGCGTTACCTGGAATCGAGAAAAGTTTCGCGACAAGTAAAAATATCACAACAACGTAACAACAAGTGCTGCTGCTCTGCGCATTGTACTCTTGCGGGCAAATATGAACGCTTCATTATTCACGTTGCTTAAGGCCGCCGAGTTTATCGAGAGACGCGATAGAGGTAAATATATATAACAAAATATCGCATCGTCAAGACACATTGTATGTGACACATTGCTGAAACAATTGACGGTGCGATATTGTTGAATGGCTTTTAAAATGTCGGCGATCATTTGTACATCATTTGTCTGACGCGTTGTTGTGGCATTCCCAACAGGACTGGAACATGGTTACGCATCGACGCGACCGATGCCCGACGATCTCAGAAATCCGATGAAAAGGCCAAAGACGAAAAAATCTCAGGGAAGCAGGTGAGTTCACTATACACACATTCACTGAATTTCTTTCTTTTTTTTTCGCTCGCTGTGTGTGTTTGTTGTGTGTGCATTTGTTTGTTTTCCTACGCAAAGAATTCTCACAATGTTTTCTTCAACATTACAACACAGAATTTTTTACTAATGAATTTTTGATTTAAATTTAATGGCACTCGACACACTCGACAAAATGGCCGCCGTTGACCTAACCTTAAACATATCACCTGATGTGATGATGTGTGCAGTTGTAAATAAATAAATAATAAAATGCGTGCGTTAATTGTGTGTTAGCCGGGCACGTGTACGCGTGTGTTTCATGCGACGCGCTTGCTTGCAAAGAGTGGTTTCTTTGTTTCTATAGCTCTGGGTTGTACCGGCTGGCGCATACTCACACATTCACACGACCGATGCCGATGTTGAACGAGTGCGAGAGCGAGAACATGCACACAGTGAACAGCTGGTGCGCTGCTGGCTGCTCAATGCCACAGTCGACGCACAGTCGAATTTCTTGTTTACTTCGATCGCCGCCGCCACCGCGCGCGCGGGAATTAAATCTCCTTCTCTCTCGCGGCTTTTTCTCGCACTGTGTCACTGGGTTGAGCGAACTCTCCGCTCTCGGTGCGTGCGCGCACGCGGACACATTTCTTCGCTTTGTGCGTGTAGTGATGAAATTTGCGCCGCGGAGAAAATGGCGAGCGGCCATGACTTGTTTGTTTTGTTGCCATGACGACGCGTGCATTTGTTGCACTCGCACCACACACTTCAACACAACAAGTTACTCTCTGAAACACAATAAAACAGCGATAAGCCGACAGAGATTAAAATAAAAAACATAAAAATACCAACACTGTTGTTGTGTTGCAGTTGTTGGTGCTGTTGCAGTAATAATTTTATTTTAACTTGATACTTTCTTGACCTAGTCTAACCTTGCTTTCCTTGATTAAAAACCGAACGAACAATGCACACATAATGCGCATGAGCATGTTACTTATTATTGATGTTGTTTACTCAGACGGATTTACTTACATTCATTTTCAGTTTCTGTTCCAGGACGTCGCATAACGAACTGGAAAAGCACAGGTGAGTGAGATGATACTTTGTACTTGCATTTTGCGCAAATAATAATTATGAAAAAAAAAACGGTTTAATTCCGCGGATTATTTTTATCTTATCGCTTTATCAGCGTGGGTACACGTAGGTAGACTGGGCAGACATTATTAGTGATATTAGAATGCTATCATTATTGATCCGCAGTGTGTGATAAGCAAATATTTGTCAGGTGTGAGGAAAAATTGATTTCGCAGACTAATAATTAAAAAAAATATTTTTATTAACAAAAAAATCTAATATTTAGATTTTTCATGTGGCGACATCTGTTTAATTTTTTGTTGCGCAGGTTATAAACTCAATTATTTTTGGAAAAATGCCGGTAAATATTTTTTGAAGTCTAAATATGAATTCCGCGTCGCTCAGTTGTATTCACTTGTGTTATGTTTAAATGATTTTGTTGTAACGTAACGTGCACCCCAACTAATTAGCTGAAAAATTGTGCTTAAGTTATAGAAATTTGCATTGCAATTTGTAGGGATGTTGGGATCATAATTACAACAATATTTCAAATGTTACCATCGATGTCATGTCTTTGAAAAAATATTCTAGCTCATAATTATTTGAATTTAAATTATTTTTCGTCGTTACACGGAGAAACTGTAACGCTATAACGAGGAAATTAATATAAACCATTTCATTTGTACAATTTCGTTGTTATAAAGAGTTTTTCGTTAAATCAACGCTACACTGTATTAAATTTTGTAGTCCTATGTTGGACTTGCGGTATACATACCGAACATAGGACTAATAATGTAATTTTTATTGAATTTTTGAGGAAAATCTACTAAATTGTACAAATTTTATCTTTCTATGAATTTATATTATAATAAGACGTCATATTTGAGTAGATTTTGTCGAAAAATATTTTAATTTGGTGTTTTGCACGAGTACTAATACGAAAAACCTATAAATACTCGTGCGTTTGCTCGCTTGCTCTCACGATTGAATAATGGGGGCCCCACATTTAATGACTGCACTTAATTCGTTTCGTAATACTCGCGATGCGCGCACACCGCACGCACATCGAATGGGCTTTTTGATTGACGCGCATGTGATCCCGACGTGTTTGAACAGCGCGCAAAAAATCGTGGATAAATTCGAATATTATCTGGGAAAATATTGAAAATAGAAAGTAATTTATGTTGTCTCGGTGTTGTACTCGTATTGCACCGCACACACAAAAAGGCGATTGCACACAATGCACAATGAACGTGTTGATTCACTCGCGCCGTTAGTTAAATATTAGTTAACAACGTCTCGGTGTTGCGTAATAATTGATTGCGTTTCGTTTTATTATTACGCTCTACTTAAGTATAGAAAAATATTAAGTATAGAGGAATAAAGAAGAAAACGTTTATTTTTTGCTGTTTCGGTTTTAAATGGTGCTTAGTTTTAATTGTATGACGTTATGGATGATAATATATGATATGAGAGAACACTTGAGCCCCGGTTAAGGCTCCGGTCAATCGATGACAACGCTCGTAACTCGATAATAACCAGACAATAAAACAAGACATCGACCAGACGCACCGAATAGCCAAACAAACCATTCGCACACTGGTTGCCTGCATGCGATCGCGAGTGCGCGCGCACGCAGCGAGAAACCAGTTCCATTTTGGATTTTATTTGCTTTTTTCTTCGCGCGATTTATTTTATCTTGGAGATACTAGACTCGTAAGAGTCGAGGCTAGAACAACGAGTATCCAGCCGATTACTACATACAATCGCGTGTAATTTGCAATTTTACGGAATAATTTCGTTTCTTTTGGAGTAAAAATGAGATTTTTTTGTTTTTGAGGAATAAAATCTTAAATTATTTTAGTAATAAACTTATTTTTATAGATTTTCGTGAATAATTTGTGGATTTATTGATCTTTAAAGATAAACAAACACAGTTTAACCTCCGTTTAACAATAAATTTGTATCAATTTGTTGATTATCTGTGTAACAACGAAAAATATTTAGTTATTTTTTTGTTCCCCGGTGTTATTAGAGCTTGTTATAGGCAGTAATTTGAGAAAAACTGTGTTTTTTACGTTTTCTGCATTTTTTTTTGCATTTTTTTGCATTTTTTCTTTAAAAAATATACAATTTTCTATTTTGTAATGATATTAAAGTAGGTATTAAAAATGAATTTATGATTACTCATGGCGTAAATTCACAACAAAAACCTCTTCATTTTGTTTCATTCCATTCTTACGTGAGTGTTTACAGTAAGAAAAGCTAGAAAGTTTTCGTTTTCAACTTATGAAAGTTTAAACTCGTAGATAAAACTGTTTTCTGTCCGGGGCGTTCTCGTGGCCCGTAAGTGGTTTATTTTATTAACGATATTTCGCAGCCGATGAAACACATTCCAGGAAGGCGCTTATTTATTTATCCAGCGCCTCGGCGTGTGTGTTTACGTATTTGGTCGCAAAGCAAGAAGCTCACTCCTGGGTTAAGCGGATGCTTTTTTTTACGCACGTTTACAATTTCCAAAAATTTATTCCTATTCTGTGTCACTCATCATGCAATTACGTCGCGACTATAGCAAATACTTAGCAATAAGTAGGTATTGCGCGTTTTTGGCGCAACGCGTACTTGCTTACACAATAAATTTGCAAAAGAATAAGGCGCACGGCTATAATTGCCACAGCGCGCAAGAATAAACAAAAGCGGAATGGCACACCGCACACACATACAGTGTGTTCCCACTAAAAACACATAAAAACAATTAAATAATTGATTTTTATACGTTTATGGATAAACTGACCCATCCTAACTGTAAACATATGACTCCCAAGTGTGGGTGTATATAATATTTATTTTATTTAGCGCTTTCGATGTGGGCATGTGTGAATATTTACTTATTTATGCGACACGCGTGCGTGCGGACATTGTCCACGTGCACACCAACATACAAAGTGTCCAGCTGTCACAAAAACACCAAAAATAAATAAAATTTTGAATATTTTTTTTATATAAACACACTGTATGTCTATAAATATCAGTTAAATTGTGTGTGCAAGTCTGCTGCGAGTACGTGCACCAACAATAACACAATTAAACACGCTGCGCGAAACAAACAAGACGCCCACTTTTGTTGCACTCGATATCATTATCAGAAACATACTCAGTACTCAGATATACGCGCATGCGCAATATACGCCATAATATTCGCTTGAATACATTAATAACTCAATTAATGTATAATGTATAACTGGTTGCATATGTTGTGGGTATATGGACGTATTGTATGTTTTTGCGATGCGAATATTAAGCAATGTATACGTGTCAGTCATGTGGCGCTCTGTATAAATTTTTCTTTATATGTGTGTGTGTGTGTTCGAAACAACAAGTCGTAAAAGCCAACGACCTTTTTGTCTTTCGAGCGCAGCGCGCGCGGTTTGCGAGTCGCGCGCGCGTATTGAGGTCGCGCACGCACTCACACACACATAAACAAAACACATAGGCATATGTGTGGCTTACAATAAATAAATTAATTTACAATATCTCGTATCATGCGTTGTATGTTTAGTATGCTTACGCATTATATCTATGTGTAAGTTGTTTTATTTAATTTTTTGTTTCTCTCTGTGTTTTCGTGCACGTTGCACCAAATGTGCGCTTGTGGTTTAACTTGGCGGAGTTCTAGTTTTTTGCATCGAAAATAGTAATAGCGACGACGTTCGTCGTCGAAGCGCGGTGCGGTGCGTTTCGCATTATGGCGACGCACGCCGAAACGTTTAATTTACATTCGTGCGCTTAGCATAACATGTTTTCAGTTTGCGCGCGCATACAGTGTGTTTTTATTTAGTAGTATTTTGCTGTGTTGAATACACGTAGAGAAGAAGAGTTCTTCTTCGTGGTCTAATAAGAAACTCACAAAAGTCACAAAACGACCATAATTATACAGTCGTTAACCGCCGCCGAAGAACACTCACACATATACAGACAGAGTGAGCAAAAGTCTGCGTTATCACCGTTAGCATTTCCCCATCTCGTGGCGTTTTACGCTCGCTAGCGCAGCCATTGTAATTCCGCGTTCAGCGTCACGCGTTGATTGTTCTTGCATTTCGTGTGGTGCGCGCCGTGTGGATGCTTAAACGGCGAGCAAATACAGTCATCATCATCATCATCAACAGCAACAGTAAAATCATTTCGGCTGTGCGAGTATCTACCTGCCACATCTAGTCATATTCTATAGTCATGGCGCAGTTAAAAGATATTAGTCATTGGGTTAGTGTTGTTTTTCATCACTAGGTGGCGCTGTGGGAGAAGAAAATTGCAATTTGAGGAATTTAGGCAAAAATTGAGAAAATAATTGCAAATAAATTGAATTTGGTGATATTCTATAGTTACTCCATAGTAATAAGATGTTATTCATTCAGAAAATACATTTGTTAAATCACCAGATGCTGTAGTCATCGAATTTGTCGCAAAAAATTACGAAAAAGTGCTGAAAAAGTTGAAAAAAGTTGAAAATTTAATAGAAAACAAAAATTTAACTAAATTTGAGATATTCTATAGTCATACCACCGCAATGAGATATTCTTCTCTGAGAAAATATGATTTTCCATGTCTAGATGGCGCTGTAATCAAAATAATAGCGAAAAGTCATGGAAATTCGTGGAATTTTGATAAAAATTTACTAAAATCATAAAAAAAACACACGAAAATAAAAATTTTAAAAGCTAATATATTTAATTCCGTCAAAATCTATAGTCCCTTCACAGTATCGAGATATTATTTATTTAAATATTTTAATTTTTCACAAATAAATGTGGTTTTGATTGAAATAATTTGCGAAAATTTCAATTAACTCAAATTTTTATCCAAAAATGTGCTAAAAATATAAAACTACAAAAACAAAATTTAAAATTCTAATAACTTAATGTTTTCTATGATATCCATTCTACCAATAGAAATATTTATGCGCTCATACGGCGCATGTTTTGTTCCCTGCCTCGGCAAATAGTTAATAATTATGG